ATTTTTTTCTTTAATTTTGTAGAGTTTTTTAAGATGCTTTTTTTGAGATGTTAGCGAACATTCTACTGATATTCTATCCAAAGTTATTGAATTTTTAAAAATTAAAGAAAAACGTTTTTTGCCTATAACTTAAAAAAATGTATTGACACCAATAGATATTTATCTCTAGTTTTGTAGAGTTTTTCAAGACGCATCTTTTGACCTATTAGCAAATATCGTACTGTTATTTTATCCAGAGTTATTAACATTTGCAAATTGAAAAATTTTGAAAAACCTGCCTTTTTTGCATTATTTATTAAGGGGGGAAACTCGTGTAAAAGAAAATTTTTTTACAATTTTTTTTTTTTGCTTTAAAAATTAATTTATTATCTGTAGAATATGATCCTACATTACTCATCTATAATTAGATGTATGAATGTCTATAGTAAGCATAAGTTTAAAACTTCAGATGCTACCAAATGCAGTTAACTATGAGCACAAGATCCCTCTATTCTTTCGGTTTCATGTCAATATAATTTTATTAATTGTCATTAGAAAGCACCATAAGCAAGTGATAGTAAATCTATGTTTTAGTGCAATAGTTATTTTCGAATACATAACGTCTTCAAGGCAATAGTTAAAACACTACTTTAATGTATCGAAAACTTTATACGTGTTTTTTCGCGCGCCGTGCAATGTAAGGGCGCACTCACACCTCTGGCTGCCTGCACAAGCAGCCAGTGAGAGCCAATCAGACAGACAGTAGATTTAAATTTGAATTTTCTGTCTCTCTTACTCTTGTACGTTTTCTGCGTGGTGGGAGGCTGCTTGTGCAGGCAGCCGGAGGTGTGCGAGCGCCTTAACGCAGACAATTTTTAACTGATTTTAATTAAACTTACCACAAATCTTCTTTATCTTACTGGCTATTGCATGACGAGCTCCTTTTTTTTAAAAAAAAATTTTAACAATTGTTTTTGAACATTGTATATAAGAAAAAAAAGTGATTTTTTTTAAATAGTCCCAAATTTAAAAAAAAATTTTTTTTAGTTTTCTCTTCGTCATGCAAAGCTTATTTTCGTATTTTAACAGTAAAAATTTTGATTTTTAATTTTAAAAGATTTGTGACCTGTAGGCTGCACGGCGCAAAATTAAAGATTTTGTAATATTTAAAAAAAAAAAATTTTTTTATAAAGCTTATATTCTGTAGTTTTAGGTATGCTTTACTTTAATTCAATAAACTTGATGAGTTTTGAAAAAAAAATTCCTAAAAAAACGTGCATTTACACGAGTTTCTCCCCTTAAAAAATCTTTATGTATCTTTAAAAGTATTATGAACAATTTGGAGAATATTTAAAAACGAATCAATTGACTTATTACTGAACCTTTTATTGTAAATTATTACGAAGTTATTGATGTTAAAATTATATCTCTGCAAATACCCAAAAAAAAGTACAACTTAATGCCATCTTAAAATTATTATAATACCAAATAAGTTACTATAAATTGATCACAAAAAATCTCCATGGGGAAGCAAAGTGTTCATTTTATGAACACAAAAAATTTATACTTTAACTTGGCAGTGTTTTTGCTTCGTTTCAGAAATATTAAATATTTGAAAATTTTTTATTTTAAAGGGTTAATTTTAATTCATAGAACTAACCTTTTTAAGTAAATTTAATATTTTATAAAATCAGCAAACTAATTTTTAAATATATTTACATTACTACGAGTCACAAATGCAAAGCATTTAGGATAAATATTGTAAAATTAATAAGATATTGGCAAAAGAAAATTGTTATACCGGGTGACTCACAAAAATTCATTTAAACTAAAATCATATTATTATAAATTGTAATTATTTGAACGATTTTATGTGTATTTATGAAGAAACACAGCATTTGATTGAATATTATAAGTAATACCGTGTTTGAATCGCGTAGTATAATGAGCAGTCTTTTGTCTTTGTTTGACTGTCACGAATGACGTAAAGCGTCAGAAATCAATTTATTTAAAGCTTTTGTGTCGCAATTTTTAAATTTCGCGCCAAATTACGTTTAATTCAAAAAATACAATGTTGACGTTTCTCACGGACCTTTTGCTAAAATATTTTTTTCATTTTGAAAACTTTTTTCATGTGAAAAAAAGTCTCATTTTAAAAAATTTTTATATTATTTTGGAGGTTTAATTTATCGAAAAATCATATTTCTAGGAATATATCTTTATACTAAAGGCCAAAGCAGAATAGAAAAGTAACTGGAATCGTAACCGCAAACGTAACCGGAATAATGAGTTAGAGAAGGATAAACAATATATCTATCCTTTTCTAACTCATTTTTCCGGTTGCGTTTGCGATTACGATTCCGATAACGTTTCTATTCTGCTCAAGCCTTTATGGTTCGAGTGCCCCTTCAGTGAAAAAGTAGAATTCTAATTTATCGTCTGCTAGTCATTTGTTGACGACGAGCGTCACAGTGATCAGGTTATGTTAAAAGACAGGTATCGAAAAAAATTACCTAAAAAACACCAGAAATATTATAAAAAAACATCAAAAAAATAATTATGTTAACGAAGTTGTGACCTTATTTATTATTATTATTATTATTATTCACATGTTTATCACATTAAAATCATGGAGGTTATGTTTTGGTTTTTCACGATAGATCACGTGATGAAATAGTTGAAAAATTTCTCTTCGAGAGCATCAAAAAAATTTTACTTTTTATTATGGCACATTCCTCCTTATTAGCAGATAAATTATAATAGTGGAAAAATATACACAAAACCTTAAATTTTTTGAAGCTTCCAGAAAAAAGTGGATTGACCCCATAATAAAAATAATGGAAAATATTTTGCAAAGTTTAAAAAATTGTTTAAAATTTTAGTTGAGGCAATAAATTAATATTTTACAATCAAAAGAAAATATTTTTCTTGGTGTATGTATATTTTTTTAAAATTATTATACATATTTTTTCTATATTTTTATGATACAATTAAAACTGCGATTACTCTAGATAAAAAGGTTTCATCAAGTTACTTGATATTTAATGCAAAAGTACAATTTTCATTGTATAGAACAAAAAATGGGGTCATTTAAATGTGGACCGAGTCTATGACCTTTCTTTGCAAGCATGTACGATCGCAGATCGTAATTATTCATAACATTATACACACGAACCCTTTATGATAAAAATTTTCTAACTTTGCACAGAATTTTCATTCAAATTTTTTATTAAAAATTTTTCAAGTTTCTTAAATTCCAGCTATTTTTAAGTTTAAGTTTCTAAATATTCAATTTTATAAATTTATACTCACTTCTTTAAAAAATAAAAATTAATCTTTATTAAAGAAATTATTTTCAGTGTGGTAAAAGAATATTTAAGTTTAATTATAAATTAATTTATAACATTGAGTAATATAACTTTTTTATATTTTATTTCAGTTATTATTGTGATTTGATATAAAGTAAAAATGCAAGTTTTTAAAATTTTTTGTTCGTGCGTCATAAAGTTATAAAAAAATGATTTTTCTTTTTTTATATACCTTGTAGCTTGAATTATATAGTAGAAAAAATTAATAAGAATTGAATGATATCATCAATGGCAACATGGCATTTTGTAGGGCTGATGGAAGGCACAAACTTGATGGTATCGCGAAAGAGGTCGAAAGACTTCGACCGTTCTAAGTATTTATAGCATAAGCACTCAATTCCATCATCAAATAAGAAAATAAGGTATTCATAAACGTGAAAATATGAAAAAATGCAACACAATTTTTTTAAATTTCATTTCTTTAAAACAATAAATTTATATAAATTCTAGATAAAATTTATTTAAATATTAAAACATTTTTGTTTTATTTCTCGAACTTTCGATGTAGTCAATAAAAAAAAATAAATTTCAATTTTTAAATAAATTTGTTAAAATTTTCAAAGGTTATGAAAAATTCAATATTTGTTTGAGAGATAAGCTAATCTTATAATGTTGATAATATAATATGTATTGAGTGACTAATAAAAAATGGAACGATAAACCAATAATTTTACGAAATAACTATTATCAGAAAAAAAGGGGAACTCCCCAAGCCCCTTAAGAATGACAGGGATTCGTCATCTGTAATTACACAATGAAATATAAAAAATACAGTTAAATTTAAAAAAAAAATTTATTTAAAATTATAACATTTATTGATCTTTAAGTACACCAATTGTGAATATGCAATATAAGTTAGAATAAAAAAGAAATATTTTTAAAATATTTTAAAATACCCGCTTATCAAAAGAATTACTCAGCTTGTGTGGACATAAGTTTATAAAAAAAAAAAAATAAATAAAATAAGTAGGTTTCTCATTTAGAAATATGAAAATGAATAAAGTTTTCACTTATCAACTTTACAATAAAGAATATATCATTTATTAAGTTGCATTCTTTTCTCAATATTATATTATTATAACTGCATACTTTGACTTATGTAAAATCGAAATGACAAGAAAAATATGATGATATAAACAAAGTGTTTCATATCACGCGATCATTTTTAATTGTACGTCAAGAGGAAAAATACAGTCAATCTAATGAACAAACTGTAGTATTAAAACTTCAAAAAAAAAACTTTAAAAAAACAACCAAATTAAAAAAAAATATTTTCTCTCTAACAATTAAAAAAATTTTATTTCACGTCTAATATTTATTTTTATAATTAAAATAAATTAATTAATATTATAAAAATAGTTCCATTTATATTATATCAAAATTTATAATTTCCTTTTTTTAGTAGTCAATGTATTGGAAAACGTAGCTTTATACATTTTCATAAATGTAATAACTAAATTTATAAAAAAAAATTTTGTTAATAAAAAATAAGTTGTGGATGTGATGATAACGCCCCTTTTTTGCAAACGAAGCCATAAATGTCCTTCGTTGTGAAAAGACCGACGCCTATGAGCTGTGACGCTTTATTGCAAAACAACAGGTAACAAGGAAAATAAAAGTGTTAAGTTAAAAATAATAAAAAAGATAACTTACTGCAAAAATGAAGTTAAATACGAATAGAAGATATTTTATGCACTCTATTCCACAATTCATCGCCATTTTCACAATTTTTTTTTTTTAATAGCAAGTCGGGAAAATAAACACTGCTCACGAAGATAAGTTGATACAAGCACAAGGCAACAAGGCGGACTGAATATACGTGGTCAGTGGCACTCACTGGCTTGTGCTGACAGTCACTGGTTTCGTTAGTTTTCAAAACCCCAAGAGATTATTAGAAGCCGGGAGTGGAGGAGCGTCATCATGTATAGAGAGAGACGCTCAACAGGTTATGTTTAGATATATGTATATGTATAAATATATGTACAATAAACGAATTCGTCATACGTTCAAGTATCTTGGGCTTTTCGATGAAAAAATGGAAATTCTGTCTGTGTGCGTCACGACGACTTTTTTAAATTATAAATTCCCGGTAAAAAATCTTGAATTGAAAAGAATTAAAAATATCTGATATTTTCGATAAAATTATAATTTTATTAATTCTAATATTTAATTCGGAAAATTTTCTGTTTTTTCAATACCCTCAAAATAGATAGAATTTTTTAAAATTAAATTCATTTCTATTCCAAATGCAACTTGTATTCCATTAGGCGAATATATTTCGTAAATATTTCATTCCAATTCCAAGAATATTTTTGTAAATTATGAATTCCGTTAATGAGAAAACATTCATTATTTATTTTAATCCCAAATACTTCTTTCTGAAATAGGCGACGTTGAAAAGTTACTATTCCAAAAGTGGCATTGGTAATAACATGTGTAACCTAGTTTTTAATTCTGCATCTATAACAAAATTTAAAAAAAGATACAGTTTTACACAAAACAAAGAAATTTAAAATCTAATTTTTAAAACAGCAATTTTTGCCGCGTTGCCACAAATAATGCACATATATGGCAATTGTTTCAAATTATTTAACAAATAAATGTCACTTAAAAAATTATATTCGTTTTTAAACTAAATAATTAAAAACTAGTCTGACTGACATTCAGTTACTGTAATCGTAACAAAAACAATCTCAAAACGTCAGAAATTCTGAATAATTTTGTGATGATTTGTTTTTAGTACCAGAGTGGCGATAATTTTTATGATTATATAAACTCCCGGTGAAAATTTTGTAAATAATTAAATTTTTTCACACAAAAAATGACCATTTTTCTAAAAAATTTATAACTTTTTTATTTTTTAATATTAATTCTTCTAATAAATTTTAATAATGCACTACTACAAAAAAATAATTATATACTTATTTTAAAAATACATTTTTCTGAGCAATTAATGCAATAGGATGTAAGACGATATAAATTTTTAGAATATCTGAAAAATTCCCGGTTTAACTATGAATTTCCCGGTCACATTTTAAGTTCCTGGTCATTTTCCGGTTTCCCGGTCATATTGCCACCCTAAGTACGGATAAAGAAGATTTAAATTTTTTTTAGTGTATTCACGGACAACAAATTCAATTATTTTTATGAAAATAAATATTTCGTTTATTGTCATGGCTTGAATCAAATTTAAATGAAAAGTTCAGTAACTATACAAATGTTTTTGCGGATTTTAAATCTACATGTTTTCAGATTTATTTTACAAGAAAAATTAAAATCATCGGCGTAGGGCTATTCGAGAAAACCAATTTTTATTATTTTTACACAAAAGCCTACTTTGCGTATTTTTCTTTATTTCGACAAATCTATCAAATAATAAACCCATTAACGCCTAAATGCACAAAATTTTAATTCATGATATTTATTTAAAAAATGGTTGAGCCACCGTTTTATTACACTGACTCCCTCTATTATTGCATGCAAATATTTATTTGTGATGGCAATTAACATTTTACGTCAGTTACAGTAAAGTAAAATTACAATAAATACTTAATTTTTCAATAAAACGTAAATAAATGCTAAAATCAACACAAAACTTTTTTATAGTGTCAGAAAAGTGTATCAATTAACAGAAGGAATAAGCAAACAACAAAATAAAATGACTAAAATTGTTCATTACAATGTAATTTAAAATTTTCAAACGTTATTTAGCGTTATTGTCATTATTATGTTTATACAATTAACGCGTTCACGACGCCTTGTGTCATGGATGGGCCAACCACCGACTTTACCCATATTGTGATACATTCTGAAATCGAAAGTTCATATTTGTCTATAAAAAAGATCCAAAAATGTAATTTCCATTTGAAAAATTTAGGTATTAATAAAATTTAATAATTTTTCTTGACTTTTTCAGACCAATTTTGCGAAACGCGAGAAATAATCAAATTTCGGTCAAGAGGGCTTATTTTATTTCAATTTCAGATTTTCTTTCTTATTTTTAACTTAATTTCAGTAGTTTTTTTGTCATTTACGGATCATTTTTTTTCATATAACATTGATTTTGTACATAGCCCAACCGTAAAGTCCTGGTCTGCGACCGTAACGACAAAATATTTTTGTTATGTCTATAACTTTTACACTTTTGGTCCAATCATTTTCTGATATTCAGAAGAAACATTGCACTTTGGAAGATCTTTTCAATCATATGTGAAAACATCCGAAATTAAGCCTAGAACGAAATTTATGGCCACAAATCAAAATGTAGCCCAACCGTAGTGACTCTGTTCTATTGAACATTAAGATTTAAAATCCGCAAAAACATTTGTAGTTACTAAATTTTTCATTTTGAACTTGATTCAAGCTCACCGTGGAAATTATATAATGCTGTACTGATGATTAAACATATCTCAAAAAGATATGCACGATAAATAATTTTATCTATATATTTTATCTCGTTTTTTAAAAACTTTTCATCAATAAATGTAACAAAGTAAAATTTCATAAAATTTTAAACTAACAATAATTGTTTTAACTGTTATATCGACACAAATATCTAAAATTTTTAATTTCTCCAAACAAATTTTAAAAATGAGTCAATCCATTATATTTCACCTATAAAATCGTAGACAATTTTTGAAAAAATCTTATAATTCGTAATACCTAATCATTTTTTATATCCGTACAATTAATTTCTGACAATTATTTAATAAAATTATATTTGTATTTACTTTGAAATTTGAATTTTAAAGATGAGTATATGTATTAAAAATGCACAGAAATAATATAGATAACTAATACCCAAACAGCATCCGGATATCCTACGGTGATCCTAAGGATAATCGGAAAATAGGAAATATATCCATAGGATGTCTCAGAGATATCCATATACATATATCCTGAGCATATCATAGAGATATCCAAATTTCATGATTTATTTATTTATTGAACATTAATACCCGCGATTCAATAGGACCATAAATGGGCAACTTCAATACATCTTACAATAATATAAATGTTACATTTTCGCTTTAACAATTAATTTGAAAAAATATATTTGATAAGAAAAATAAACAATATTTAATTCAAAGAATTTATGTATGAGTTTAAGGCTGTTGTAAAGTCGCTATGTCGCATGAAAAATAAATCGACATCAGGTTTTAAATTTTCAGTTAAGCGATTAATTTGAGAACAAGCATAAAAAATAGGAGCTACTTTAGCATATTCTGTGCGTACTCGGGGTAAAGTAAAGACATTTTCATTTCGTGATGAAATTCTAGGTACTCTTAAGTTTAGTGTATACAGAATTTCCGGAGCATATACCTGCGAACATAAGATTTTGTATATGAACATACATGCAGAAAAAATTCTACGCTGTTCAACAGTTCGAAAATCAAATCGCAAACATAATTCGATATAATCCAGACCATGTGGAGGATAATGTTTTTCTATTTTAAAAATGAGGTATTTGAGGAATCTCTTCTGAATAGCTTCTAGGTAATTATTATATTTGTCAAATTGAGAATTGGCAATTAAAGAAGCATAATCTATTTTTGTACGAATAAATGAATTGAAAAGTAGAATTAAAGTTTTAGGTTGATTAAAATTTTTTGAAACTGATACGGATAGGACGTCCATAGGATATTCTGAAATATACTAATTTTAAATCTGAAGTCGTATTTTGAAAATTCAAAATGGCGGATTCAATATGTCGGACAAAATTTTTTTAATTTACTTCGATTCGCTTGAAACTTAGTATCTGGGAGTTTTTAAGGTCGCTGATTTCAAATCTGAAGTCGGATTTTATAAAATTCAAAATGTCTACTAGTTTTACCTATTATTAATATTTAATGTTCTACTAATATTTTTGGAACATAAAATGTTTATATTTAATACGTTATTTTGTCAACTTAAAAATTTGGTCTTACAATAAAGCCAATGATAAATAACATAAAACGTGGCGCCACCTCTGTCTCATTTTTTGTACTTACATTTACTCCATTAGTGCCAAGGCACTAATTCTATATTTTATAGATATTTTAGTTGGCCAAAAACCCCATGTTCGTTCTAAAAATGTTTTAAGACATTTTTATAACGTTTTATGTCCGCCTAATAATAAAAACATGGATGTTTAAATAATGTTCTCGAATATTTTTTGGTTGACATGGAACGTTCTAAAGACGTCCTTAAAACGTTTTTGAAACGAACATGCCCACACAGCACATAAAATTTCCTGAATTTGTCCTGAATATTTCATTGAAAGATTCGAAATATTTCAATGAAAGGTCCATGAAATTTTGATGCCTATTAAATATGTATTTTTAACAATTTAGAAATATTTCATTTCGATATTTCTAGAATTTTAATGAATAATATTTTCAAAATATTTCACTTAAAAATTTGTAACATATTTCATTTTTTTATTTTGCAAATATTAAAAAATAATATGTCAGTAATTTTTCATCCTCACATTTCCTCAACATTTCGCTGAAATTTTTCGTACAATCGGAACTGCAATATTTCTTATAGGCGGACATTTCATTGTTGCATCAAAATTTCATGGACCTTTCATTGAAATATTTCGAATCTTTCAATGAAATATTCAGGAAAAAATCCGGAAATTTTATGTGCTGTGTGGGTGGTTTTTTGCCCACTGATGGGAATAATTTACTCAATTTAACAAAACAAGGTCTGATAAAGGAAAGAAGAGGATAAGAACCTCATTTTCAGATGATTCCTCTTCTTCTATACACTCGTGTATTCTTCTTTTTGCCGGGAGCACTTTAGGAGTAAGCTAAATGACTGATTGACTTTAGCCTAGGAAGTAAGCTAAATACCTGATCCTTCCACTTGCCTATGACATATATAAAACAATACACAGAGAATGGGACAAAATTACTCATTTTTGGAAAAGCTTGGTTGACTTAGGTGGACAATTAAATGAAATTCAGATCGCAAAGAAGATTTTCAACATAAGGTTGCTAGCAAGGTTTTGTTGTTTATATGCTTCTTAACATAAACGGTGGATTGAAAACCCAGTAAAAAAAATAATTGGGAGTAAACGAAAAGAATTGACGGTGACTTAAGCTGAATTCAATTTTGCGTCTAAATCGAATGGGGACGTTACGGTGAATTCTTTTTTTCTTACCTTGAATTCTTTTCACCTAAATCGATTGAATGTACGTTTATTGATTCGAATTGGCATTATAAATGAAAGAAGTGATTGTTCTTAAGTGTAAAAATGCCGATTACGAACAGGAAATATGAAATTTTGTTAAATTGTGAAAAAGATAAATTTGACAGGCAGGCTGTATAGTGTTGATCTATTACCATATGATTTAGGCTGTTTTTGTGGTTCGCGCTAAGAGCGCTGTGAGCATAAGTGCATCTTTTTAGAAAAAAAGGTAGAAAAATTTCACTTATTCACACAGCGCCCTCAGCGCGAACATTATAATCATATGGTAAGTCATATGATAATAGATCAACACTATGATTCTACCTGTCGAATTTATCATTTTCACAATTTAACAAAAGTCCATATTTCCTGTTCGTAATTGGCATTTTTACACATTTTTAGATGAATCACTTTTTCATTTATGATGCCAACTCGAATCAATAAACGTAAATTCAAACGATTCAGGTGAAAAGAATTTAAGGTAAGAAAAAAAGAATTCACCGTAACGTCCCAATTCGGTTTAGACGCGATACCGAATTTAGCTTAAGTCACCGCCGATTCTTTTCGCTTACTCACAATTATTTTTTTTTACTGGGAACCGCAGTAGCTTATTATTTAAGTAATTCATTGAATGAGGCTGAAAAAGATATTCTAATTAGTTCTTCTACATTATTATTTACTCACTTAATACTTGTCGCATACATCGGTATACATTATCTATATACTTAAAATTTAATTACTGTTCTGTTGATCGAAAGACAATTTTTAAACATTTTAAAATCGCATTGTTTATTGCTAACTTCACAATATATTAGAACACTTACAGATATCATACTTGTATAAAGTCTATACACATAAGATTCAAAATTAATTTTTATTTATAAGTATGTACTGTGCAGAGTAACAGTTATCGCTGAACTCGATTGCGCAGCTTTAAGCATAACACACGAAATTAAGTTTAATTTTGTAAGAATCTTATAATTATATCTTTCACAGACGTAAACTTATGGTTTAGCAAACATATTTTGATCCTGAATCAACGCTTACGTCGACCTTATACATTTTTAATCACTAAGGAAGTTTAAATTATTTTCAATTGGTTATATTTATCTGTGCAGAAGTAATATCTTAATAAAATATTATCAATATAATTAAACTGGACTGCAAATTACAACTTTTTATGTAAAGTATACTATACCCGGTTCGTTTTAAAAACCTTTTTGGAAGGTTTCATGTCCGACAAATAATATTCTGGGACATTTTAAGAACATGGATGTTCAAGTAATGTTCTAGAACATTTTTTGGCTGACATGAAACATTCTAAAAACGTTTTTGCAATGAAAATGGTTTCTTGTCCACTGGGTATAGTTAGTAAAATTTATTTAATTAAAAATACAATTTTTAAAATTGATAACTCAAAAGAAGCAGTGCATGAAAAAAAGATACGATTTGCTACATCTCGACAAATGGATGTCAGGCAGGCATATTATATATTGAAAAATATAGGATATTTGTACCTATGGATATGCATCCATATAAAATCGCTAGCTTTATATAGATAGAGTAAAAGAATATCCATGGTTTGGTAAACTATTAGATGAAGTTATACTTAAATGATTACTGAATTTTTGTAACAGAAGAATGTTTTAAAATATTAATTAATACATTCTGCTTAGAAATAACGGAAAGTTGCTAAATAAAGCTTTTTTAACCAACCGTAATATCTAATTCGAGTTGCGCAGTGGAAACAAGACCGGACCAATAAGGGTACTGGATTCTGTCCCCCTCTATACGCAACTTGAAGTAGATACTGCGGTAAGGACAGACAGTCCAACTCAATTAATTTTAAATTGTTCTCTATTGAGTCATAAATATATGTGAACAAACAATGATTGTATTGTAAATGTTTCAGTCATAACTATATGGTTGGCACATCCATGTCTAACTTAAAAATAGAATACGTCTCACACAACCAATGCATTCAATGACCAAAATAAGATTTTTTACAGATTCGCTCCAAGGGGATCATAACCCCCTTCCTGGACCCCTTGTTAAAAATCTCTAAACAAGATCTTTAATATTTTTCTGTACAACTTCAAATGCTGAACCAGTTTTGTCAGTTCCTGTACAGAAAATTGTATATATTAAGCATGATGTTCTTCTACAAGTTCATCTACAATTCTTGAGCACGTAGAATCGTACATTTTTATGTACATTAACATCTACATGATCGTGTACATGTTCATTTGTTAAAAAACTTTACACTCAAAATCTGAGAAAATTATGAACTCTAATTAATAGGAATCTGTAAATATACCTTAAAAACTACTGCACAGCCTTGAAAGTTTTAATTTTTAATATTATTCAAAGATGCCTGAACACACTCATGAACATGTTCATGTACAAGATCTAAAGTGAATATTTTCGACAAACAATAACTGATCCATAACCATGTACAGAATCATACGTACGTACCAATAAAACTGGCAGAAATTCATTTACTGAACTTGTACAGAAAAATATTCAGTTTCTTGTGCAGGGATTGCCACGGTCTGACACTGTATGGATATCACAACCATTACATTTCGTGTGATTTTCAAATTTTTGTCTAATATGTAATAATTTCCTAAGATTTAATGAAATACAAATCTTTGTATCTACAAAAATTCAAATTTTCTCTTACTTAATAACGCTTAATAATGTTCTTTCGAACTAGTGAATTGGATATTGGTTAAATGAGCTTGAAAAGGTGATCCTTTTTTAATTTAGACACAAAGTAGTTCGCCGTTTTAGTCTAAACATTTTAGACTAACACAATCAGTACCTTATTTAAAAAATAATACTATGTACCCATATTATTCAGTTAGAGAACTGTCAGTTGTCGTTATTTGAATAAAATTAATCATTTGTTCTTATTGTCATCAGTTCCCAGCTAAAAATTCCTGTACAGGATCCTTAAAGGATCCCTAGAGGTCCCTACATAGGATCCTTAAAGGTTCCCTGAGGGATCCTGTTAAGAATCCTATGCAGGATCTCACTAGGATCCGTTGCAGGATATTGGAACAGGGATCCTGTACAGGAACCTGTGCAGGAACATTAGTTACTTTGGTTCCTTTGCAAGTTCCTTTGTCTGAAACTTTAAAACAAATTTTCAAATAAAAATTCCTGTACATGAACCTCCACAGGATCCCATGCAGGAACAACTTTACTTGTTGCGCAGTAAATTTCTGTGGTTCCTATGTCTGCGCAAAGGATTTTTTTAAATTAAATACATCAATGTATATTCATCACAAAATTAAAATTTTTTTTTATTGTATTTAAAAAATATATACCCTGGATCCTGCGTGGGATCTTCTTATGGTTCCTACAAATGTTCCTTGGCATGAAAAGAAAGTGAAATATTTTCCTGTACAGGATTACAGGATCCCTATTTCAATATCCTGCGTAGGATTCATAACAGGATCCCTCAGGGGACCTTTAAGGATCCTATATATAGGAATCTTTAGAGATCCTTTAAGGATCCTGTACAGGAATTTTTAGCTGGGTTAAATAGAAAACAAACAAACTCACATTTTTTGGTTCATCACAAGTTTTGTTTCATTTTTTTGCTTACAATTAGCGTTTTTATTATTTACACAGTTTTATGTCCGTTTTAACATCGTTTTTATATTTTGGAAGCTTAAACATGCAGTCGCACTGCGACTCTCAAGTTTATGCATTCACACTTATCAGCTTGATACACATAATGGTGTTCCGAAATGGCAAGCAGTGGTTGTCTTTCAAAAATTGGCTCCTCGTGGGTGCATTTAATTTAAAAAGGATTTTTCTCTTAACTCGAATAGAAACGGAAAAATCGAAAAAAATACCAGTTATCCTGAAATGTTGTACTTTCATTTATGCACAAGAAATTGAAAATTCATTACGATAAACGACGTCAGGAAGTAAAATAAGAATTTTTTTGTAGCCGTTAGGTGCTGCTCCAGACGGTAAATTTCAGTACTAAGCAAATGTTTATACTCTTCCTATTTTACTTCCTGTCGTTTTATATGTGAATAAATCTTTAATTTCTTATTGGAGGCAAATGAAAGTACACAAACTCAGGATAACTGGTATTTTTCCGATTTTGATATTTTTGTCTGAATTGGGAGAATAATATTTTTGAAATTAAATGTACCTTATTTTTAAAAGACAACCACTGCTTGTCATTACGGAACACCGTTAATAGATAAATTGATAATCAATTTCATTCAAGTAGCGGGTTCTAGACAGTTCTTCATCGAAAGAGCGGATATAAAGGGTATTATTTTTTATAAAAATAAAATGTTCTTGTTTTAAGTACAATTTTTACAGTTCAAGTACAATTTCGAACTGTAAAAATAATGAACGATTTCCAGTCATTGCCAACAAAACTGACTTCATCGCTCATCCTTAAATTATGTTATTGATTAAACTGATTCATTAGTTTAAGAGATATAAAAATACAAACGTTATTTAATATCATTATAAGTATGCGAAATAAGTTGCAATTATTAGATTTTATGGCGATACGTAAACTGTATTAAAAGTTAGCTTTCTAAAAAGTATTACTATAAATATAAATATTATAGAATTCAAATGGCGTGAAATCTAAAAAACTATTACTCAAATGGCAAAATTTTAATTAATTTATCGAAATTATTTACCAATAATAAAAAAATCAATTTTAAACTAAGATAATCGTAGTGCCTTAGAATCAAACATACGATTATCTGGCTCGTTAGCGGAACGATTTCTAGCAGCATCTATCATATCTTGTTTTCGTTTTTCTTTCTTCTTTTTAATTGCCTTGGAGTAACATGTTGTTACCGCTAGAAAACATACCTGTAAGAAAGTGTTGAATAATAATCCAAAAAAATGTATATCATACAATTCGTAGGTAATAATAACAAAACATACCTGTAAAATTGCAGCTCCCAAAGCTGTTAAAGAAACAAGTAATAAAACTAATCGCGTGTTTTGATGTGCTGAGTAAAGGCATCCAATTTTGTAGAACGATTCTACGTGTGAATTTTGTGTTTCTTCTGTTAATGAAACTTTATGACACGACCAAGGAACTCCCTGTTTATCAGCATAATCTGCTGGTCCATATAATCCACAACATCCTAACTGAAAATGTAAATTAATAATGTAGTTTTTCTGAACAAAATAAAGAACTTGTGAATTTAATTTTGTTTGGAAATCAAGGAAAAGTTCATTGGGAGACGATCTATACATTTGGCTTTCATTCACCTATCTAGTGTAAAATTTCTACCTAATCTTAAATTGATTTCAGTATGTGTAACTGGTGACCATCAACAGGAATGTCAACATCGAACAAAATCCCTGCCGATGGTTGTCCGCTACCAAGAGTCATATGTAAATTCTTGGTAGACCTTGTTGTGGTGGTAAGGCTTTTCACTAAAGGACTTCCAAAAACCAAGATGTATAATGGGGAGAAATAAATATATATATATATGGAAACCAAAGGATTGAATAAGGACGTTTACGGTGCAGGGGAGGGATACCATAGTGCCGGCACTGCTGGAGGTGAGCAAGTTGGCTTCCCATCGTCGAAATTCAGTGACAACAGTTCTGCAGTATTGGACACCTTAGGTGCTGCAGCATTCAATGCCACAAGGAGGATGGACCATGGAGGCACCCAGTTTCTTAAGGTTCCCCAGGTCCGTTTGGAAAGACTTGGAAGTAGATGCTGATTATACACTCAACGAAGACTGAGCGAGCGTTCCGCTTTTCCGTGACGCTTCCCATATTTAACTATATCTATATAATATATAAAAAACGTAACGCAAATGCGGAACGCTCGCACAGTTTTAGGTGAGTGTAGAATCAGCAAGAAAAGGAAGTGCTTCAATCGTTTCGAGTGTCAGCAGCGGAAGAAGTTTTATTCCATCTGACCTAGACAACGAGGCCATAAACGAGGAACGCGAAATATGCGTCAGTTTGAGGAAGGAAGGAACTCGATCGTCAAGATAGTGAAATCTTGCGTCATCCAGAAGACCGTTAATCGAACGATCAAGGATGGATTAAAGGTTTTTCAGGACCTTGTAAATTTGCTGAAGCAGAAGCAGCAGAAAGCAGAAATATTGACATATTTGGCCCAAAAATGGATTGAAACGCCCCAATATGGGCCAGACCTGAGAAGCGTCTAAATGTGGCTTTATCTTGTGCTTCATCATCAATTATTTGATTTTCAAAGATTTCAACGACGATTCACAATTCTAGCGCGCCAAGATTCGAATAAATAAGAATTCGATGTAATGCGAATTATATAAAAAACAAAGTCGGAGAATTATCTATCTATCATCAATTATGCTTGTATTATAAAAAATTAGTTAAGTATAATTCGAAAGCAAGCGAAATATTATTTTTGAGAGTATCTATTAACGAGGTTGGTGCATGATTATTTTTCAGTAAATAATTATATTAAAATCCTTCGTTATGCAACATAGGAATGGTCCAAGAGAAAATTCAAATGGGATTTTTAGGACCCCAGTAAAAAGCAAAGAATTGAAAATTTTCAATTCTCCTGAATTCCGTTTTAGTCCAATTCTTTTGTATCCATCTTGGGCAGTCGAAAATAAAGTCAGTTAAATTCTTTACAATTCCGTTTTAAAATTTTGTGCAGAAAAAAATTTTAAGGTCCGAATATTTGAACTGTCGATTCTTAATGCCGGAGCCAAACAACTGTTTCACGCGAGAAGAATGATTAAACCCCAAATTTGTTTTTTCGAACTTTTATTTTCTCAAAAATCGTTTTATCTAAAAGGAATTGACTATACATTTTTGAATTCGAATCGTCAAATTATATAATGAAAATACTTTCGAATCATTATTTGACAGAATTTTTTAACTTTGAAAGAACATTTTTTATAATTTTCAATTTACCGAATAATCATTTCTCATAATTATTATTATTGTAGCGAATTAGTATTTTTTATAATTTTTATTTTTCCAAATAAAAGTTTATACTATTTTTGATTTTACATTATTACCATTTCTTATAATTTTTTTTCTTCGAATTACCATTTTGTACAATAAATATTTTTTCGAACAATTTTTTGTTTTAAAATGTAATTTATCAAATTTATATTTTTTCTATTTTTAAAAGTTACGATTTGCTATTTTATATAATATTAGTATTTTTCCAAAAACCTGTTTATATATAGTGTCAGGGTTGGACACTTGGCTTTTTTTAAATAAGAACACTAGCGCCACCTGTATGCGTACGTGACGAATCTTCTAGTAGTATAACCTAACTTTTTGTGGCATTACATTTTTGGAGAATCAAAAGTAGCGTCTCTTGTGACTTCGGTGCAATCGAAGAGACAAAAAAAGTTTTGTTTGACTTGTGAATAAACCTAAAAAATGTGTAAAAAAAGCAAGAATTCGGCAAGATAAGCTTATTGAATGTATTGTGGGGTACATAATTTAAGAAGAAAAAAAGTGAAAAATCGAATCGCGACACATGTCTAGTTATGGTTAGCACAATTCGAAAATGATGCTTCTAGTTAGGGTTGGACACTTTATACAGTTAGGGTTGGACACCCATATTAATTATGAATTTGACACAATTTATAAATAAATTTTATTTTATTGATATTTCAGTGCAAAATTGTGCCAAAGATATTAGAAAAATAATACTTAAATTGTATAAATTTTGTTCATCATTTCATTGAGTTATTTGGAACAATAAAGCGTTATTTTTTATAATTTGAGTTCATTCCTTTTTTAAACCCATGAAGCTTTACAATTTGTAAACAATAAGTAAAGATAAACATGAAAAAATAAGAATAAAAAACATTACAAATGTTATTTTACGTTTTTACCAATAATGCGTTTCGATTTTCAAAAAGTGTCCAACCCTGACTGAAAAGTCCAACCCTGACTAGATTTTTTTTTTTTTTAAATGTTTATAACTTTTTTAATTTTGGACCAATCAATTTACGGTCCACAGCAAAAGTGTTCCTCTTTTGTAGATCTTTCCACCCATATACCACAATTGACTGAATTTATCTAAACAAAATATTTATAAACAAAAAACCAAAACTGTGTCCAACCCTGACACTATTCCCCTACTATTTTTGATTTTACATAATTACCATTTTTTATAATTTTTTTTTCTTCGAATTACCATTTTGTATAATAAATATTTTTAAAAAACCGAATTGCTATTTCGCATAATAACTAAATTTTCTAATTATTATTTTTCCGAATTTTAATTTTAACGATTTATTAATATTAGAATTATTTGTTTTGCGAATTACCATTTAACATAATTTTAATTTTCCCTAATATTTATTTATTCTAATCTCTATTTACTCGAATCGTTATATGCCATAATCAGAATTTTACAGAAACTCTATTTGCCCTAACATACACTGTTAGAAAAAATTGTAAATTTACAACACTTTCATACAGAAAATGATTGAAAATTTCAAAAATTTGTGTATGAAATAATTTCAAACACAAATGTTTGAAAGTGTTATAAATTTACAATATTTTAATACAAAAGTGTTTGAATAATTCAAAATTTTTTTTATGAAATAATTTCAAACACAAATGTTTGAAAGTGTTGTAAATCTACAATACTTTAATACAAAAATGTTTGAATAATTCACAATTTTTTTTATGAAATAATTTCAAACACAAATGTTTGAATGTATTGTAAATTTACAACACTTTCATACAGAAAGTGATTGAAAATTTCAAAAGTTTGTATATGAAATAATTTTTAATACATATGTTTAAAAATTTTGCAAATTTACAACGCTTTAATACAGAAAATGTTTGAAAAATTCAAAAATTTATTTATGAAATAATTTTAAATACAGTTGTTTGAAAGTTTTGTAATTCTTTAACATTGTCATACAAATGTGTTTGAAAATTTCAAACAATTGTATATAATATAATGTCATATACAAACATTAGAAAATATTATAAATCTACAACATTTTAATACATAAAATTGTCTTAAAGTTTCAAGTATTTATAATGAAATTTGTAAATTATAATAAATATTAATAAATAATATTAAAAAAATAACCTAAAGTATGTTCATAATCATCTTTTGAAAGTACAATTTAAAAATTTGTTTAACAAACAGATAAAGTTGACAAAAATAATTTTTTGTTCTTATTTAAGAAAACTTATTTCAGTGTACAATGCAAATGATGTTAAAAGCACAAAATCACATTTTTAAATTATGATGAAAATTGTAAATAAACACTACAAAAATTATTTAGTTTTAGAAAAGATTTTATACTCTATAGTAAAAATTTTTCATTCTACAATAAATATATAAAATATTTGAAATATTTTCTCGTTTTAAAAGGATTCGCGCACATCTGGTTCGTCTTAGGATGCGACCACCTATAGGGGTTTCTTATTTCAAGAGGACCTATTTTATGAGTTTTTCGGTACTAGTTTTTTTCTTATAGATTCGTTTAGACTAAAAGTTTGTGAATTCTTTCGGTTTGGAATATTCACAGAAAATGTTGGAAAATTGTAAATTTTTTTGAGAGACTTTACTCAGAAAGGCCCTCTCAGCGTCAGTTGCTCTTGAGCATTTGCCCAAGAATATACTGATTCAACCAGCGTTAAAAATATTTAAAATAAAAATTATTGAAGTGAGTTAAAGAAGTGAATTAAATTAAGTAAATTAAAGGAGTACATAATCAAGGTAAATAATATTAATAATAATAATAATATAGAATTTCGATGTATCATACTTTAGCATAACTTAGAGTTTTTTTAACAGTACAGTTCTATTTGCTGGAAAATTTTCTTTTTATTTCTTTACATCTAATAAATTGAATCATAAATTTTCAGGTCAATTATTATAGGATGAACATACGGAATTCTTTGTTATTTGCTGATATTATGTATTTGGTTATGCTATCCAAAAAATTGAAGAAAAGCTTGGAATTTATTCAGAGGTAAGACTGCATTTTTGGATAAAAGCATGTTTTTCTATTATATATCCTGTATGTATTTACAATTATAATCTTTTTCAGGGTTTTATGAATATGAATTCAGCAACAAGGAACAAAAGGAAGGATTGAGTAAAAATACCTAACTTTGACTATGAATTAAGCGTCGTATATAATTTATAAAAATTGAAAATTTTTAATCAAGGTGTAATGTTTATAACTAAATTAAGATTATTGTCTTGCTGAGATTTTTTACTTAAAAATTGTCAAGTTCTTAAGTACTGTAAGTTTGTTAAATAAATATGGTGAATAAACATTTTAAAACTATATGTTTCTAATTTATTTCACTTCAAATAACCCGTTTATTGCGAAAAAAATATTCTGAAAAAAGTACAAAATATTTTTAAAAGTTTAAATTAAAATGTGCGGTATTTCAGACAAACAATTTGAAATTTAAAATCAAAAAGTTTGAAATTTCAAATAAAAATAAACAGAATTTGTTATAAAAGTATCTGAAGTTTTAAAGAAAAATGTATAAAATTTCAAACAATAATTTTTAAATTTAAGATAAAAATGTTTTGGATCTCATACAAAAATTTATGAAATTTCAAATAAAAGTGTATGAAATTCAACACAAAAATTTATGAAATTTCATATAAAAGTATATGAAGTTTCCAACAAAAATGTATGAAATTTCAAATAAAAGTATATAAAATTTAATACAAAAATGTGTTAAATTTCAAATAAATGTATATAGAGTTTCAAACAAAAATGTATGAAATTTCAATTAAAAGTGTATGAAATTTTAGATAAAATGTTTACATTAAATTTAAAGAAAAGTGTTTGAAATTCTAAATAAATGTGTTTAAAATTTAAATTAAAAAATTTGTATTAAATTTCAAAAAATGTGTTGTAAATTTAAAAAATTGTATGTGATAATTGCTTCACACACTTTTGTATAAAATTTCGGTCAAAAATTTTTAACAGTGTACTTCCGGTCAATTTCAGTACTGTAGTTTCCCATCTACATTAAGGTATCACATCGGTAAAACCGTTTTCTATAAATTTTCTTGAAAATTTTACCATATGTTCTTATTATCATTCTTGACAAATTTGTAAAATATGAAGAATTTTCGCCGTACGAAACCAGAGATATCAGCAATCAAAGTTGCTTATTTTGCATGGGAGACGGGACTAATGTATGGGGAAGAAGTAAATTTTCATAAATATCATCAAAAATTTTTTTATAAATTTTTTTCAAAAACTAATGTTGAAAAATAAAATTAAAAATTCTATTTCATGACGTCATTTGCAATATATTATATTGCAAATGACGTCATGAAATAGAATTTTTAATTTATAATTACAAATAAACGTCACGGTAAATTATAAATTTCTTTGTATATTTTAGTTCCAAATTTATTCGTGAATTCAACATTAATTTTTGAAAAAAATTTATAAAAAAATTTTTGATGATATTTATGAAAATGTACTTCTCCCCCATACATTAGTCCCGTCTCCCATGCAAAATAAGCAACTTTGATTGCTAATATCTCTGGTTTCGTACGGCGAAAATTCTTCATATTTTGCAAATTTGTCAAGAATGATAATAAGAACATATGGTAAAATTTTCAAGAAAATTTATAGAAAACGGTTTTACCGATGTGATACCTTAATGTAGATGGGAAACTACAGTACTGAAATTGACCGGAAGTATGTTAGGGCAAATGGAGTTTCTGTAAAATTCTGATTATGGCATATAACGATTCGAGAAAATAGAGATTAGAATAAATAAATATTAGGGGAAATTAAAATTATGTTAAATGGTAATTCGCAAAACAAATAATTCTAATATTAATAAATCGTTAAAATTAAAATTCGGAAAAATAATAATTAGAAAATTTAGTTATTATGCGAAATGTCAATTCGGTAAAATGAAAATTATATAAAATAGCAAATCGTAATTATGAGAAATGATTATTCGGTAAATTGAAAATTATAAAAAATGTTCTCTCGAAGTTAAAAAATTTTGTCAAATAATAATTCGAAAGTATTTTTATTATATAATCTGACGATTCGAATTCAAAAAATTATCGTCAATTCCTTATAGATAAAACGATTTTTGAGAAAATAAAAGTTCAAAAAAACAAATTTGGGGTTTAATCATGCGCCTCTTTCGCGCAGCTGTATGAACTGTATTGTAGATATTTGATTTTAAACGTACTTACTTCAGAGTATTATGGAATTCAAAAGAATTAAAGAGTTAGCGAAATATCAAAACGGAATAGGTAGGAATTGACTTTCAGGTATAACTGAAATATTTAGTCTGAATTACTTATTCAATATTTTTTAATTCAAAAGAATTAAAAAATTAGAGAAATATTAAAACGGAATTGATAGGAATTGAATTTCAAACAATCTTAGTCCCAACAAGGAATACATAGGAATTGTACACGAACAGAATTAAAAAAAATTGATAATTAATCCTTTTCAATGGAAAGTTAAAATTTTTCAATTCTTTTGAATTCCTCACTTCTTACTGGGACTCCGGCAAATTAAAATATAGTTATAGTAACGAGAATTTTGACGCCCTAGACAAAACAACGTATTACTTTTTTATATGGGATATGCTGTCGATTTTACAATTTATAGAGAATGACTTTAAACCTTCAGTCCTGAGATTTTGGTCTCACCTACAGATAGAATTAATAATAGTCTTACCCTGGATTGCATACGATCCCAAAGCTTTTTATTATCTGTAATAGCTAACGCAAAAGCTCTTTTCGCTTCAAAAGGAGGCATTTCAGTAACTTCTTCGTGCTTTACAAATGACCAAATTCCGGTAGAAAATTCCACAAGTGTAATTAATCCAAGAAAGAAGGTAAACTGAAAAAGGAAAGAAAATATTTTTTTATCCATACAGCAACAATAATTCAATCGAGCTTTAATTGGAATTTTGGGACGACGTTTTTCTTGTATACTTACTGTAACTGATTGGGATAAATTTTTATGGTCTATCGAATAGTATGCCCACCATGCAAGAAGGGCTGATAAAAGACCCATTCCCAATAAAACTGCAGCTGGTCCACAAACTTTATTTGGTGTAAGCGGAGCATATTCATATAATCGATAAATGAAATATCCAGAACTGACGCTTACAATTATTCCAATAATCTAAAAAAAATAAACATTTAAATGCAATGGACAATATAATCACATTCAAAAACTAGCAATATTAATTATTATTAAAATTATCCTCATGGAACAAATATATAGAACTACTGTATAACATTTTTAAAAATATTTTTCAACCATACAGTTTTATAATAATAAATATTTCCTAATTTGTATTGATCGTTAAAAATAGATATTTTAAAAAAATATATATAAGTAATATACTTATACAAACGAAGGGAAAAACGAAGCTAACTTTGGTATATGACACTTTTTGAAATCCGTTAAAAACTGTGGGAGTAATCCTTCCGCCCCTTTTCAAAAATCTAATTTCGAGAAAAACGAGTTTAAAGTTTTACAGTCATAAAAACATTAGTCAACACTTTAAAAGTTAAGCTACGCTCACGAAAATTACTACTCGGTGGTTTTCGAGGTCGCTGATTACGAATCCGATGTCAGTTTTTAAAAATTCAAAATGGCGGATCCAATATGGCGGATGACAAAATTAAAAATTTAACGGATTTACATGAAACATGTAGCTATGGGGTTTTTGGGGTTGCTCATTATGAATATGACGTCAGATTTTCAAAATTTAAAATGGCATATCCAACATAGCCCACATAGCACCACTTCTTGCTGTGAGGTTACCCACACAGCACCCAAAATTCCCTGAAACTTGACAGAGCCTCACACGGCAAGGTTCATACAAGTTTGTGTCGATGTTTAAATGTCCACATGAAAAGAATATTTACACGAAACTTTGAGGAAATATTACACTATAAATATTCACGTGCAATGTTCAGTCAATGTTGTGTCAATATTCACCTATACTTATTATATTAGTAAATGAAATTTTTATAAAGGCGAAAATGTATTTTCAATATTGACACAACATTGACTGAACATTGCACGTGAATATTTATGTGTAATATTTCCTCAAAGTTTCGTGTGAATATTCTTTTCATGTGGACATTTAAACATCGACACAAACTTGTATGAACCTTGCCACTGATGTTTCCTAACTTCGCCATGTGAGGTTCTGTCAAGTTTCAGGGAATTTTGGGTGCTGTGTGGGTACTGTAAGGATATCTGTAGGGTTTGTAAGGTTACCGTGTAAGCCTGCAGTAAACTTGAGGTCATCTTAAAACTTCCGCCTTACAGTATAAGCTTACCCAGTAAAGCTAAGTTAAGTTTACACACTAAGGTCGTGGTAAGTTTACATGGTAAGGTTGTGGTAAGCTTACACGGTAAGGTTGTTATAAACTTCCTTTAAGGTTACTGTAAACATAGAATGTTTTTAATAAATAAATTTTATTAATATTTATGCGCAGTAGTTTTCTATGGCACATACGGCTGCGCAGTAACTTTTATTTGACAAACCCTATTGGGGTTCATGAAGTACTTTACCAAATACATAATGTTTTATGAAAAAAATTTATAATACAATATATATTATAATATAATTATTTTTAATATATTTTCATATCATTTTATATTCACAGTAACCTTACGGGAAGCTTATAACAACCTTACTGTGTAAGCTTACCACAACCTTACCATGTAAACTTACCACGACCTTAGTGTGTAAGCTTAACTTAGCTTTACTGTGTAAGCTTACTGTAAGGAGGAAGTTTTAAGATGACCTCAAGTGTACTGCAGGCTTACACGGTAACCTCACAAACCCTACAGATATCCTTACAGTAACCTCACAGTAAGAAGTCGTGCTATGTGGGAGCGGACTACAAATTTTCAAAGTAAAGCTAAGGATGCCACAATCACTATACCCATATGATAGTGATTTCTGAATTCATTTTTTAATCATATTAAATTTTCTTACTATGCAATGTGTCTTTTCGCCGAAAATTATTTTTTAAAAATAGTTCCATGTTTTTTTTCGACTTAAAATTAATGGGATATTATTTCTAACACCCTAAGGAACCATTTAAGCAAAAAAAATTCGATTTTTTGGAAGTGTTTTGATGATGTTACCCCTTAACTTGGATAGATTCGTGGATTGTAATAGTATAGTTAATAATTGATGATTTTGGATATAATTCTAGGAATATGTGTATATAGACACAGGAATTTCGGTGGATAGAAAAAGGGATTCGTAATTCTGTAGATAAAATAATAAATAAAAATAATCTGAACATATATTGTACGCGTATTATATGCGATTATTTCTTCAAAACATGCATTTGTGTGTTTCTTTTTCTTGTTAAGAAAAATAAATATAAAAGAAAAAAATTTGGAACCTTGCAACATCTGTGTTTAAAAGCATTTCCGTTCATACATCTCCTCTACCCTTTTTTTAAACCATTAGTGTGTTCATGGGGCAATCATGCATCATATAAAATCTAAAAATATCTTCATCAAACTTTATGTAAATGGGAGAACGCATTTTAGAAATACAAATTTATTAAATCACTATATTAATTTCTAACAATTTATTATTGTCCCATAAAGAATTTGCAGTAATATTGGAATATTGCAGCAACATTTTGTGTTATAGGACACACTGACAGAGTCTATATTTAGCGTAAAACGAATTGTTTGTAATAATATTTCTCATAATATTATTTTTCCAAAAGGAACTTTTTTAAAACAAATCATCCTGTACAATTAGATGATTTAATTTAATGTTACCTAAATGAAATTCATCCCAAAACTTTTGTCAAATTGCCAACGAACATATATACGCATGAAAATAAATAATGAATAATGCTTTTTTATAGTTCAAAAATGTATCTTAATATTATGAAAATTATTTTAATATCAATTAATATGAATTTGAAAATAAAGTTTCTGTCAATGTAGGGGCGGAACGAGGCTTTTGAATCCGTTACTGTTTGTGGTACGTACCTATATTATATACATGAAAAGAGCACGCATATTTAAAACTTTATTTGGAATTAATAAATATACCTAAATATCTATCGAAAGTAGCTGAAGTCATAATTGCTTATAAAAATAAAACCACATTTTATTCATTATGCGTAAAGAAAATAAATGCATGAAAAAAAACTTTAATTTTACAAAGCGCAAAAAATTGTGCCTTTGTCAAAAAGAAAATATCTATATTCGCAGTTAAGGGAGATATTTGTTATAACTTATTATCCTATAAAATTTTTTTTCTTAATATATATATTATCAATTATATCATTAAAAACTCTTTAATCTTGATTCAATTGTTTAAATTTTTAAAAATGTTTTTTTTTATTGGAAAAATGTTAAAGTGTTATTTGCATACAATAAAAACATTAGTTGTAATTATTATCAACCTTCAGCATATAAAAAATGACATCATTTTTCAAGAAAGTAAATCATTAATTTTTTTAATAGAAAATAAAAGTCTATGTGAAGGTATGTGTGGAATAAAAAGTGATCCATTGTACCCGATGGAATAATTTACTGTCAAATATATATATATAAACAAAGGTCTATAATATTCCAATGGAAAATTTTTAACTAAAAAACTATGATGAAAAAGTTTTATATATTGGTTATTTTTTTATAAATAATAAACACATTGATTCTTGGAGAACCAAAATCGGGATATTTTTTCAGAATGCACCGTCCCGATCCTACTGATTTTAGAATTAAATTTTTGTTTAAAAAAACGGGTAATATCATCTTTTCCATTCTCATCAGGTACGTTGACGACAGAACCAAAAGTCGCTTACCTTTATAATGCGTATGGTATAGTTTAGTGAGAGTGGTATAGGTGTATGGAAATTATTGAAATTTTTTATATAGTTTAATCACAATCACAAAAAAAACACTTACTCCAAGAAGAACAACGCACGATAAAAGTAGGTAACGAAGACAACCAAAACTTCGTGCCATATCACAGATTTAAATAAAATAATAAATTTTCAAAGTTTTGAAGCACGCTCTCAGTACGATGGAGCGGCGGAGTTGCTGGGATTCATTACTGTTAGCCGAAGAAAACTTGTATATTGTGAGAGACAGCCTCGTTTATTCGAACCTGAGGATAGAATACATTCACCTACTTGTTACTCGATCCTTATCGTCTCAATATTCCTAAACAACTGCTTCCATACAAAAGATTCAGTGTCAAATGGATTTGCGATCTTCAATTTTTTTTTAACTTAAAATTTTTTATTATAAAAAAAATTTAATTTTTAAAAATATCGAGCGCTGCTTTTTTGAATTTGAAACTATTTTTTAAAAAAATTATTCCAAGGTCAATTATTAAAGAAGCAAAATTTTTAATTCATTTTTAAACAAAATATAGAAATGTGCCTTGAATCAAATTGATATTTTTTAATTTAAGAAAATATATTGTCATTAAAAAAAGAGCTGATTTTGTATTAAAGTTATTTTTTCCAAAATAATTTATTTTATTTATTAATTAATTAAAGAAAAATTTTCAGTGAAATTTCAGTTCATCAAAATTTACATTGGTACACTGAAAAAAAAATTTATTTGATTCAAATACTCGATTACTTGACTATTATCAAATAAATATTTACTTGAATCAATTAATTTTTATTTAAATTAAATAAATTGTATTTGAAACAAATACCATTTAATTGACTCAAGTAATAATAATTTAATACAAATAAATATTTATTTGATAATAGGCAAGTAATCGAGTATTTGAATCAAATAAATTTTTTTTCAATGTGATGTCAATTTGTTTTTCGACTTTTTATTGAAAACATAATATTAAGCTATATCATGAAAAATTAGAACAAAATTTTATAAGTTATTAAATTTTTTATACTCGAATTAAAAATAAAATTAAAAAAATTTCAAAATATATCAAATTTGTTTTAATTCTAATAAAATAAATTCAATTTCCTTCAAATTGAATATGAAAAAGTTAAAATAAAAAAAAACTATAAATAATAATAATAATAATAATAATAATAATAATAATAAAAATAATAATAATAAAATAAAGAAACTAAATAGTAAAAGTGATTCTTTTAGAAACTCAAATTTTTGATCTGCTTCTGATTTAAAAATAAATCTTTAAAAATGTTAAAAATAAATAAATTTATATGTTTAAAAGTGTACACAATATTTTTCAAAAGCACTCGAGTTGTCTTAAAAACTGAGTTTCTTTTTAGGGGAAAAATTAGTTTTTTAAAACTACAAATTACATATATTTTTTAAATTAATTTTTTTTAAAATGGATATTTACTTTAAAAATATTCAATATTTAAAAAAACGTATTTAATGAATTATTAGTTTTCTTCAGAAAGATGATTCAATTACTTGAATTAAGTATCTAAAGTAATTATTGAATATTTTTAATTTCCAAATTACAATTATAAATTAATTTCTCTATATCAACTATTCAAAATCATTGTCATAGTCACGTGATATATAAAAAGCGCACTCTAGCGATACTTTCTCTAACTTTTTTTAGCAGACGATACTAAATTATTGAGATTATTTTTAGGTTAACTTGAGACAAGTCAAGATTGTGAGTTTTGTGATTTACAATAGTGTATTTAAAATTATTTTTAATCTTCTACTAATTTGAATATCGTAATTTTTCTAATATTTTACTTTCAATATTGAAGAATTTTTATTTTTTCCAACTTTCTGGTAAATATTTTATGATAAATCTTAATCAAGAAAGAAATTAAATTTCTATTCCTCCTGTCACAATATTATTGTTTATTATTTTAAATTATAAACAGAAGTCACTCTAATATTGAAATTTAATTTCTATTTAATTTTTTTCAATTTTAGATCATTAATAATTGATATTGAGAAATTTTCCGAAATGGCCGGTACATCAAGCGATCAATCGAAGATCGCTCAAAAAACATGGGAAATGACAAATAACGTTGAAACTATTAGTACAGTTGACGAAATTTATAGATATGATCGAAAAGAACAACAAGATATTCTTGCTGCAAAACCATGGGAAAAAGAGTGAGTTTCTTTTGTCATTTCTTTTTTCTAATTAAGTGTAAAATAAAGTAAAAATGGGTTTAAAAAAATCTCGGGAGCAAAAGGAAGTCAAAATTGTTTTCATCTAGAAAAATGAAACAAAATACGCGCTACGGTCAAGAATAAAATAAAAAAGTTTGTCAGGGCAAAAACTGGATAAGTATTCATTAGGCGTAAAAATGACTTAGATATTTGTCTTATTTTCGCTCGCATAAATATTTAATTCATTTTAGATTCCGCTTTAATTATCAATTGCTTTCTTCATGATAATAAAATTTTTAACTTATTCTCAATTATTGGATTAAAACAACTTACTAAAAATTTAATTAATAACTAATATTATATAAAATATAAAAAAAATAATATTTTTAATATTTTTCTAAAGTTAAACCTCGTAAATGGTTTCTAACGTCACCTACATATAAATAACTTTTGCACATAAACGAAAAAAATTCGTTTTTGAAATTAAAATTATATTAAAAGAGTTTCTTTCTTCATTGATAGAAAATACTTTTATTTTTAATACCAACACTTTTTTGGACAGCGATATTGAATATTTAAGAAATATTCTTTTATTATAAAGCAATAACTGTTAATTTTAAACAAAATAATTTAATAAAATTAATTAAATCGTAGAAATAATTTTTTATTTATCCAATTATTATTTTTTAATCCAAAAGTAAAATATTATCGAGTTTCATAATAATTAGAATTAACACTCCGCTTATTTTTCTGTTTGCATATTGTTCGAAAAGAACAAAAAACCGTTTTTAACTGGAAAAATGTATTTTTGACCTGTTAAAAATGTTTCTTTAACCTATTTATTCAGTAAATTTTCTTAGATTTAATTTTTCAAAAAAACAAAAAAAAAATTTAAATATTAATTCTACATTGTTAATGTACGAGAAGAATGTATTTTAGGATGTCATAATAAAAGTTTAATAATTATAATTTCACAGAAGTTACTTTCATTCGTCGAATAACTTAATCAAACAATGGTAAAATAATTCTAAGGATAGTAGACTTGCGGAATTAAAGGCCATATATAAATTTTTATTTAAATTAAATTAACAAAAATTAAATATCAAATTCGAAAAAATGAAACAAATTTTTATTACTAGCAAAAGTGGAATAGAAGGATATCCCGCTTTTTGGCTCTTAACTTAAAGCAATTCGTCTTTCTTTGTAGTTAAATATATATTTTCCTTTTTTTCGGTGAAACATAATTAATTGACTCACTTTTGCTCGCAAGATTTATTTTAAACCTTTTTTACTATCAGCTCCTCAAAATATGAGTCCTACATTAATTTATTATTTTATTTATTTTGTTTAAAAAACTATAATGATTCTTGAAAATAAAAGACAACTTCATCACCATTTTTAATGTATTAAATTTTTTAAAATTTTAAATTATCTACCTATTTATTTATATTTTTTTAAAAATAGAATTTTTTACACATTTTATTAGGGAACTTTTTAAAAAATTTGCCAAAAAAGAACATTTTTATGAATTTTTTTTAAATTTTTCGGTGCAAGACAAAGTTTATAATGCTAATAAATAAAATATTTTCTATTATCTTAAAAATACTTTAATATTTGATACTTTCTACTCTTTTAATAATAAATATTATAGAAAAGTGGAAAAAAGGTTAGGAAAAAGTCAGGAAATTTTTTTTGTACTTCTTGCTGGACACCCGATTATATTGTTTACTTAATAATAGTTTGAAATACTGAATAAAAATTATTTTATATTATCGAATTCTAATTTGATCATTGAACTTTTTTATTTATTTCTTTATTTTCGGTTTTTTAAAAAATGTTTTACTTAACATTTTTAACTTTACAATTTTGTAACTCCGAGAATTTTACTTCCAAAAAGGTGTAAGATATTTTTTGCCATTTAAAAAAAAATACTTTTTTCTTATGTTTCAGTCCACATTTTTTTAAAGATATAAAAATTTCTGCATTGGCACTTCTGAAGATGGTAATGCACGCTCGTTCCGGAGGAACTTTAGAAGTTATGGGACTTTTACTTGGAAAAGTAGCAGCTAACACAATGGTGGTAATGGATTCATTTGCTCTACCCGTCGAAGGAACAGAAACCAGAGTTAATGCTCAAGCACAAGCCTACGAGTACATGACAGCGTACATTGAAGCTGCGAAACAAGTAAAATTCACTTTTTTTAATACATTTTCTATTATTTTCATCTCTCTCGATTACACTGAAAAAAAAATTTATTTGTTTCAAATAATCAATTACTTGACTATTATCAAATAAATATTTACTTGAACATAAATAATTTTTATTTTGAATTAAATGAACTGTATTTGAATCAATCATTTCTGTATTTAAAACAAATACTATTTAATTGATTCAAATAAAAATTATTTGGTTCAAGTAAATATTTATTTAATAATAATTAAGTAACCGGTTACTTAAATCGAATTCATTTTTCTTCAATGTATCAATGTATCATCAAAATATGTATTTATGAAAAAGTGTTATAAAAAATTTGTTAACCCTTTGCGTCACAGTGGGTCGCTCAGTGACCCACCTTTGGTTTTTCACTATATTACAATTATATTTCATATGAATTCGCTTGAAAATCGTTACTCGGGGGTTTTCGGGGTCGCTGATTACGAATCTGACTTTAGTTTTTAAAAATTCAAAATGGCCGATCCAATATGGCGGACATAAAAGTTAAAAATTAACTGAATTCTCTTGAAAATTGATACTCGGGGGTTTTCGGGGTCGCTGATTACGAATCTGATGTCAGTTTTTAAAAATTCAAAATAGCGGATCCAATATGGCGGACATAAAGTTGAAAATTGACTGAATTCGCTTGAAAATCGTTACTCGGGGGTTTTCGGGGTCGCTAAATACGAATCCGATGTCAGTTTTTTAAATTTCAAAATGGCAGATCCAATATGGCGGACGAAAAAATAAAAAGTCAACGCATTCGCTTAAAACTCGTTACTCGGGGGTTTTCGGGGTCGCTGATTACGAATCTGACTTTAGTTTTTAAAAATTCAAAATGGCCGATCCAATATGGTGGACATGAAGTTGAAAATTTACTGAATTCGCTTGAAAATCGGTACCGGGGGTTTTTCAGGGTCGCTGAATACGAATCTGATGTCAGTTTTAAAAAATTCAAAATGGCGGATTCAATATGGTGGACATGAAGTTAAAAATTGACTGAATTTGCTTGAAAATCGTTACTCGAGGGTTTTCAGGGTCGCTGAATAAAAAAATAAAAATAGAATTTCAGAATTTTAAATGTTTAAATAGAAATAATAGATGCTTATCTTTAAATCATGTACCTGACAACACTTGGATTAGTAACCTGTAAAAATAAACGTTTTTTACACTCAGCAGTATTGTTATTTACAAAATTGTTAGCATTTATGTTTTTGTAACTGAATCCAATGTATACCTTTTTTTACTATCATAAAGATTGTTGACGATCGTCATTTGTTTTACTGACTTTTTTTTGCGACGATCGTCATTTGTTTTATTTATAAAAATAAAAAAAATAAATAAAAAAAACAAGGTGGAACCAAAATCTTGCCACGTCCACGTCGTTGGTTCTGGGTAACGCTGAGAGCAGGATAGATAAAAAAAATGAAATTATTATTTTCGAAAAGTGACATGAGATTCGTATTCAGCGTCCCCGAAAACCCCCGAGTAACAATTTTCAAGCGAATCTAATCAATTTTCAATTTCAAGTCCGCCATATTGGAACCGCCATTTTAAATTTTGAAAAACTGACATCAGATTCGTACTCAGCGACCCCAAAAACCCCCGAGTATCGATTTTCAAAAAAATTCAGTCAATTTTTAGTTTTCATGTCCGCCATATTGGATCCGCTATTTTGAATTTTTGAAAACTGACATCAGATTCGTATTCAGCGACCCCGAAAACCCCCGAGTAACAATTTTCAAGCGAATTCAGTTAATTTTCCACTCCAAGTCCGCCATATTGGATCCGCCATTTTGAATTTTTAAAAACTGACTTCAGATTCGTAATCAACGACCCCGAAAACCCCCGAGTATCGATTTTCAAGGGAATTCAGTTAATTTTTAATTTTTATGTCCGCCATATTGGATCCGCCATTTTGAATTTTTGAAAACTGACATCAGACTCCTATTCAGCGACCCCGAAAGCCCCCGAGTAACAATTTTCAAGCGAATTCAGTTAATTTTTAACTCCAAGTCCGCCATATTGGATCCGCCATTTTGAATTTTTAAAAACTAATGTCAGATTATCTGTTTGCAATGTCTTTTAATAACAGAGTATCTATAAGTCTCAAATTTTAGTAAATCTAAATTTAAAAGTCAAAAATTCAATTTATTCAATTTTGAATCATTTAAAATTTTAATTTATTCAAAATTAAATTATACAAATTTTAATCATGTAATTAAAAAATCGATCAATCAATCAATCGAACTTTAAACTAATGAAATAATAATCTATCTAAAGATTAATCAATTTTTTTTTTAAATTATCCACATTTTAATTTATTCAAAAATCGTTTTAGTCCAATTACATTCCAAAAAATGTCGAAAAGACAATTTTTTTTATTTTAATTAAATTTAATTAGTTAATAAATATTTTACTTTAAATAACTAATGTTGTTAGATATTAAATTCAGTTTATTAATTCCTTAATAAGAATATTATTAAGAAAATTTATTTCGAATATTTCAGAATCGTACTAAGACAAATTTTCAAAATTTTAGTTAAATACACTGAAAATGTCTCCAATTGGACAAATTCTTTAAAAAAAATTCTTAAAGTTGCATTTAAAAAACTTTTTAAAGTCTATTTAGTCAATTTATTTAAATTTAAAATGATGGCATAGTTTTTAGTTTTAATGGTTAAAATAATTTCGAACAATAATTAAAAGATTAAAAATTTTTTTTTTTAATAATTGAATTGCAGAAGATTTTAAATTTGAAATAAATTTTCTGCAAATTTAAACTGACATAGTTTTTTTTTAATTTCTAATAACAATTCAATTTTAGAATTTTTATTTGAAACTTTTTTAAATAATTGAATTTTTAAAGAAATATTAAAATTATTAAAAATAATTAAATTTTGGAATATTTATAGTTGAAATTTTTAGAAGTAATTGTATTTCAAAAGATTTTTTCAAATTTCAGATAATACTTAATGAAATTTTACGGAATTGAAAATAATTTATCAAATAATTTAAAATTTTTGAAAATAATTGAACTTCAAGTGATTTTTGAATGAAATTTTTCGTAATTTCTATTGCTGAAGATTGAAGAAATTATTATACATTACAGACAACTTTTTTTAAAAAAAAAATTTAAACAATTATAGAATTTCATAAAATTTTTAATTGAAAAATAGTTTAAGATTTGTGAAGAATTTCATTAGAATTATTGAAAATAATTAATTTAAAGAAGAATTTTTGTTAAAAATTTGTTAAATAATTAAAATAAAGAAGATCTGAAGATCTGTAATTAATACTAAAAAAGACTATTTTGTTTAAAAATTTAAAAAAAAAATGTAAAAAAAAAGTAGAAATAGTTGTATAATCCGAGGCCTGATTATAATTCATTAAATTTAATAAAAAAAAATTTGTCAGAGAAATATCAGGAAATTGAAAAATTGATTCTTGTAGCAACTCTGAATTTAAAAAAAATGATATAGGTTGGAAGACAAGAAAACGCCATTGGTTGGTATCACAGTCATCCAGGATACGGTTGTTGGCTTTCTGGAATTGACGTTTCTACCCAAATGCTTAATCAAAATTTCCAAGAGCCTTTCGTTGCCATTGTCATTGATCCTGTGAGAACTATATCTGCTGGAAAAGTTTGCTTGGGTGCATTCAGAACTTATCCAAAGGTATAAAACTTACATTTATTTTAATTGTCAGGAAAAAATTTACTTTATTGCGACTTTTATAGTCTGAAATTAGGGTTTATATACAGAAAGCGGAAATTAAGAAAACGGCATGGATATTTAAAAAGTTTTAAAATTTTTCAAATTTCAACAATTTTTAAAAATAAATTTTTTTATTTTAATTTATAGTTTTGTCTGGGAATTATTAATTACTAATAAAAATAAATGTGTTAAAAATTATTATCTGTATCATTTAATTTAATTTAATTATTATTTAACAGGGTTATAAGCCAGCAAATGAAGAACCTTCTGAATACCAAACAATTCCATTAAACAAAATCGAAGACTTTGGCGTACACTGCAAACAGTACTATTCCTTAGAAGTAACTTACTTTAAATCATCTCTAGATAGAAGATTATTAGATTCTTTATGGAACAAATATTGGGTCAACACATTGAGTTCCTCGAGTCTTTTGACCAATGCCGACTATACAACTGGACAAATATTTGATTTGTCAGAAAAATTGGAACAATCAGAAGCTGCATTGGGCAGAGGATTTGTTGTTGGTGGAATTGAACCACATGACAGAACAACTGTTGAAAAACTCGTAAAGGCAACACGCGACAGTTGTAAAACAACAATTGAAGTTATTCACGGCCTAATGGCTCAAATAATTAAGGATCGACTATTTAATCGTGTTGGAGTCAACAGCATGGAAAGTTAACATCGTTTAGGAAAAAAAAATCATTTTTAATAATTCTAATCCCCTAATTTATAAGGTATATTAAAATAAAAAAAAACGAAAAAAATTATAATAATTCTTTTGAATATATGTTAATGTAAGTGTTCATTAATATAATAAATCGATACTTTGATATGAATATTTTTTCACTAATTCTTTCAATTTGAAATTTAAATGTTTCAATTTTCAGTTTCGATTTGTCTTTCGATTGTCTTTCAAAAGAAAAAGAAAATTTTCTTCGCCTTCAAGAAAAGAAAAGAAAAGTATTAAGGAATAAAAATACATTTTATTTTTACACGTTGATTCGCTAAAAAGTATATACAGCAACTGTGTTCATCAAAATCGTTATTCTTATAATTTTTTTTTTGCATACAGGCTCATCTAAAAATTTGCGATATTCTCGAAGAATTTTTCATCTTCAGAATCTGACGCTTTACATAATTCTGTACAATATGATGTGTCTATGTATAATATAATTATAAAACTAATATAATATGGAAAACAAATCTGCAATAATTTGACAAAATGAGGCGAAAAATTCTAGTTTCTCTTTTTTTCTCAAAAACTTCATAATCCTCATTGAGTGAATTTATTGCAGAATTAGGCAGAGCTTTATACACCGAAGAGCCGATGCTGTGTCATACTTTTCTATATAGACAAAGGCCACTCAAATATTCTTCCATACTTTATAAGCATTCACATTTCAATTAACAAACACACACGAGGGACGGAGCTAAAATCTAAAAAAAAACGAAAAATCAAGTCATTGGTCATTTCAAATTGTGAAATATAATCCAATTCCATTTTCGCGTCTTATAAAAGACATAACCATTAATTTCAAGTGCATCAATAATACACACAAACACATCTAAAATTAACATTCTCAATAAATTGAAATCAAAGTGTTACAAATCACTTGATAAAAATGTTATCTTTGTATATTATAAAAAAAAGATGCCGCCGATATTTTTTTTCAATAATAAACTTGCCACAATATTCTCTCTAAATCTGAATTAGTAAAAATTTAGAGAAGTATATTAAAAAGATCATTCTACTACCAAGAATTATCATCATTCTAATTCTTGGAGTCAAGAGGTAAATTTTATTCCTTCATGTTTGGATTTTTTTTTTTTTTGATTTCCAAAAGAATATTATCTCATAGCAACTACAATGCTAATTAAGTACAATAATGACATACACAATTTTCAAGAATAAAGAAAAGAAAAATTAACAATAACAATAATTGTACGTAGTCTTACTTTAAAGTAAACTTTACATTACATTTATTCTTTCTTTTTTTTAGTTATGAATATTAATCTCAATTAAATTTTTAAGTACTTTTTAAAAATATGTGTAATTTTTCATTGCTTTAAATTCAAATAATTTTCTATTATTATTAAAATATAATAAAAAAAAAACAGCATCTTGCTCTTTCATACGATTCAAGAAATAATAATTTATCGTTCAAAATACGTATAAAAACTATTTCTTACTCTTTCCATTTTTAATAGAAATTAAATTTTCAAATAGTAATTTTTATCGTTTACATTAAAAGAAAGGTAATAAAAAAAACATGTTGAATAAAATTTTTGAGAAAAAAAATCTAAAAAAATTTATTTTTCCACTTTTAACTGTATTAGTTTAGACAAATTATTTATAGATATTGCATTTTGCGTATACTTTACTGTGTAAAACACTGGATTCTTTTCTTTTTTTTTTAATTTTTTATATTAACGTAATATAAATGATTTTCGCGATCATTTCTATCTAATATTTACATAACATTTGATAACAAGCAACGTATAAAAAAGAAATAAAAACAATCAGTGTTCATAAATTTCACGAACATAGATATTTCTCAAATAATACATTTTTAGCTTTTATTTTCTTCACAGAGTTAAAAGTAAATTTTCTTTTTTTTTTAAAAAAAAAAGAAATCTAAAATTCTTAATGTTATAAATAATTTTTTTAAATTAAATAAAATCCAAAATTTTCTATTTGAAAAATTTAGAACCTTTTTTCTTAATTCATTTTCAGATTCCCTATTATTATTATTATTTTATATAAATATAATTCTTAATCTCGCAAACATTTCCATAAAAATATTCATCATTAAACATGTTATTTACAAACATAAAAAAAACTATAGAAATGTTTGCAAGAATATTTTATTGCAAGTCAAAAAAAAAAAATTGCAGGATTGTTTCAAGTTTTGAGCGAAAGTTTTCAAGTTCAAGCAACTTGAAAATAGTCTTGATAAATCAACATCAATATTGATAACAATTTATTTTCAAGTGATTTTTTTTCATTGTAAATAATAAAGTGACTGAAAGTAGACTACGTAAATTAAATCTCAGAAATTCCGGTTATCTTGTAAGCTTCGTAAGTTTGCTGCAAGCTTACGTGCTATTTTTAAGAATGCTTTGACTGGTCAACAAAATAAAAAATATATTTTTTTTGAAATTGAAGGAAAATTTCCAGTGAGATAAAAATGCTTAAAAAGTGTCTTTTAACGAATTATTTTAAAAATTATAAAGAATTTTAATTGAAATTTTCAGATTCATAATCTGGAAGAAAACAAATCTTATCAAAATTCTGTTTTTAGTTAAAATTGTGTTGACCAATATTACATCCATATCCATTTTAAAGACTTATAGCACAAACTATAATACAAGAGATAACTGTCGACAATTGCAATTAATATCTTTTTTTAATTCACTATTGTAATTGTTTAGAATTTTTTTTTTACAAAAGTTCATAAAATATTAAACTTTTGGTACGTAATCGAATTTTTGCGATTATTTCAGTGTAAAAAGTATTCTCCAGTCTAACATTACAAGGTTCGCATTGCTTCCCATTTTTTTTTATCGACAGTCTTTGCACGTAAGCGAGTCGTTTTTTTTACAAAAAACGTTTTTGGAAAAAAAAGAAACTATAAAATTTCCAAATTTCTTCTAAACTCACAATCTTCAATTTATTTTTCAATTATGACTAAAAGAGAGGCTACAATTATTTGACTAAACATTTGGTATTTAGCTTAGACAGAATTTTAAAAATCTTGTTTTTTTTTATTAAAATATATGTATAATAATATATACACGTAAATATATTTGCAACCTTTCCTTTAAGTACATAAATAGTGTTAGGGTTTATTTATTTAAATTTACGCGGTCAAATTATTTAAGTTAATCTAATCGAAATAGAGGGAGCTCAAGTAAATTTTAAGAGAAAAGCGGAAGTAAGACAGATTAATGCGAGCGACGATTAAGGCCAGGTCCAAGTCGAGTCAGCTGTTCCTTTGAAGTTTCAATGGAACAGCTGACACGACTTGGACCTGGCCTTAAGAAAGCATTGTTTTTGGGGCAGCTAGCTGCGTTACGAGTGTGTATGAAAAATTTTATTTGTAATTTTAATTCTTTTAATTAAATAAATCTGTTTAAAAGTGAAGAGCTAACTTATAATTTAACAAATTTAGAATTGGGATACTGAATAAATAAGAGTGAATGTACGAGATATTTTTGGACTAGTAACGTGAAAGTGAATTATGTTGTCACGGCCGACACATGTTCTGTCGAATAGTTAAAAGGAGATAATTTTTTTTTAACGTCATGTTCGTTTGTACAAGTTAATTTTTGGCTGATTTTATGGATGCGGTGATAATTTTCAAGAGAAATCATTTGAAAATTTTTAGAAAGAAAATTATAGTGAGCACACGCGTTAAACCGGAAGTATGAAGAATAGTTAAAAGGAAACAATCGAGCAAAAGTTGACCAGAGCTTTCAATTAAATCTAGAGACAAAAGCAGAGACAATCTGAGGAAAAACATCATCATGAGAAGGAATTACGTACAGAGGAACAGGTTCAAGAAGATCGAGAACGTCTTCTTCGAGAAAAGGAAGCGAGTGCCACTGCCATCTATAAACCAGCAAGCTGTTGGAGGAGAAGACGAGTTGGCCCGAGTTTTGTCGACGCTGTCCGAACAAATGGCAGTGCAAAAAAATAACAATCAGATTTCATTTTTCCCACTGATTCCTGAAGCGATTCACGAATTTCATGAAAATGAGGGACCAGAAGCTGCCAGGGCTTAGATTCGGGAAATTGAAAATATGAGAGATATCAATAATACACCGGTTTACAGTGAAATTGTCAATCGAACAAAACATTTTTTTCAATTAATATGTGTTTTTTCAGTAAGAAAAACATATTTTGGATTTTTTTCCTTTGTGCAAATTTGCTGAATCTAAAAAAACACATTTTCGAGGTGTGAGGTCACTTAAATTCACCTGTAGGAAAATCAGCTAGTCCAAATATAATAAATAATATGAGCCGTTCGCTGAAAAAAACGCTATTTTGAATTTTCAAAACGCTGTGTCTATTCGGCCAGTTCACTGGCCAAATAAGGTGGTTTAATTATTCGGCCAGTGACGAGAAACAGGGCATTTCTGTGTTGTAGAGAAAAACTGGCAGAATAAGGTGGTTTAATTATTCGGCCAGTGCACTGGCGGAATAAGATGGTTTCACAATTTGTCCAGTGTATTAATAAAACCCTCATCAGGTATAAACGCAGCTGTTCAATATTTGTTTATAATTAATTAAATAATTGAAAACTATTTGTTTCACGTAGTTACTCAGAAAAAATAAGGCGCGTAAATTTAAATTATATTTATTCACACAAGTTCGTGTATATCGTTGCTGAAGAAATTGCACGTGCAGCTTTATTAGGAAAACAAATAGAAGAACATGAGGTAGAAATTTGCCCTGAAAAAGTAAGTGCAGCAATTTTTGACGATTAAGTCAACATATTACTTGTCCAAAAGTATTTCAATAAAGACGCATGGGTCGTTGTGAAAAATACAATAGATATTAAAAGAAAATCTACTATCTGGAATTGTGGAAATTGTAACATTGATATATGCGAACCTGTCAAATGTGATACAAGAAAAAAACAATTAGAAAATCGATCAATTCGCTGTGATTCATGCCTAGAATGGTTTCACCAATCTTGTGCTAATTTAAACAAAATTCCGAAATTTAAAATTGATTTCCCCCAGTTTTGAAAAATCCAGTTGTACAATTTTAAGAAAAAATTATTTTGAGTTAAAGATTTTTTAAAAATAATAATTAATTAATATTTTGTATTTTTTTAAAGTTACATACGAAACGTAACATTTATCCAATTTTTATAAATTGGAGTTCGAGGTTATGTTGAGGGGACAAGCATTATATTAATTTCATTAATTTATATCAAAACGTCTGTTAGTCAACATATTAATATATTAAAAATCTGTTTTTTTTAACTGGCCAAATAGTGTTCCCTTTTTATTTGGCCAGCTTTGGATATTAATTGTGATTTTATTGACACACTGGTCAAATTGTAAAACCATCTTATTCCGCCAGTGCACTGGCCGAATAATTAAACCACCTTATTTGGCCAGTGCACTGGCCAAATAGCCACTGCGTTTTCAAAAACTGATCTTGGATTCGTAATCAGCAACCCTAAAAACCCTCGAGTAGTCATTTTTGTGAATTTATCTCAGATTTATAAAATTTTGTCCGTCATATTGTATTCGCCATTTTGAACTTTCAAAAACTGACACCCGGATTCATAATCAGCCAATTAAAAAAACCTTAGATTAGTGATGTTTAAAACCTCAGCTTTACTTTCATTTATAGTTTTCATTGTTGCTGCAAATCTCATGGCAAACGTTTTTTCTTTTTTATTTCTATAATTACGAAATTGGTATTGATTTCTTGTACAAAATATTCTTTTAAAAAGTAGAATAAATTTGTGGACTATTGTCACATGATAATCCAAAATGTTTAAATTTTTATCAAAGATATGGATTTTTTAATTTAACACAAAAGAGATTTAGATCGAAATCACTCGAGGGGTTACTAAAAATTGAAAAAATTGTTTTGCTCATTAAATCTAGTGTAGAATTTTTATTTTTTATCCGATTGTGTTTTACTTGGGCTCAAAAAATTTCGTAATTAAATAGACTAGCGATAAAAAATTTAAAACAAACTATTTTCATTTTTTGGATTAGAAAAAATTAGCAGCAGTTAGACAAGTATCTAAAAATCATGAAATTTAAACTTTGATCAATTATAAGTCTATCAATTTTCATTAGATTTTATTCAATGACCGACGGTTCGAAAGGTAATTTAATTACCTATCCAACGGTATATTATTTATTATATTTGGTTTTGCTAATTTCCTACAAGTGAATTTAAATGACGTTACACCTCGAAAATGTGTTTTTTTAGATTCAGCAAATTTGCACGAAGGAAAAAACCCAAAATATTTTTTTCCTTCTCAAAAAACACTTATTAATTGAAAAAAAATGTTTCATTCGATTGGCAAAAAAAGTTTTTAATTTGTAAAGCTGTGTAATTGGACAGTGCAATCAGTTTTAGTAAATGATTGTGATCGAACATTTGATACTAGTTATGTAGATGAGTTCTTGATGAAACGTGCGAGTGACCTTGGATGGATCACTTTATTAACGAATGCTAAAAAATTGTTTGTTTGGGAGATAGACAACAGATAACATTTATAGATACATTTTATACCATACAATGGTAATAAAATGAGATTCTATGTAAAAATTGAGTTAAAACATCTGAAAATGCTAACATGACTGGACTATGCGTATTACTTGGATGTAGAAGATTTACTTGTGTAAATCTGTATCATCTGTACAAAACCCGGATGAGGCTCTTGTTGAGTGGAACTGAATTAGATGAATAAATGATGTAAGAGCTGGTTCCTACCCAGAACCTAATGCAATTTTTACACGTCATTGTGTTTAAGAAAGGGAAACGAAAAATTCAATGACTTAGAATTGGATTCAGAATCAGAAAGTAATGTGGAAATTCTAGGTGAGAATGAGAATCAAAATACTGTCATCGAAAAGCGAAATATAAAATGTTAATGAAATCAAACAGAAGGAGATTGTAAATAATCAAAATGTGAAAACAGAAAACGTGAACGAGACTGATAATTAAAGGTCAAAAAGACACAGAGTAAAACCGCAACGATGTTGAAATTATGTTACTTATTAAAAATGTAACTTCGATTATTAGTGTTTGAGGGGCTAACAAATTAAGGATGGCCGAGTGTAAGCGTTTATTTATTTAAATTAACGCTGTCAAATTATTTCAATTAATTTAATCGAAATAAAGAGAGCTCAAGTAAATTGTTAGAGAAAAGCGGAAGTAAGACACATTAATGCGAGCGACGGTTAAAAAAGCATTATTTTGGGGCAGCTAGCTGCGTTACGACTGTGTATCAAAAATTTTATTTTTAATCTTCAATCTTTTAATTAAATAAATTTGTTTTAAATTGAAGAATTAACTTATAATTTAACAATAGTTTTCTAGATTGCGAATTAGAGAAATAAAATTTAAAAAAATACCAATGTTTTTTTCATATCATATATGCGGATGGTTCTTACAATATGTATATAAATCGGCAAATGATTTTCCAATTTTATTAACACTCTAAAAAAATAGTTTCATTTTAGAGCTACTTGTATTTTAAATACAAAATATGTACATATTTGCCTAATTGTATAGCAATTTTTTGTTTAGATAAAAAAAAACTATTTTTATTTATAGTGTTTCTACTTTTGTCCTTTAATCCTAAATCTTAATATATTACCATTTTTTGTAATGAAAAATGTTAATTTCACAAAAATAAAATTAGTTCTAATCTGAAACTATAATTTTGCAAAATTTCATTAGAAATCAAAAGATCGCTTGCAGATTTTGATATTTTTGACGTGGACTAATTTTCTAAAAACATAATAAATTCTTCATTTTAATAGAAAAAAATTACTTTCATTAAACTAATTGTTTGACTTTCATATTTGAAGATATGTTCAATATCAACAATCCTCCAGTTATTAACAAAAATTTGTCAAAAAATCTTTTTTTTCTATACTTTTAAAAGAAAATATTTTTCACGTGCATGATTTTGTTTTTTTTTTCAATTTCGTAAGCTACATTTCTTGGAGCAATATTCTTTGGAACGACAAATCGCTAGTCTGAAAGCGACAATCGTTTAGATGTGAGATTAGAATTCAGTCTATTAAAGACTCGCTTAGTTATTTAGGCAGGCATATGTACAATAAATTGGCTTCTGTATAGTTTACTGTCATTGTGATACTAAAGATGGAAAGCTGTTTACTTCTGCCTGTTCCAAAACTGGACCCGCTAATCCCGTGTAAGAAATGCGTAATCTCATTCTCAATGAAGCCTAAAACATAATTCATTTTTTTATTACATTAATTTGTATATTTTTCTTAATAGGGATTCAATTTTAGATTAAAAAAGGGGATTTTTAAAATTAAAAAATAGTTTATTACATATCAAGTTTAATTTAAAGAAATTCTATTTGTTTCTTTTTCATTTCAAATCATCGAATTTTAATTTTGCAGAATTTTATAAAGTAAATAATATATTGAACTGAAGTTTCATATATGAAATAATTTTTATATCAACGAATAAATAAATAATATCAATACTAATATTATTATTAATAAATAAAAATAAAGTCAGTGTAAATTTTTTTTTGATGAGGGGGTTATTGTTCAGTAAAAAGTCTTATTTTAAACGAATATACTGGGTGTCGATTAATTTATGTAATTTGATTTGATTCTGACGTCAAATTCAAATTTATTTTGACGTCGAAGTCAAATTTAATTCGAGAAATACATTTTTTTATTTGACTTTGACATCAGAATCAAATCAAATTACATAATCGACACCCTTTTTTTTAAATGTGCTTTTTAGCTTTTTAAAACAGAAATTTTTGGTATATTTCAAGAAATTTTTTGAATGATGAAAAAATTTGATGGAATAATTCATATTCATGCTTATTTTATTAATCGTGAGTGTATAAATATTAACTTACTTTATTAATATTTGTTACTTTCAATACTTGAGTAACTTGACCCGATGGTGAAAGAATAGTACCGGAAGGCGAAAACATTTGCAACTGGAATGTCTGTAAAATATTGACAAAGTTTTTTTTAGAAAATTTCAAAATATTTAGGTCATTCCATTATATTTAACCTATAGTCGTTATGACTTATCTAAAGGTGGTAGTCTGGTGTTTAGGCCTTTTTTCGGGAGCTTATCAGGATTTTTTTTATTATAAAAAATAATAATATAATATATTTATAATTATATAAAATATAATCACACCAAATCTTTTTACATCGTTTTGTTTTCATTATGAAGTGTTGAAAAAAATTATAATCGATTATTTTTTAATAGGTAGATTTTATTATTTATATTTAATATTAATGTTTATAAATAGGGCGCAACGACTTCAGATGAAATATAATGGATTGACCATTTATTTATTTTCTATTACTTATTATTAATTTATTGAATGTGCACACTACCTTAGGAACTGCGGCTTGAAACAAAAATTCAGTCAATGGAATTGTTCCAGAATTTTGTGCCAACATATTTATTATCAGCAAATCGGCATTTTCTGTTGACCGTTCTAATTTAAAGGTAATTTTCAGTCCCGACTTATCAAAGACAACCATATTTTGGGCTTCTAAAATGAACATAAAAATTTTGTTTTTATAAATAAAATAAAATAAAAAACATTATATTTTAAAGAAAATGTAAATATTTTAAAAACATTCAAGAATTTTCTGAAGTTTTCTATAAAATTTGAAAATATTTAAGAATTAAATTTAATGAATTAATTTAATACATAAAAATAATTATTAAAATATATTTAAGAGTAATGGAAATACTTTAAAATATAAATGTATGTGGAATTTTAATTAAAGCGAATTTTAATTTAACAGAATTCTCATTTAATCGAATTTTATGTGATTCGAATTTTTAAATGACAGAAATTCCAATTCACCGAATTTTTATTTGTACCAATTTTTAATTGATCGAATTTTTAAGACGCCGAACTTTCATTTGTCCAAAATCAAAAATATCCGATCAAACAATCGACAGAAATATTTCGGCGCAATTTTTAAAATTCACCAATTAGAAATTAACAAGAAAATCGTGATTGGTCAATTTTAAAAATTCCGCCGAAATCTTTCTGTTGATTGTTTGTTCGGTCAATTTGTAATTTCGGACAAATGAAAATCCAGCGTCTCAAAAATTCTATCAATTAAAAATTCGTACAAATAAAAGTTTGTTGAATTGGAATTCCTGGCATTTAAAAATTCTAATCACATAAAATTCGATTGAATGAGAATTCTGTTAAATTAAAATTCCCTTAAATAAAAAGTGAATAAGTGAAAAAACAAAAATTCTGTAGCTAAAAATTTTTATAAGTAAAAATTCGTATAAAAAGAAATTCTGTCAAATGCTAATTCGAAAAATGATAATTCGTCTAAAAAATAATTATGTCTATAATAAAATTCTAATTAATAATTTTTATCAGATATTCATGCACCCCTCTTGTGTCAAAATATGAAAAATGAAAGCGAACCATTTTGAATTGTTGGTGAGGAAGAGTTAAGCAGTCCGTCAACTAAGAAATTAGAAGTGTTTGTTGGACTAAATATTTGTGAAGGCGATTGTTGTGTTATAGCTGGAGTCGAGGTCGGTGTACTCAAATCTAATCCGCCCAAAAGATCCAAAAGATCATTTGTATTCGTGACAGGCGTACTTGGAGGAACAGTTGTTGTTGCTGTTGCTGGCACACTCGCCATCGACGAATTTAAATCGGCTGTTCCAAGAAGATCCAAGAGGGCGTTCTGTTAATATAACATCAAATAATAATAATAACCTCTTTATAATATAAAAAGATTTCAATCCCTAGTATCAAAAACATTTGTTTCTAAAAAAATTGTAAAAAAAACATTCAGTTTCTAAAATTTAATTTACTAATAACATTATAGTTACTTTGTTGTCAAATTGTCACACTACAATTGCAACTAAGTGACAAATTTTAACATGTATTTCGAAATGAATATTTTACAAAATAAAAACTGGCTTGTATCATAATAGCCCCGGTTGATGGTAGCATAAATTTAATACTGTTAAATACGAAATTATGAAAAGTGAAGAAATTGACACGCAAGTTACAAAAAGATAATAGAGATTAAAAATAAACAAAATTGTATTATTGAATTTCATTACTTACCGAGTCTGTTGTTGAAGCATCGGTTTCTAAAATTGACGATTTTTCCTCTTCGAGAACATCAGGTTCGCCGTTCACCATTCCAATTATTCCATTTGCTTGTGGTCTCGCTGTTTCCATTGGTGGCATTCGTTCAAGAAGAGCCGGTCTTAAATGATCGTATTTCCTAAATAATTGTGAAAATTCAATTCCACGTTGCTGAAGTTCAATATGTAAATTACTTCCAAATGTGTCTATTATCTGTCGAATTTTCCTGTAAAATGTAGAATCACTATTACATCAGTGACAATTAATCTGCAATGAGAGCATTGAGCAAAACTACAATTTGTACACTCTTAGAAAATTTTTTCTTCACCTATATTATTATTCAATCTATATGCTATGCATCTTTTTTAAATGTATTTTTATTCGTGAACATTAAATTTTTCCTTGGAAAAATAGAATAGAATTTTAGTGAATAAAAAGTGATGAAAAATTGAAAAATTTTTTAAGAGTGTAAAAGGACAATTTTACTTATTTAGAACTTACTCATTTCCTTTATGGAATCGAGTGCTAAGCTTTGTGAGAGAAAGTAAAGTGTACTGCTTTGTAATGACAGTATTCTGTGGATTCCAAAGTAGCCTCTGATAAACATCAATGATTTCATCTTCCGTCAACTATTGTAAAGATTACATTTTTTACAGTTAATAAATTTATATAAATATTTATCTTTGCAAGATACAAGTCGTGAAAATATATATATTTTTTTAAAGAAACAAAATTCGATTTCTTGTATCAATTTCTGTTTATTGTTCGGGACCTTATTTTGTAATCATAAAATTTTGTATTTTTTAAAAAATAACATAACAAGACATGAAAATGCCCTCTTTTTAGAGAATCGCCCATATTTATAAATTTTTCTCAATAACTTACGTCAACGGGTGCATCAGCATCCTCTGGATGTGGACCATACAATAATACATCTCCATATTCTCCTATACACCAAGTGGCTACCTGCGCCAATGGTTGTTTATCGGACGTATCTTTCTCTAAAGCCCTCCAAAGTGCACTCACTGCATAACATTGTTGAGCTTGAGTTTCTGAGATCAATTGTATCGTACATGCAACAACGTCGTCTCTCACATAATTACCAGCCTAGTGGAAAATTAATCATTAAATTACTCATTGTTTCTTCAAACAAAGAATATAATAAAAACTATCAAATAACATTTCTTTATTGCAATTCAATTTTTCTTTTAATTTACCAAAAATCTATCAAAAGTTTTAATTTTTAAAAATCGAAATTTAAAAATCTTAAAAAATGGATAAATCATTAAAAGTTGGACACGACAAAAATTAAAAATTTCTTACTAGAAACAAATGTTAAATTTTAGTTAATGTTGTTTAAATCGTTTCCCATTGACAAGAAATTGTATAATTTTTTTTATCAAAAATGTAACTTTAAATGGTTTAGAATATTAAGAAATAAATTGTTTATATTTGCACTAGTACATTTTTTAAAATTAAATTTTTTTGTTCCGATTGTTTATCAAATTTTGTATTAAAAAAAAATTATCAATTTGTTAAATTGTTCTTTAAAATTATATTTTGTATACTCACAGCGACAAGAACTTTAAATAAAGTTTCAAGGTGCCATCTTTTATTAGGAGAGAACCTCTCAGCAGACATAACGATATTACTGCTGCATTGAGCTTTAAATTCAGGATCTGCACGTTCCAAGAAAAGAAGTAATTCCTTCATCATATTTCTAATATTATTCGTATTTACGAGAGCAAAACTCAACTCCATTGCCCGTCGCCTTATTGACACATCAGGATCTTTCAAGCATTCCTGTCAAAAATATATAAATATAAATATTCTAAGAATCTATTACAATTCATTTCTCAATTAATTAAATTTAATAATAAGCAAAATCAATGTTTCACACTTATCTACTAAAAACTTACTACTTGCTACTTTTTTTTAATTTTTTAGAAATTTTTGAGTAAAAAATGATTAATTTTTCATAAAAATTCTTCTATTAATTTAAGGATTTCAAAATTCTCAACTTTTCCCACTAAATTTCTTTTTATTTATAAGAATTTATAATTTTTTTGAAAATCCCTAAAATTCTCTATTTTTCCTTCATTTTTTTCGACCTTTTGTTTTCTTAAAGTTTTGATTTCCTTTCATAAAAAAAAAATAAGAAAAATTTCGTTATTTAAACCATTTTTTCTCATATCTACCTTTTTTAGAATTTCTCTTCATTTATTAATTTACAAATATATTTATTGCAAACTAGTCCAAAATTTACAATTTTTTCCGTAAATTCTTTTCTTTTGAGAAAGTTCTAAAATCCTTGATTTTTCCTACTTTTTTCGCCTTAAAAGCAACTTTTTGCTTCTTTTTATTTACTAACCAGGGAGTGCGAAAAGAAAAGAAACAAAAATACTTTCTTACCAATATTGTCGATCGATGTCTTTGCACTGCACTTGTATCAACGTAGACTGTCTTTAATAACGTATTTAAGGCAACATAGCGGATATTCTTGTCATTGTTGAGTAAGAATCTGCCCAAAATATTCACAGCCAATACACGCAGTCCACTTTCAGATTTAATATCCATTATTGATAAGACCGTTTCGTATAATATTGTATTTCCAACATTCTTTGTTGTTTCGGTGTTTGTCGCTACTTGAGCAAGAATATCATACATTGCTTCGGAAGCGTTCACATCGTTGTGTCCCAAAATCCTCAGGAGTCGTAAAATTTTCACTTGAAGGAATGGATCCGATACTCCTGACACATCATGTTCAGGTGAATATCCGGCGTGAATTAAATTCTTCAAAATTCTTACGAGATTTGGTACAATCTATAAAAGAGAAAAATCATTTTTGTTTTCAAAAAAGAAAAACTAAAAATAACAAAAATTATTGTTAACTTCAATATTATATTGTAAATATTCAATTGATTTTAAAATATTATTATTATTGTAGAAGAAAAAAAATTTTCTAATTTATTCATTTCACTTAATTATTTAAATCAAAGCAGAATGAAAAAATTTTATATGAAAAATGTTTACATTATAAATTTATTTTTAGTTACATTCACAATAACTTTGTAAATGAAATAATAGTCAATGATTTTTTTCAAATTGCTCATGCAAATCGGATTAGAGACTACGTCATTTCTAGATCGTGTTATTGTCTCTTAATCGTAATACTTAGTAGAAAACATTCATGCGAGAAACATGACGATTACTTGTACAATAAATGCCAAGAAAAATCACCTTTAAAAAATATATTATAAAATTATTATGCACATAATATTTACATTAAATTAAAATGAATAACTATAATACTTATTTAATAATATAATAATATATAATAATAATATAATACTTATTTTACTTAAATAGAAAAAATAAAAAAATTGTAATAACATTAAAACTTCAAAAAAAAAACATTTTAATTATTTTTATTGCAAAATTCTTTCCCTACTAAAAACAATAAAAATTTATTTTATTAATTTAAACAGTAAATAAAGTGCAAGTTTCTATACAGCATGTAAAAAATATTTAATACATATATTCATACATTTTAATGCAATATTTAAAAACATTCCATTAATAAGAATAATGAATATGTATTGAAATAAGTCTGGAAAATATAAAAATAAAAAGTTATTGAAAACATCTATGTAAGAGGTTGACTATTATAGAACAATAAAGGCGCAACTTTCTTAATATAGCATCGTTGTCGAATTGACAACTTTAATTAACAACAATAATAATAATGAACAAAATATCGCTTCATTCATATATATAATTATATATATAAGCTTAATGATTAACTGTTTCCTATACCTCTACATATAAGAAATGAAGAAAAAATATTTAAAAGTATAAGTAAATTTTAATTCTAAAAAGCAAACGTTCAGTTGACAAGAGTTTCATGCAGAAACACTGCAAAATTATCTTTAGTTTACCTCTCTGTGTCCGCATTCCTAAATAAGAATAAAAGCATACTGTTTTATTGTAATTATCAATTTGTATTATTATTAATTATTTAATCTAATAGTAGAGAAGGGCATGAGGCTTAATGATACATTTTTTATTAAAAAAAACTTTTCGAAGCTTTAAATAGTCAAAAATCATTCTCTGTTATAACCTATTTAATAGAAAATTTCGTTGCCTACAAATTTCCCTCAGTTTTTTTTTAATTTTCATAAAAACAAAGTCATAAGTGATTTGTTCCATGATTCCAATCTTTCGCACGATAAAAAAAAAAATGAAAACGATTAATTTTCTAGAAAAAATTTCATAAAATCTATGTTATATGTATCAAGCAAAAAAAATAATAAATTAAATAAGCAAAGTAAAAGATAAATTAAAAATGTTGAAAAAAAAATCTTTACCGTCAACCAGGATAATTATACCAATCTAGGGCCTATTATAACCATCGAAAGCTTTTAATAAATAAAATTTTTGTTTTAAAATATTTAAATATGCCGCTTGATGTAAATATTGTTTGACAGTTTGACTATAAAGGGCACTAAATATAATTACTTAATTTTTTGTCAGACAGAAGAGAAAAAAATTCTTAAAGTCATAAAATAAAAAATTTTCCAAGTTTTTACAAAAAAAATTAAAATATTTTTTTAGTTTTTCCATATTAGACTATAAAAAAAAATTTGACGAAGATAAAACAATTAACGATTTTTTTGGCTATTTTATAAAGAAAAACTTTCATAGGTTTAATAGCAGGGCGCATGATTATCCCAGAAAAATAATTGGTTCGAATTTTCATTTTAAAGAATTTTATTAAATATTATTATTTCCTAGTCAAATTTGCATTTGTCCGAAATTGCCAATCACTAAACAAACAGTTGTCAGAAAAATTTGGTCGTGATTATTAAAATTCACCAATCACAATTTTCTTGATAATTTCTGATTTTCGTGAATTTTAAAAATCACGTCTAAATTTTTCTGTTGATTGTTTGTTCGGCCATTTGCAATTTCGGACAAATGAAAATTCGGCATTTTAAAAATTCTATCGAATAAACATTCATTACCTAAAAATGTTGTAGGGAAATATTCGTTTAAAAATAAATTCTGTCAAATAGTAATTCGTAAGATTTTTTATGGGACTTTAACAAGGTTGCTACGATTTCTCTCGAACAAAATTCCAGGTTTTCCAAAATTCATTAAAATACAGTAAAGTTTATTATTATAATAAATATTTTTAAAAAATTAATTTTTTGAGTTCTCCACAAAATTGTAGCTCAATCTATTAAGTCTTTTGCGAGAATATTTTCATGTGAAATCACAACAATCACATGACCTTAATCAATTTTGATGAATTTTATGATTTAATTTTTTTTCCAGGTTTTTTATACTTTTTCCATGACTTTTCCATACCAAATAAAATTCCATGAGTTTTCCAGGTTTCCAGAAAGTGTAGCAATCCTGTTTAAGTTTCTGTAACTCTGACAAAAAATTTTCTGTCGCCTGATTTAAAGGAACTCTTCAAAAAGATGTCCACAACATAACGCAATAGTTGAAATTTTTTTTCTTTATTACAGTTCAAAAGATATTATAGAACAAAGATTTATACAGTGTATCATTTAGCCTCATCCCTAAGTTTTCAAATTAAAGAAATTAAATAAAAACAATTCTCGAAATCATTAAAAATTGAACTTTTATGAAACTATTTATTTAAAAAATTAATAAAACAGCATCTTTCAAGTTTCAGAATTTTCTTTGCTTTTGTTGAAAATATTTTATTTTACAATCCATACTTTATTACATTTATAGGTCAGACCATTATAAAGTTATTGTGGACTAATTTTAAAAAAAGTTGATTCTGTATGATATCTAGGTAATGAAATAAAAAGAATTCTGTTAAAATTTTTATTACTTTTCTTAAAAAATGAGTTTAAAGTGGAGCAGGTACGGAAAAGTGTAATTTTTTTTAAGCAATTATATAAAGTATATTAAAAAAATTCATAAAAGACTAAAAAGAATGATTGATTTTTCTTTTAAATTAATTGATTAATTTTATTTTAATGATTAAAATAGTGAAAAATTTTTAAGTAAAATAAAAGGTCTGTCAAATAACCTAATTTAGTGGTTTTTATCAATTATTAATTATTTTCAACTTAATATTTCTTGTATATTTAAAGTAAAAGAAATGAAGAAAGTGCTAAGAAAACCTGACAGTTCATCAGAAATACTCTAAATTCGGGGAGTTTTTATTTCATTTAATAATTCCACTTACTCGTAATTAATTGATAAAAATCGCAAAATTAGGTTATTTTGACAGACCAACTTTAAAAATATATTTTTTATCTATTATTTTAATTATCTCATTAGTTTTAAAATTAGAATTAATCATTCTTTTTACAATTTTATGAATTTCTTTTATATATTTTTTAATTGCTAAAAAATGACACTTTTCCGCACCTTCTGCACTTTAAACTCATATTTTAAGAAAAGTAATAAAATTTTTAGCAGAATTCTTTTTATTTCATTACTTAGATATCATACAGAATTATTTCGGAAAGAATCAATTTTTTTTTAAATTAAGGTGTAACGTATTTATTCGAAATATAATGATCTGACCCTAATAATAAAATATAAATTCAATAGCACGTCAATAAAAATTCGTATTAAAATAGTATTTTTAAATTACATTCTATAGTTGAACATTTAACATTTTGAGAGTCTCTTATGTTTTTAGTGTTTTTTAAAAAAGTATTTAAATAAGTTAGGCTAATTTTTTTTTATCTTTAATCATTATTTTATATTTTAATATTCGCAGATTATCTTTATTTTTTCATTTTTAAAATAAAAAAAAATAAAACTATTTTGAAGAATCAAATCAGAACTATTCAAATTGATACTGTTACTGTCCTATGATTTTCATAATACTTCCTTGTAGTTGAACATTTTTTTGAAAATTTTAGGGCTTTCTCTATTTTTTCTTTCCAACTAGATTAATGATATAAATTTTTTTTATAGATTAACGCCGATTTTACTTTAAAACATGTTGGACTTATTATTCGATACAATTTTAAAATTAGGAAAATAAGTATTAAACTCTCTGTCTGACAATTTAATACTTATTGTCTACAAATTGTATAAATATAAATTGTCTATAAATGTTATAGCAGTAAAATATAAATAATTAATTACAGGGTGTCTAACAAAGATTGAGAAAAAAATTCCCTGACATTTTTTTGGCTTTTTCCCTAACTTTTTAAACCTTATTTCTGCCTTTTTGGGACAAAAATATGGTTACTAATATATTTAACAATAAATTAATTTCTAACGATAGTAAAAATGGTGATAAAAACATTTTCTGATTTTTCCTTGACCGTTAGACACCTCGAATTATTAAAATTTGTATAGAAAATTTTATACTCGTATTAGAAACTTCTATGTTGAGAAAAAAAATATTTATTTAAATAAATAGCAGAAAGTTAGAAAAACAGCGCAATTTTACCAAACTGTTATTAAATTTGACTTTTAAAAAGAAATGAATACTTTTGCACGTAAATAATTGAATTGACTCACCTGTTTGAAATGAGTTAATGTGTCAATGCTGTTTTCACACATTTCAGTAATTAATGTAACGCCGGTTATTAAGACTCCATGATTTTTTTCTGTAAGAAGACTGCGAGTTGCCGGAAGGAACATTTCCATGAGTTCTGGTACTCTTCTTATAATTCTAAACGCGCAAAGTGCTGCTTTCTTCCTGATATACGCATTTGGAGATTTCATTAATCTTTCAACTTCGGAGGCAAGATCTCTCGCCATTTCTGGAGATGCGATAGCGCCCAGTGTACATAATGCCAATCCAATTACAAATTGCGTTAAACTATTTAAATCGCTGTAATAATAATAATAATAATAATAATAATTTTTTTTAATTCACATTTTTCCCATATCATATTATATTTTATTAAAATTAGTTATTTTTAATTTCACAATTATTAATTATTCTTTATTTTTGTATTATTGTTTTGTGCAGAAAAAAAGGTAAACGTTTTTTTTTTTATTGAATTGTGGAAAATAAAAATTTTCTTACTTTTTCAAACAATTTGTTATAAGAAGATGAACGTCTTGTCGTTCATCGAGAAGTAACATTGCTCCCAAATAGCCAATCCGTTTATCAGTGAACCTTGGTGATGCTATTAATTTTAAGCACTCTAACTGGCCAAAATGTGCAGGATATCTGTAAAAATTATATTGAAAATATATTAAAAACTAAAATTTATTTAGATTCTAAGGCAAACTTCGGATCGTCTTAAAGGCGCAAAAAAGTCGTTTTAGTAGATTTACATTACAAATAATTTATTTCTATTAACCATTGTTATTAGATATTTATTTATTTATCCAAAAATATAATTTATTTGACCGCATTGTTGTTATTAGCAATAAAAATCAGATTGCACAACTCTCTTATAAATGAATTAAGCGAAACATCAAAAAATTTAAGATTACAATGAATTAAAAATATAGAAATTTATCAAGAAATTTTATTTAGAAATTTCAAAATTGAACTGAACAAATTTTCAAGATTTGAAAAAAATTTTAGATTTATAAAAAAATATGAAACTTACTTTTGTAAACAAATTTTCAAGTCTGATTTATAAAAATTATTTATATTAATTCAAAATATTATCAAAATTTGAAGTTGAAATGGTTAAAAAAAAATTTCAGTCACTTTTTAAAACTAAGATACTTTATGGGAAATGAGAGAACCATTATTACATAATAACCATTCAATTAATAATTGGATTTTAGAAGAACTTGAAGATTTTTTTTTTTAATTACAGATAATCATTGATTAAAAAACTTTTAATTAAATAATTGAAAAATGTTTTATATATAATTAAATTTTCGAAGAATATTATTAAAAATAATAATTAATTTAGCTCAGACTTTTTAGATTCAAATTTTCAAAATAATTGAATTTTGGCAGAGTTATGCAATAAAAAAAGTCATAGATTTTTTCTGTAATTTAATAAATTAATGTTTAATGTTATTTTGTAAAATAAATCGAAAAAGTCACCTTTTATTAAAGTAAGTCAAAAAAAGTCGAAATTTTTTATTTTAATTTAATTTAATTAGTTAATAAATATTTTACTTTAAATAACTAAATAATGTTATTAGATATTAAATTCATTTTATTAATTCCTTAATAAAAATAATTCTATAAGAATATTATTTCAAAATTTTAATGAAATAAAACAAATTTCTACAAAAATTCTCAAAGTTCCATTTTGAAAATTTTATGACGTCTGATTTAAGCATTTTATTCGAATTTAAAATTTTGACATAGTTTTTAGTTTTAATGGTCAAAACAATTTCGAACAATAATTAGGTATTACATATTTTTAAATAAAATTTTTTAAAAATAATTGAATAGAAGATTTCAAATTTGAAATTAATTTTCTGTAAATTTAAGCAGTTGTAGCTTTTTTTTAAATTAAGGGTGTCTAACAAGGATTGAGAAAAAAATTCCCTGACTTTTCCCTGACTCCTCCCTGACATTTTTTGATTTTTCCCTGACTTTTTAATAACCTTAGTTTTGCTTTCTTTTGACAAAAATATGGTTACTGACATATTTAACAATTAATTAATTTTTAATAGTAGTAACAAATGGTAATAAAAACAATTCAAGTTTTTTTAGATTAAAAAATTTTTAAATTCACAAAAAAATTTAATTTTTGTAGAAATTTACAGAAATTTCCCTGACTTTGAATGAAATTTTCTGAAATTCCCTGACTTTTCCCTGACCGTTAGACACCCTGTAAATTTCTGAATTCAATTTTAGAGTTTTTATTTGAAACTTTTTTAAATAATTGAACTTTTAATGAAATATTACAATTATTAAAAATAATTGAAGTTTGGAAGAGTTACATTTGAATTTTTTTCAAAAATAATTAAATTCAAAAGATTTTGTTAAATTTCAGACAATAATAAAATTTTACAGAATAGAAAATAATTTATCATGTAATTTTAGATAATCTTTTTAAAAATAATTGAATTTGTAAAGAATTTCATTAAAATTATTGAAAATAATTAATTTAGAGAAGAATTTTAGTTGAATTTTTTTAAAATTATTGAAATAAAAAAAAAAAATTTGCAAAAAAAGGAAAAAAAATTCGAAAAAGTCGTATTATCCGAGACCTGTATCTGGATCCTCAATTTATTGAAAAAGTTTTTTCAAAAAGGAAAATAGAAAAATATAAATAAATTAATAACATAAAAAAATTGTCTAGACAGTGAATACACCCTTCAATAAATTTCTTGATTTTAGTGATAGTTTTTTTTTTAAATATTTGACTTTTTTCCTGATTTTCAGAATTTTCCTAATGCATAAGTAGTTGAACCATAAAATGTATAAATTTATTGAAATTAAATTCACATACCCCAACATGTGAATATAGAGCAATTTGGCGATATTGCGACATCTCCAGACACTGTCTTCTTCTCTGAATGTCGAACGTATGTATGCACACTCTTTATTGACAACCGTTCGCTCTTCTGCAGCAGTACGAGCAGCTCTGATTTGCCTGATCAGATCTCGTAAACGAGTGGGAGCTGGCATTCTCACTGTTGAAACTTGTAAATTACCAAAATGCAATCAGAACAGAAAGTTTAGTGAATGAAGGTGCGTTTCATGTATAGAAAATATTATTCAAAGAACGAGTATTCTTCCGAACTTATGCCTTGTTTGTAGGTGATTTAAATAACAAGTAGAACAAGAGATCAATTCTATAAAAGCTACAAAATATTAATAATAAAGGTAAACTTTCTTAAAATAAATTTTTTTTATTTTTTTGCGAATAGATAATGTAAGAGAAAAAAAAGTGATAAAATTTTGAAAGAAACTTATAGTAAAATAAGAAAAGGAGAAAAAATATATGAAAGCAAAATGTGAAGGCAGTACTCAATAATTTTTTTTTTCAAATAACAAATGTTTACCTACCTCTTTCTACAGCTTCGTTGAAAGCCTGTTTTATGGAGGCCATGTTAAAGGCTGGGTTAAACCTAAAATCATTATGCACACTTGTTGGTTCATGCTTGCACACATTATGGATTAAGTATAAACAAAAAAAAGAATCTCATGCACTTAAATCTTCATGTCAATTGAGTGATTCTTTTACTTATAAAGTTTTCATTTTAGTTTATTGATATTTATGTAACATTACCTTAAGGTATAAATAATATCATAATTTCTTCAAAACGTCCAGCCCATATTCTTTTTTTTTAATTTTAAGAACAAATTTTCCACTTTAAGAGAGTAAAAATAATTCAGAACTATATTTTTAGGCATTGATTTTTGAAAAATAGTTACAAAAATAAATTCTAGACATTATTTACTGTATCAATTTTATTTTAAAACCACAATAAAGAAGAATAAAAATACTAACCTAAAAAATAAGTTCTTATTGAAATTATAGCTTTCTGTCATGCACATTTTTTTTTTTTTTAAAAAAGGGTGTACCTATCAAAAAAATATTTTTCTCATTTCTAATTTAAAAGGACTTCATCTAAAACACTCCCATTTGCTTTATAGAAAGAATAAAAATGTATTTTTTATGTATTCGCAATTGCTATATTAATCCCTAAACTCGTTAAATAATAAAAAGAAAATCAAATCAAGTTAAAAGTGTAGCTTTAAGAAATCTTGAAGAAAATCTTTACCCATGTTCTGAGGCATTCATTGTTTCTCAACGTAGATTCTGTTTTGAAGTAGTTGATGTTTCTAGTATATAAAAGCAATATACAGAATGTAGTTATAATGAACCCGGGGCACACAATTCTGAGGAACTGCTCTCGTCCTGTTACAGGTATAACCACAAATAATATTTGTTATTCATTCTTGTTAGACGTGCATTTTATTATAATTATTTATCATTTAACATCAAAAACAAAATCAAATTACATCTTGTACAACGCCATTTCATTTTTTCAAAAACATAATTTTTGTTACAATTTCTGCTAATTTTCTGCTAATTAATGCTGCAAAAAGTTTTTTGAAAAAATAATAATTATAACTCAAATTTCGAAAAAAAAATAAAGTTAAAAATGGTATTTGTATGTTATTAAAAACAAATAATTGTGCAAGACCAAAAGGAAAAGAAATTCTTTGAACAATTTTTAAAACCTTTAATTGTAAATTATTTCCAATACTTAATTCAAATTTAAATTCAAAAAAGCAATTTTTTAATCCATAAATTCTCAAAAATGATTATTTTTCAAAAATAAATTTTGTGCTGAATTATGCTAGTCGAGAACAAAAAAATAAATCAGCTAAAAATTGGTTTTTGATAAATAATCATTTTTGAGAATTTCTGGGTAAAATTTTTTTTTTTTTGAAAATTGAATTTTATTGATTAATTTTTTGTAACTACTATGATTGTTTTTTTTTGTAATCAAATATCACAATTCAGTATAAAATTTGTTTTTGAAAAATAATAATTTTTGAATATTTTTAGGTTAAAAAATCGTTTTTTCAATTTAAATTTGAATTATTTGGAATAAGTTATCATTAAAAAATTTTTAAATTGTTGAAAGAATTTCTTTTTGTTTTGGTCTTCCACACAATTGTTTATTTTTTAATAAAAATAAATAAGTAATAGCTGAATTGAATTACTATATTAAATAAAAATTTGCTTTCATATAAAGTTTACTTTATGAAATTTTGCTAAATATAAATTCAATAATTTTGAATTCAACGTCAGAAAAATTCTTTTAAATTCAGTGCACAATGTGTTTTTTCAATATTCATATTTTTTTGACTATAATTTGCTATAACTTTAAGTTTACTTTAAAATTTTTTAACTTTTAATTGAATATATTCTATTTTAAATATACTTTTAAGATAAATGTTATTATAAATTTACTCTGCAAACCTTAATTAACAATATTATAAGAATGTCAAAACGTTTTAAATCATAATTTTACTCCAGAAAAACTGTTATAGAAAAAAAAAAAATAAGATATATCAGAATGTTTTTTTTTTTTTTAATTAAAGCTGGTAACTTTTCCGTAAGATAAACTTTTTATTTAAGATGAAAATGAATAAGATAATTAACAAAGAATGATTAGTGTTCCATAACAAATTTTCATAACAAAAAAAAAAAATTGTGAATTTCTTAAGTTTGTTTTATATTAAAAGAACTTTGAAGAATAGACAAGTACATATATATATATAGGAAATTCATTATTTATAATTAGGAATAAAAAAAAATTAATTTTGAAAATTTTTTATATTTTTAATATATATGCAAAAAAGAATTTCTGGGTCAAATGAATTTTTTAATAATTGTTTAAATATCTAAAATTAGCAGAATATTAAAAGTTGAACATTTTTCAAAATCTAATACCGTTGATATAATCATTTATATAAATATCAAACGATCAATCCGAACCATATAAAATTACTCAATGCTTTTTTTCTTCATTGTCAAGCTGTTCATGTTCGAATCGAATTCTTTATCAATAAATGTGCATAAATAAGTGTATATTATAGAACTCAAAGATTTTCTTTCTAATAAAGTCCTTGATTTAAATTTTGAAAATGAAATTTAAATAGTTATTGCAAAAAATATAATGAATAAAAAAATTAATTTCAATGTTGAAAAAATGATAAAAAAACAACTTTTTGTGTTCATTTCTCTAGGAAAAATAATTATTATTATCCGTTATCACAAGAGAAAAATAAGAAAAACTTAGTTACAACTTATTCATTCGTTAAACAATTAGTACTGACAGTATGTATATTTATACAGGGTGTTCCAAAAGTATGGAAACTTTCAAATATCTCGAAAAGTACGAATTTTTGTAAAAAATGTTCAAGACAAAAGTTGTTCCAAACAAAAAGATGTACATCTTTGAAACAAAAAAATTGGGCCCGGAGCCCAATGTTGGGCCCTACAATGAAAAAAGTGGTTTTCTTAAATGAGACCACTAATTTTCAGTATCAAATTCGTAATCCCCATGAAATTCTGCGTTCAAACATATGGTATAAGTGCCGAAAATATTGGGCCCAATCCAAGATATTGGGTCCAAAATTTATCAACAGATAAATAAATTTTAGAAAATCGCATCTTGGAGGGATTTTGAGATCATAGGATTAGAAATTGAGCATAGAGCCCGATGTAAGATTCTGCAGCCCAATATGAGGGCCCAATATTTTTGGAATTTGTACCACAAGTCTAAGCCCAGAATTTCATAACGATTACAAAATAGAAGAAAACTAATTTTTTTACTGCCTCACATTGGGCTGCGAAATCTTACATTGGGCTCTGTGCTCAATTTGAAAAGTAGCTTTAAATTTTTAATCCTGTGACCCCAAAAACTCCAAAAGATGCGATTTTATAAATTTATTTATTTGTCAAAAAATGTCGAGCCCAATCACAGACATTAGGCCCAATATTTTTTGGCTTTTGTACTACAAGTCTAAACCCAGAATTTCATAACGATTATGAAATGGATAGTGAAAATTAGTGGGTTTTATTTAAACAACTAATTTTTTTTAATGTGGGCCTCACATTGGGCCGCGGAATCTTACATTGGGCTTTGTGTACAATTTGAAAATTAGCTTCGAATTTCTAATCATGTGACACCAAAACCCCTAAAGATGCGATTTTTTAAATTTATTTATTTAACCAAAAATGTTGGGCCTAATCCGAGACATTGGGCCCAATATTTTTGTCATTTTTACTACAAGTCTAAACCTAGAAATTCATGGGGCACTTATAACACATGTCTGAACGCAGAATTTCATGGGGATTACGAATTTGATACTGAAAATTAGTGGTCTCATTTAAGAAAACCACTTTTTTCATTGTAGGGCCCAACATTGGGCTCCGGGCCCAATTTTTTTGTTTCAAAGATGTACATCTTTTTGTTTGGAACAACTTTTATGTTGAACATTTTTTACAAAAAATCGTACTTTTCGAGATATTTGAAAGTTTCCATAATTTTGGAACACCCTGTATATCTTACAAATGATAAACTATATACTTATTATATTTAAATATTATTTTTTTACTTTATATGTGTTATGTAAATTTCAAAGAAAAGTAGTAAAAGCTCATTTAATATTTTAATATCTATAACGTACATTGATAACAATTTCCTTATAATTTTTTTTTCTAAACTTCGAAATTAAATTTAGATTTTTATAAATGGATAATTTTATAAACAAAGGAATTGTAATTTAAAATTTAATTTAAAAATATTATTAACTTTAACATCGATTTATATGCAACAAAAAAAATATCGTAAAGAAATTAACTATATTTTCTTCCTTCGTTTTTAAAACTAAAGAAATAAGAATTTCTTTACAAGATCTTTTAATGATATTCTTTTAAAAAGCAATTACAATTTCGTCAATCAAACTTGAGTTTTTAATTTTATTTCTTAAGTTACACAATTTTTAATTAAAATTCAATAAAACTTGTTTATTTACAATATATTTATTTTAAAGAAAGATATAAAATATTAAAGAAAACAAAATTATATTATAAACAATAACTAATATTAAATAGTCGTTAGTTATTTATTAATAAAAGAATGAAAATAAATTTTCCATTTTTTAATTTCTATCTAAAAATTACCTTTGATTCGCAAATTATATAATAAAAAAATTTGTTTTTCTTTTTCCAAACTGTTAGAAATGAAATTGCTAATTTTTAAAAATGTTTAATATTTAAAAATTAAAACATTTAATTATTAAATTAAATATTGGATGAAAATTAATCACTTCCAGTCAGTAAAAATAATAATTTAATTATTAAATTGATTTTTTTTTGGTTTTTTATAAAAAAAAAGTTGTTTTTCAATCTTAATTATCTTATCAACTTAATAAAATGGTTTTAAACTAAAATATCGACTGTGTACATTAAAAATCTAATTGAAATGATTTTTAACCAATAAATAGACCATGAATAATTGTGTCAAGTATTTGTGTGAATGAAACACAAATATCTGAATAACAATGATAATAATAATAATAATATAGAATAAGTGTGAATATTATTGCGAACTTTCAAATATACCTAGGTTAACTTTGGGCAATTTATTAAATCGTAAAAATTAAACAAATCTTATTTGCTTCATTTTGTTTGGAGAAAAATTTGATTAAATTTACTAAACCAAGAAACATTTTAAAAAAAAATTGCTCGCATACTTTAATAAATGTTGTTTCTATAATAATGTGTAGAAAAAAATTTTAAATAAAATAAATAAATAAAAGTTGAAATGTCTACCATTATCAACGACTGTAAAAAATATGATTTAAAATAAATTTTTTTCAAATCATTTGACAGCAGAAATACTTTTAAATATTCGTGAATATTAATAACTTTTTGTTTTGTAATAATTTTACATTCGTTTATGTTTAGGTTAATTAATATTTTTAACAAGGTCTTTTAACGAATAATTATCGTAGTAGTTTTTTTTTTAAAGTTATATGGTATTTATTCTCATATTGACTTAATAATTTTTTAACATTCGCAACAATTGATAAACACTTACCCTATATAGAAGAATAGCATTTTAAGTTAGAAAAACAATGTCAACAAAGCAAAATCAGTAATATATTCAAGAACAAAAAAATCATTAAAAGGAACAAAATCTGCACAAAACACTCCTTACTAGAGAGAGAAAAAATGAAACTCAGAAAACATCGACAATAGTAAAAAGAGAAATGAAAAAAATTAACCAAGAAAGTAAAACAAAGTTCTCTTTTTTTTATTCTCGAAAGCAAGCAACAAGTACTTTAAAACGTGATAAGAACAAAAGTAAAACTTTTTTTTTCAACATGGAACATGATAAAATTGTAAACAACACTTATAATATTCTGTATAGATGAAAAAACTTTAGATTATATAAAATAGAATTTAAATTTTGTTATAGTGATAAGCGAAAGGTTGGTTTTCAGCTGTCAGAAAGATTGTACCACGTTTAGATTAGTAGTAGTAGTAGTAACTAGTAGTCAGAAGTAAAGTATTTTCAAGTGGGTTTCATTTTTTTTTTTTTTTCGGAAAATTGAATTTAGTGAATGAGGATAAATGCCAAGAAATGAATCGTAAAACAGGTAGCTGTCGTGTCACCCACCTTTACAACACAAATACGGGAATGGGATTGATGCCTCGCCTTCCTTGTACTAGCGAACAGTCGAGTCAGACGCCCTCACCTACTTGCATAAATATTGCTCAACTTGTTTTATCAGATTTTGTCCTGCACCAACACTTTTTTTACTTTTACGGCTCTACCATACGTGATAGTTTTTTCTCGACTCAGAATCACAATGAATAATTTAACATATCCAAGTTCATAATTAGCGTTTACATATACAACCGAGTTCGACACTCTCGTCTCACTCTCTGCACACTTCCTTTATCGTTCACAAAATCCAAGATGGCGGCTCACTGTCATTCAATCACCATCAACATCACAATATTACACTCAACTTTTTTTGATATTTTTACATTTAATACATTATTTTTTATAAATGTTAGATTTTCTTTCAGTTAATTGTACTAATATTGAAGTATTATAACAATGAAAATTTCCTTATAGTGTAAAACTTGTTCTTTAAATAGTCACTATATTAACTTACGTAGTGGAGGCCATGTTTGATAAGTACCAAAATGGAATTATTCAAACTGATTTCTTCTTTTTCATCGTATTTTTTTTTATTACTACTTGACAATAAATCATTCTCTACAGAAGTGTAATCTCCAAATAAGACTTTATGTAAAATTGAAAGATTAAAAATCTTTTATTATATCATTATTTCAAAAATTTTAATTATTATTATTTTTTAAAAATATATTTAAAAAAATTTTTTAAATTGATAATATTTTACTTTCTATGAATTTGGTATTGATATTAATTAAATAAATTTATATTTTCAAAATATTTCTATGATATTAAACTATTAAAATTAAAATATCTATTTGGAGTTTCAAGGAATTTTTAAATGATTAAAAATTTATTATTTAGCAATTAGAAAAAATTTATTTATATTATAATATAATAATAATTATAATTTTATAATAATAATTATTCAGTAATTATTGTTATTATACCATTATTATAATTAAATAATAATTATTAAAAGGATTGTTTTTTTGAGTAATTTTTTTTCTCAACAGTTTTTTATTCAAAAATTTATGTGGAACATAACAATTTTTTAATTTTATATTTATTTATTTATTTGGTACAAACGGGCAATAACAACTTTGCCCAATCGTACAAAGTACATGAAGAACACAGTTTTTTATTAACATTTTATAAATAGGATTTAAAAATTTTAAACAATTTAAAATTATAAAAAATTCAAAATTTTTATAACAAAAATTACACTGTGTTACAAAAAATGGAAAAATAAAATTACTTTTAATCGGATCTACCCTAAATTTTTGACCTTGAAAAATTTTTCAAAAATGGTATATATTAAATTTCTCAAACACCACAAATTTTTCCTTTTATAGCTAAAAACTCGATTTTCAGTAGTTTATGTAGATATTTTGTAACTTTGTCATTTTTGGTTCGATTTCAAAGTTCCGTTTTTTATTTTCAAGCTGATAAGAAAACTTTTCATCCGTAATATTATTTTTTTGATATACCTATTTAAAAGTTAAGTTGTAAAAAGAATTGGAAATTATCAATTTTTTTTATTTTTTCATTTTTAACTATAATTTGCGACCATAATTTTATTTTAAAAAAATTTTCTACTCATGTCTTTAAAGTGCAGGCCTCGGATCGACATTAAGGCACAAAAACGTTGTTTTAGTCGATTTACATTCCAAAAAAAGTCGAAAAAGTCGATTTTTTTATTTTAATTAAATTTACTTAGTTAATAAGTATTTTACTTTAAATAATTAATGTTATTAGATATTAAATCCATTTTATTAATTTCTCAATTTTAATTAAGTAGTACTAATTTCTAAAAAAAAATTCTGAAAACAATTCAATTTTAGAGTTTTTATTTAAAACTTTTTTAAATAATTGAATTTTTAAAGAAATATTAAAATTATTAAAAATAATTGAACTTTGGAAGAGTTATATAGTTGAAATTTTTAGAAATCATTAAATTTCAGACAATAGTGAAATTTTACTGAATTGAAAATAGTTGATCAAATAATTTTAGATGACATTTTTTAAAAGTAATTAAATTTTCAAAGAATTACAATATTCATATTTTTGAATTTTAAACTTCAAGTGATTTTTAATTGAAGATTTTTTGTAATTTCTGTTGATAATGAATTTATTAGAAATTACAGACAAAAATTCAATTTCAAAAGTTTCTAATTGAAAAATGGTTTCAAGTAATTGAATTTTTGAAATAAATCAAAAAAAAAAATCAAAAAGTAAAAATCATTTAAAATAATTATATTTCAAAAGAGTTATATTAGTTGAAATTATTAAATTTCTGAAAGTTTTAGATGGAAAATTTTAAAAATAATTAAATTTTAAAAGGTTGTAAATTTAAATTTTTGCTAATTTTATTTGCTGATTTTTTTTTAATTGTAAACAATTGTTAAATTTCATAAAATTTTTAATTGAGAAATAGCTTAAGATAACTGAATTTGTGAAGAATTTTTTTTTTTAATTATTTAAAATAATTAATTTAGTGAAAAATTGTATTTTGTTTAAAATTTTTGTAAAAAAAATGTAAAAAAAGGTCGAATAAATCACATCTTATTAAAATAAGTCGAAAAAAGGCGTATTTTCGAAAAAAAGTTAGAAAAAGTCGAAAAATTCGTATAAGCCGAGGCCTGAAAGTGTATTAAATTCTGTGTCAAATGAGATTTAAAAAAAAAAAAAATTAGTTAAATATCTATTATTCAATTGTAAAATCATTTCTAGAAAACATGACATTTATTTATCTGTTTATATATTACATCTCTTTCACTTTTGCTAGACCGGAGATTTTTTATGTATACTAATGACCGGATACCCTCCCCGGGTGACCCAAATGTTTTCTTATTTGTAGTACATTGCAAAAAAGACTTAAAATCATCAAAGCTTTTCATTAAAACTATTTTATATTGACAAATGATTAAACAAAAATTTATTCAATGTATCAAATCGCAATTAAATTGATACAAAGTCTTTAGGATTGATATTGAAATTTTTTTTAAATTTAAACTTGCGAATCAAAATAGCAATAAAATATTTTTATAATTGATGTGGTCTGTCTCTAAATACTTACCGCTTGGAATTATTCGACGCAGAATTAAATACATTTTAAATTCATAAATAGAAAAAATATTTAAATAAAAATCAGGGCCTCAAATTACTGTTAAACTACTTAGAGAAGGAAGTAATTTTAATTATTATTAATATTTATAAAAAAAAGTACAATATTTTTATCTATTGAAATAAAAACCAATAAATGGTCTGGGCAATCTGTCAAAAATAAATCTCAACTTTCATATCCATAAAAATTTTTATAACTTTGGTTAATTGAAAAATATTTCTCGTTAAAAATATATCGTTAAAAGTTTGCAATTTTAATGATTTTAACTACGTAAAAGATTTTTAATGTCAACAAAACATTTATTTCTATGATTAAATAATTATTTACTAAATAAATAATGCACGATAATAATTTAATTATTTGTAATTTAAATACTCTATTATAATAAAAAATTATTCATAAATATCACGAAAAAAGCATTAGTTATTTTATTTTTTTCATTGTTTACTTTATATAAATATAGCACTTTTCCAAAAATAGATTTTATAATTAAAAGAATTACTCATCATTATGTGGAAGAGAAATAAAAGTTGTTCCTTTTGACGTTTTATTAACACTAATTAAAATTAAAATAATTAAAATTTTCCAGATAATGAACATTCAACTATCAATAAACATAGAATGAAACAAAGAAAAAAATATTATAAGAGTATATGAACTGAGCCATATTTATAAGATTATAATAATTTTCTTGTATGTAAAGTGAAATTTACCTTCTGTTGAGTTCAGGTGGTAAAACGCTCCAATCTTCTGCATCATAATAGGACCACATAATTTAATAATTGCACTATAATTAAAAAATAAACTCTATAACGGATTAAAGGAAAATGTCACAAAAAATTTGAAATTGAAACCTCATACATGAGATGCGACGAAATCAGTTTTTTTTTGACACTAGACGTAGGTAGAATGTATACTGAGCGGGGAAATAAGGTATTTCGCTTATCTTATCACAGATGGTATCTAGTTGATTAAAGAGACGATTAACGTTTACTTCTTTTAAAGTATTTGGATAAAAAGATGTTTATAATACTAAAATAAACATAAGTCGACATATTTTCAATAAAATTATATATATATATTGTTTTGGAATATACAAGGCGATTAACAGAATATTTTAAAATAGAAATATTTTTACAATATAGAATTGAATTATTATATTAATTACTTAATGTTGTAAGTACTTAAAACGAAAGCTACTTTAAACACTAATTACGTTAAACTGTTGTCATTTTGATTTCGAGGTGGTCGCACGTCACTGTTTCGTTTGACACAATCAACCAACCAATGGATACCTTCGTCAACTCCTTCCCTGTGTTCGAATTTAAAAAAAAAAAACATCATTTTTAATGATATTAATTGTTAGGTTGATTCAAAATTTAATTAATTACTTTGCTATTTGTTAATATTTAATGGTACCACGAAGTCAATGATTAGAGACAGGAACTTTATGCTTTTCACAAAGACGATTTATGCTATTATTATGCTCTTAAAAGATTACTTTTATGCTTTACATCTGAAAAATGTTTTCTTAAGCTCAAAATTATTAAATATATTTAATTATTGAAACGATAAACTATCTAAAATTTCAACTATCATTAAATCTGTTAAGAAAAAGAATACAGAAAGTTCAGCAACTTGAAACAAAAATTCAAGGCCTTTTCAAAGTTATAAAAATTAGAAATAATATTTTTCAAAATTCACCTTTAATGTATTAACACATAAAACTTCTAAATCTGAATTTTTATATTTAAAAAAATCATTATGTTTTAATAGGTATACAATCAAATTATTTACATATTTCTCCACTAAATTTCTTCAAAAATTTAAGTATATCAAATATTTTAATTAAATTATTTTAAAAATCGGCAATCAAATTTTAAAAAATTTTAATTATTCAACATCAATGTAATTATATTTAAAAATTAAATTATTTTCAAAATTTTAATTTTAAAATAAAATATACCTATAGTAAAATAATTCTAAATAAAGTCTTTGAAAATGAAATTAATTTTCAAATTCTTAAATTTAAAAATATTTAAACTATGTCAAAATCAAGAATTTACAATTGCAACTTTTTCAAAATCAAATTATTTATATTAAATCCAAATAATTATATTATTTATAAATTTTGTTAACAAAAACTCTTTAAAAATTTTATAAGTTTCAAAAATACATCAATCGAAATATCAAATCATTTTCAAAAATCTAAATTTAATTTTTTTTTTTTAAAACAAATATAAAATTTTTGATGCATTCAAATATTAAAATTTTCAAGTGAAAATAGACTGAAATTTTATTTCTCTAAAAAAAATTAATTAAAATTAAGCGCTAATTTATTTATTTTCAATAATTTTAATAAAATTCTTCAAAAATTAAGTTACTTAAAGAATTTTTTAATTAAATATTCTCTCAAACTAAATTATTGTATCGCCTGAAATATGATTTTTTATCAATAAACTTTTAATACAGAGAGATTTAAAATTACGGAATACTTTTTAAATTTATGATTTTATGCTCAAGCATAAAGTTCTTGTCTCCATGATTTTCTATTTCTGTCAATTTTATTATTAATAATAAATTATAATTATTTATTCTTTCCACATTTTGAACAGTTTTCCTTTTGCTTAATTTTTCCTTTTTAAATGCTTTAAATAAAATGTAGATACTTTTACTTATTTTTTTAGAAGGAGGAACCAGCGAAACTATTAATGACATTATGGTTTAATTAATTCATTAACCGAATTTTCCCTTATCAAAATATTTACTTAAAACTATTTTCATTTAACTAAATTCACATCTAACAGAATTTTTATTTAATGAAACTATTTAATTATTTAACTATAAATTTTTATTAAAGAAAATTTTTATTCAGTCATAATCGAATTAAGATTTAAAATTTTAATTGAAAATAAATTTATTATTTTAAAAATTTGATATACGTATAAATAATAAGTCGTTACTGTTAAAATTTGTTAAAGAATTAATGAAAATAAAATTATTTCATTTTTTTTTTTTAAATTTTACGTACCCATTGAGAGCAGATACAGGCATCACCATACAATCTCTTCGTCCAATAAGATGTGCGTTTTTATTAAAAATTGGTTTTACTTCTCTGACACCCATACAATCTGGTACATCTTGTTTATTTGCTAAAACTAATAGAGGAACCCCGGACAAATGTTCCGATGATATAACTCTATCTGAAATATTAAATTAAAGAAAGTTATAGTTTTAGTTTTAATTACATATAAAAAAAAATTATATATTGGCAAAATTTTTCAATTTAGTCCTACCAAAAGTTTCTTTAGAATCGGGAATCCTATCTCTATCTGATGAATCCACTATGTAGATAACTGCGTGAGATTCTGCGTAATACTAAAAATCATAAATTTCATTTTTCAAGAATCTTTACATTTTTAAATCATTTAAATAAAGGATTTCAATAGTATATTTGCAAATAAATAAAAAAAAGGAAATAAAAAGTCGGTAAAAAGTAAATTGTAAGAAAAATAGAGAATTTTACAAATTCTAAAAAGAAGAATAAGAGAAAAAATGAAAAAGAATGTTAAAAAACACGAAAATTTAAGGAAATACAATGTTGAAGAAAAGAAAAAAAAAGAGAATTTTAGAAATTCTTAAAATAAAAGGAAAAAATTGAGAATTTTGGTCTAGTTTTAAAAAAATTACATAAAAAGATAAAATAAATTATTATCATTATTTTAAATTATTGTTTTCAGTGATAATATACTTTAAAAATTGAACTTCTAACACAATTTTTAATATTTTTCATCGACAATTTTTTTTTTTACACTTTTACATTATCCAAGGCATAAAATTATTTTACGTCATTAAAATTTAGAAATAAATTTTAATTAACGATTATATTGCAAAGTTAAATATAAAACTAATCTTCAAACTCTTTTCATTTTTTACAATAATTATTCGAAAAGGGAAGAAAACAAAAATTTAAAAAACGGTAAATAAACACATTGATTAATTATGGTAAATTGTTAGAAATATAATTTAAAATCATTTTATACAATTCATCAAAATTGTCTAAATCGGTAATTTTATTTAAATGGATTAAAATTTCACTGGTGCCTCTCCTTAAGAAATTTATTAAAAATTCATAATTTAGCACAAAATTGTTAATGATTTAATAACAAGATTTTGTATTACTTTTAATTACATTAGATATAAAATAGTTTTATTATTATTGATTGTAAAATTGTTGGACTTAAATAAAAAGAAATTTAAAAAAATTGATTTTGTATAAATAAAAATATTTATATAAATACTTTATCCCATAGAGATTGAAGTTCCTCTTGACCACCAAGATCCCAAAAATTCAGTCTTACTCCAGCAATATCTATTTTGCCAATATTCAGTCCAACTGTCGTTGTAATTTTACTAGGATTCATTCCTTTATAATTCTTTGTAAATTTTGTTTTTGCTGCTTCTAAATACGTCTATACATTATATGAAATAGAAAGATTTTTTAAATTGTAAAACCTTGAAATGTCAAAACATAACCTACAATATGTATATTATACAGATTATACTTTATTAAAACACTTACAGTTTTGCCAGCATTGTCCAAACCTAATATAATTATAAAATATTCATCTTTCTGAACCAAATATTTATAAAATCCATGTAGTAATGTATACATTTCACAGAAAAAAAGAAAAATAAATAAATAAATGTTTAGTGGGAGTTTTGTTTTTATACACACACAAACATAACTTACACATATATAATAATATTAAGAAGAATTCTAACCTCACTTTAAACTTATTTAGTTATATATTTTATACATTTTAATAATTTGAAATTGAGTAAAAATCAGATTCTCATTGAATAAAAAAAATTAAAGGAATATAACAATTTAATAAATAATAATCAATAAAAGAAAAATTGATAATTCGGGGGATTTAAAATTTAAATACCAACCGCGACCGGTATGACCAATCAGAATCTCGAAACTAGGGAAGGGTTTAGTGACGTCAGAGAAAGAAGTGCAACAATTTGCTGCTGCCTCTGTGGTCTATCAAAATCTGTCAAACACTCGGCGTGAACGATCGAAGAATCACATTGTTTTCGTCCTCTTTCCCGTCCATAACTCCATCCAGTGCGCGCGACTAATTTTGGAAACACAATTTTCTAACAAATAACATCATGAATCAGTCATTTTTCTCAAATTTTTCATTACGAACCTAAAAAGAAAAAACGATTTTTCATCGCAAAAAAAAAAAAAAAAAAATGTGTTCCAGCGCAGTGGTGTACCACGCGATTTCCAAGCCCAATCCTTTAATTAATCAAATTGGTAGAATTCGTCTACTGCAACCCGGCTGTCAACAAAATCGATATTCCTGGGGATCATTAACTGTCAATCTAAATGGTGGATATTCATATAGAACATTAACAAATGGAAAAATAAATAATAAAAATAATGCCAGTAGTTCTCAAATACATCAGGAGAAAACAATTAGCTCGGCGGAATCATTGATTCTCAATAGGGATACTGTTGGTGTTTTAAAGAAACCTCAAGTCAAGGATTTTGCCATAAAATTAACTTCTGAAGAAAGAGAACTTTTAATTAAAACACTACAAGAATGTCAATCGATGAAGATTAAGGCTGAATTTGAAGGTATAATAATTAGACCTTTTTTTTTCATTTCTATATATATAGGTTAAAGTATTTCAGTTTGGAGCAGATCAGTTCCGTCCTCTTTATAAGTTGTATCCGGTTATTCCCGGATTTCTAATCGATCTGTGTCACTATCGTTTTTAAACGTATATTCATGAAATCAGCTTATATGGCAGTTTTGTATTTTTAATTTACATACTGTGCATAACTTATTATTATTTGTTGAAAAATTACGTGATTTTCTTTTATTTGCGCCCGTGACTTCATTGTATGATTATAACGCAAATTCTTCTCATTTGTTCTTTCAGTTAATTTTTCATCATAAATTCTATATTTATTTTATTTTTTAAAAATTTTTATTTTCTTCATTTTTATTTGTTTCATTAATTGCAGGCCTCTGATTGTGACTTTTTTGACTTATTTTAAAAAATGAAATTAAAAATAAAACCGTAGCAAAACTGTAGCTCTTCCAAAATTAAATTATTTTGAAAATTTAATTATAAAAAGTCTGCAAAATTTATTATTTTTAATAATTTAAAAAAAAATTCTTCGAAAATTGAATTATTTAAAACATTTTTTAATTAAAAATTCTCTAAAATTCAATTATTGCCTGAAATTCATGTAAAAAAATCAGTAATTCAAATTTGGTAAATTCTAAAAACCTGGTCTGTAAGCCTTCTGAAATTCAATTATTTAAAATATTTTTTAATTATTTAAAAATTTGTTAACAATTATTATCTGTAATTTATAAAAAAAAAACTCTTCTCCAATTCAATTTTACAAAAATTTCAATTTAAAATCTCTTGAAATTCAATTATTTGTAAAAATATTAAATATGTAATTCTTCCAAAAACTCAATTATTTTTTAAATTATTTAAAATATTCTTCGCCAAATAATAATAATTAATAATTAAGTCAAAATTCTTCCATTTTCGATAACGCAAAGGTACCTTATTTTTAGAAAGTGGCTGAAATTTTTTTCAATCATTTCATTCAACTTCAAACTTTGACAAAATTATGAATTCATAAATAATTTGCATAAATCAGACATGAACATTTTTTTAAAAATAAGTTTTATATATTTTTATTTAAAATTTTTGAAATTTATGAAAATTTGTCTGATTTTGAAATATTATCTAAATAAAATTTTGTTGATGAATTTCTGTATGCAATTATTCTTATTAAGAAATTCTTATATTATTTTTTAAATTTCTGATAACAATTGTTAATTATAATAAAAATAAAATTATTAGAATTATAAAAATCGACTCTTTCGACTTTTTTTCTAATTTAAATTGTTTAAAACGACTTTTTTTGCATTTTAAAATCGATTCGAGGCCTGAAATTGAGAAACTCCGCTAAATTTGAAAAACAAAATTTAAACATTAAAACTTGGAGTGTACGACTTTTTTTTTTTACTATTTTCGACTTAAAAAAAAAGTAATTTATTTCGATTCTTCTAATGAAAACTGCGACTGTTTTAAATTCGAATATCATTTTTTTCTATTTAAAATTGAAACGAAGTGGCAAATATCATCTCCTATAAAGTATTTTATTGTCGAACAGATTGGATAAATTTAAAAACATTTTATATGCAATGAAACAGAATTTTTTTTATATCCTTATAGGTGATGAAAATTAGTTTATGAAATTATTAAACCAAAAAAAAGTTTTTTGATAAAGTTATTGAAAAATTGAAATATATTTTTCTCGAGCTCTTATTAATCGATTTTGAAAATTATCTTTGAAACGAAAATTCATAGAATTTTTCATTTAAAAATATATTTCTTTAAAAATCACTGTGAATTTAAAAAGATAGATTAAAAAAAATAGAATTGTGTTCTCCACATATTTTTAAGCATAAAACCGTTGCGAAAAAATGGTATTATAAATAAAATTATTAAATAATTTTTCAAACACTGCAGGGTAAAATTGTCAAATTTAATTGTTTTCATTGTGAATAATAAAATAAAAGAATATTTTTTAAAAATAAGTTAACAAGAGCTCGAGAAAAAAATGTTTTTATTTGACACTGTTAAAAATTTTAATTATTAATTTTAACAAAAAGAAATTTTTTTTTTCTCTGATATAATTTTATACACTAATTTTTATCACCTGAGGATACAAAAAAATGATGTTTTATTGGAAATTAAATTTCTATAAATAGTCTTAAATATTTAAATATAAAAAATGGAAATAAAAAGTTTAAAAAATTGGAAGAAAAATAAAAAATTTTTTAAATTACAAAAAAAAAGAGAAGGTAAAAAAAATTTTTTTTTTAAAGCACAAGAATTTCAGTAAATGAAAGTAAAATAGAAAATTTAAGAAAATACAATGTTAGAGAAAAGTAAAAAATTGTAAATTTTAGAAATTCCCAAAATAAAAGGAATAAATTTGATTCAAAAATTAAGAATTTTTGCCCAATTGGTGTAAAAATAAATTAACTTAAAAAATTATTTTATTTTAGCAATTGTTTATTAAGTATTTAGAGATAATTTCAATTATTTTCTGAAATAATTGAATATAATTTTAATAATCTGATTGAATAATTAAAAATGTTTTCAATATTGATTTCATATTTGAAAATAATTTCAATCATTTGATTGAATATATTCACATGATTTTCAATTTACTTGATTGAATAACTTGAGGGTTCCGTCCACTTAAAGAGGGCCGCACAATATTATTGAAGAGCGCCTACTATGTACATATATTATTTGTTTTAACAATATTCCATGAATTTAACTTTAGGGAACTTTTCTGTTGTTCTTCTGAAGTTAAAAATCTAAAAAAATTAATTTACTTCAAAAAAAAAGGAACTGAAATTTTTTAAAAATATTTAATTTTTTAAATATATATAAAATATATTTAATTTTACTAAATTCAAGCTGGAAATTTTGTTTAAGAATTATTTATTTATTAAAAAATTAATGTAATTAATTTTATTTATTTAATATTAAATATAGTAACAGTTAATTTAAAATTGAAAATTTAAAAGTTCTTAATGGATAAATATTCAAATAAACAATAAAAGCTTCTTGAAATTTGTATTACTTATTTTAGAAAATCGATTAGATATTATTGTAAAATTTTGTAAAATGTACAAAGTATTATTTTTTAAATTTTGAACTTTTTTAACGAAATTTTAAAAGACAATATTGTTTTCACGAAAATCAGAATAAAATGCGCTTTAGGCAACAAGTTAAGTGTATAATACATAAAAAATAAAAAAAAAGTTGAATTAAATTCAAAATTTACCAATTTCAAAAAGTACTTACGATGAACTTCTAGATTTTCTTAGAGTACTTTTTTTAACTTTATAAATACAATAAAAATTTTTAAATTGAAAAATGTCAGTTTGTTGATGTTTAAACTTTAAAGACGAATGTTATTACTAAATAAATTGTCACTTAAAGTTTTGTGTTTGTTGCTGTAAGGTCAAAGAAAAACTTCTTTGATATTTAAAGAAAAAAATTATTTAAGTTTAATAATTTTTTAATTAAAATCAATTTTTTTTAGAAAAACAAGTTTGAAATATTGAATAATTTCAGTCATAAACTTCTTAATCATTAAATTATTAATTGGAAAACTATTTTAAAAACACTAATTATTTTAAAGAAAAGTAAGAAAAATTTTGTTGACTGTTTTTTGTGACCACTATCTTATTAATTAAATGAAAATTAATTAAATTTAATAAAGAAATTGGATAAATAATTTAATGAAGTAAAAATACAAGGAGAGGGAATCTAGACTTTACAGTGCATGAGATTTTCAGTAGTAGTTTTGTTTATAAATGGAGTTAAAATTCAAATTTTTTTTCGCATTCTCATGATCGCGTAAAATAGGATAAACATATTTTTTTATTCCTTAAATGGTAATATGAGTTTAAACGCATCATGCCACGCGGATATTGTAAGAAAAATTTCAGGAACCATCACGGATTTCCCCTATGACATTCTTGCGACATACGATGAGATCACGCTTACTTCCCATATACCGACTAGGGATTAATACCGTTGCAAGAATATCCTTGTTTTCGATCATAGGGAAAAAACATGACAATCCTACAATACATATTAATTAAGTGCATGTTTTTTCCAATCTATTTACGACAATTTTTTTCTCTTTGTAGTAATTCTTTTGACAATTGGTTTATGGAGCAGAGTAAAATAACAAGAGATTCCTTTTATAGATGAAAAGTTTTATTTAAAGAAAAAGACAAAAACGTCGTGAACCGTTGTAGTACACAAAAACGGAAGTAGTGAGTAAATCTATTCGAAAGTAGCGCATATGCGCATAAAATAAAAAGTATATCTGGAGTCAAGCGAGCTCCTCGTAAGGCGCGAATTACAAAAATACCAACAAATTCATTAAATTAAGTTTTAGTTTTTGAAGTAGGGGAGTCGGGGGCAATTCGTGACAACACGAAAAATTTGAAATTTCCGCCACACGAATTTCCGTCTCACGAAAAATCTGAGAAAATTCCTGAAGGTTACGCTAGTAGACATCTAACTGATAACGAAGTTTGATAAGCGTAGGGTAACTATGGGTAATTTTGCTTATTTTCAGTGTAGGTTAACTTTGCAAAGCTTGTCTGAGCTCATATTTAAACCAAATATCGTTATTTCAATTACAAATGAAAGTTTTATTATTAAATTTTGCTAATAAATTAAAGTTAGGTTTATTGAGCACTCCCCGCATTTAAAAATATCAATTAAAAAATAATTGTAAATCAGGCTGCGCATGACACAATGATCTGAGTGACCGGTAACGTCAACAAAGAAATTAGGTTATGTCTTTGCGAAGAGTTGCGCAGGAATACCCACAAGCAATGAAAATATTGCTGGTAATACAGTTTTAAGAAATATTAATTATAAACAAATAATAAATGGGTAACTAAATATTTATTTAAAACAATAAAGCCTACTTTATTGAATATAGTAACACTAAATTGTGTATATTATTGAAAGTGTTCATGGCTGCCATATTCCATAATTTCATGGAATTCAGTCATAGTCTACTTTAAATTTAAATAATTACATTAATAATTAACGAAATGCACATTTTTCTTGGCTATTTCATCAAGTAAGATGTAGAATAATTTTTGCAGTCATTTTAAACAAATCATTTATTCATAAATGATAAATAATAATAACTTTATAAAAACTGCAGCAATTGGTACACCCGCAGGAATACCCACAGTTACCCTATCTGCAGTGTTATATTATTAGTCACAGTAAACGTGTTTTATCGCAGCGAAAAAGTAAAACCTAGAAATCTTCGTTTTCTTTTGTTTCCACGACGAATTTTTCAATTAAAAATACCGCCCAACGCACCAGTTGGAAGTGCCGGAAGTGCAAACAAAAGTGGATGGATGATAGCTTCTGACTTTTTGTTGTTTTTAAAGCATTTTCAAAACCACTCTCAATCTTTGGCAACAAATCCTGTTATTTTAATTTTGGATAATCATCAATCTCACATCTCCATTGATCCACTCCAGTTTTGTCAAAAGCATCATATAACACTGTTCACATAAACTTCAACCCTTAGATAGGAGTGTTTTTGGTCCATTACAAAAATCTTACAATAATCATTGGGATTATTGGATGTTGAATAATCCTGGAAAGACGATGACGATATACGACATCTCTTCAATTGTCGCCTCAGCCTTGCCCTTAGCTGCAACAAATTCAAATATTGCATCCGGATTTCGAGTTTCAGGAATCTGTCCACTCAATTCAGACGTTTTTAGCGAAATCGATTTCTTACCCGGTCATGTTACTAATAGAGAATTTGTAGAAAAGGACCATTCACAATCAGTCTAGTTCAACGGAAATGATATACCCAATACTGCAAGGTCAGACATGATCAACGATGACATTCCCCTCACCCAGGTTCTGGAATCAATTCGATAATCATTCTCATTCTTGTAAAATTTGACGAATAAAAAAGTTTTTTTTATGAATTAATGTATTGATTTTTTTATTAGATAAATAAAGCCATTATGATGTGTTATAAAACAATACTGCCGTGCAAATCGAAATAAGCGTATCTGCATTGAGGGGAAGTCACCTAGTCACTACTGCCATTAGTGGCGAATAAGTGACTTTTCCCCGATGCAGATACGCTTATTTTGATTTGCACGGCAGAATAATAAATTAATCATATGCTGTGTCACGAATTGCCCCGTACTTTGTCACGATTTACCCCGGTAGAGGAGTAATTCGTGACATCAGACATAGCTAGACAATTCATGTTCTACCTAAAATTATTGTGATAGAAAATACACTATAACAATTTTTTTACATACTATAGAGTTTAACCATTGAAAACAAGAGTGTATATTTTTTTTAATATATTAGAGAGTGCTCAGAAAAAATTCACAAATCCAAAATGTCACGATTTGCTCCGGTCTCCCCTACTGCCATTTGTATTATTGCAATAAAATGATCAAGACTTTGTTTTCCTTTCATCACAAAAAGTTTCTTTTTTCTTTTGAAAAATAATTTTTTTTTAATTAAATAAACTTTTGTTACATCAAAGAAATGTGTTTTTTAAATTTAAAAAAAAACAACTCTCGTACCGTGTTAAAATAAAGATTATCTTGCGAAATAAATGTTTATTGAAAGTGTCCAGCAACCCTTAACAAAATCTTGAATAATCATCAAAATTTTCTAAAATAATATAATTATATTTTTAAAGATTGCAAAAATTTCCATTTAACACAAACGGTTAAAATTTTTGTCGCCAAAATAAATTGACATGAAATACATAGAAAATATTTAGAAAAATTTATAAATATTAAATGTATTTTTGAAGATTTACAGTTAAAATGTTTAGAAATAATTGAATATTAGAGAATTTTTAATTAAATTTTTTTTAAATAGTATAATTTTCCAAAAAATTTATAAATTATAGTCAAATAATGTAGAAATAATTAAATTTTGAAAACAATTAAAAGTGATCACAATATTTTAATTTAAAAAAATTTTTAATTTATCATTATTTAAAAAAATTTAATAAAAAATATAATTAAATTTTCAAGAAGATGTAATTAAAAGAGTTTTAATTGAAATGTCGTATAATTTGATTGCAAATTATAAAAATAATTGAATTTTTCAAAGAGAATTTTTGAAAAATTTTAATTTTATAAAATATGTAAATAATAATTGAATTGTATAAATATTTGAAGAATCATGGTTTTTTGTTGTTGCAAAAAAGTCAGATTTAAAAGAATTGCTATGTTAAAAGTGAACCGTGAAAAAAATTATTTTCGACTTTGAAAACTTTAAAAAGACTTTGAATTATTTTTTATAGTTGCTGGACACCGTGTCTTTGGTTCATTAAAATTTTGTTTAATACAAAGAGTTTTTTTAATTTAAAAATTTGAATAATGTTCTCCCCTTTTTTCTTTTTTAAGATAAATATTTAAAATAAAAGTTTTATTTTCTGTGAAAACGCAATATTGTTACAAAAAATTTATATTAATAATTCATCAGTTTTTTTTACTGATTTTTTTCGCATCCATTTTTCACTCATTTTCAAAATAAAACATTGCTTTAGTTTTTAAAAGTAAAAAAAATATTTTTGTTAATAATTTTTGAAACGATTATTTATATCAAATCATAATTTGTTAAGACATTTTAATGTAATATAATTTAAAAGCATGGATTTTACATATACTTTTTCATGTAGATTAACAATCTCTCTACACGTGAAGAATATCTACTAACATCAGTCATTCCATCTCAATCTCGTGTCCATCTTCGTTTTACTGCAAAATATAGATCTATACGAGGTATGATAGGAAGTTTTAAATTTGCAATTTTATCTTTTTTACAATTTATTTATTTTTTATTATATATATATTATTTTGCATTAATCATATATATATATTCATTTCTCATTTTCACTTACATCATTTTTTGTTTTTTGATGAATTTTACTTTTTTTAAAAAATTAAAATACACCGCAATGACTTTGGATATATTGAAAGATAATGGAATGACCCTATAACTTTTTCCATTTTTAAGAATAACTTTTTTTACGGTTATGGAGATTCAAAATGGTTCCTTACATATATATAGAGACATGTTTTTCGTCTTTTTTGGATCCTTATAATATACATTTTCCCCTAATCTTCAATTTTATTACTTTTTATTATTTATAATCTAAAATAACTTTTACAAATTTTTCAAGATTTAAGTACAAAAGTTCAAAATCGAAAGTTAAAGGAAAAAAGTTCCAAAAATATTAAAAGCAAAATTGGTTAATAAATATCACACAATGTTATCGTTGTTAATATAATTTTTAAAACGTTCTGTTGGAAAAAATGTTCATTGGAAAATTTCGCATTTGACCTTTGGCTTTCTTATTTTATTTTACTACCTTTGGGTTTAAAATGATCCATTTTGTCTAGGATTAAGAAAAAATCAGTTTACTCCCGATTCTAATCATTTTTTTTAAAAAAATATTTATTAGTCCTTCCTTGAAATTCCTGACTGTGACTGTATAGTTTTTTTTTCTTTTTAAAGTTTTATTAAAAAACTTTCTCCTCTAAATCTGCAAAATGTAGAAGGTATACATATATATATATAATACTTATTTGGTAAATTTGAATTTTCCTCTCTTTTTCTTTTTCTCTCTGCTTATTTCTTTTTTTCATAAATATGAATATGTTTATTATCCTCATTCAACAGGTCAACTGGCTACATTTCGATGGAGAAATAAATTTGGTCGACCTAGTACGATTCCATCTCTTGGTGCAGTTGATCCTACAGGCAGTTATTGTGAAGTTCCCGATGACTGGCTTCTTCAAAAGTATGGTACGAAGATTTAAAAAAATGTTCCAGGGCCAGCGAATATTCAGATATTATATAGAAAAAAAAAAATAATTCTTAAATTTTAGTGGCAGTGGTGGTGATGGTGGTGTTGGTGATAATCTTGGAGCATAAATTAAATTTTCTTTATTTCTATTTCACGAATTACATTTAAAATTTTCAATCTCATATTTATTATTCACAACACATCCATGAATCCATTTTCAGTCATTATATTTTGTCTATATATTTATTTACATATAAAAAGTATAGATAAAACTTTTTTTTCAATAAATTTTAAAAATTTCAAAATTAGAAAGAATTTTAGCATTTTTTTCAGAAATAATTAAAAAAAATTTAATTAGAATTAATATAATGTATTAATAGAAAAAAATTGTTTGTTTTGCTTCAAAAGCGGAGTCATCGAAGAATAATGATGTTTCATGTAAGCTCGCATGTAATAAAAGTAGTGAAATTAATAAATTAGGATTTTTTTTAAATTTAAAATTCTTTATTATTACACTGAAAAAAATCAATTACTTGACTATTATTAAATAAATATTTACTTGAAACAAATAATATTTAACTGACACAAATAATAATTATTTAATACAAATAAATGTTTGATAATAATCAAGTAATTGATTATTTTAATGAAATAAATTTTTTTTCAGTGTAGAAATAAATTTCCTTCACCATTTAAATTAAAAAATTTCCACGCACTGTCACGGATATATTATTAGATATTTTATTCTTTCCAATAGTCACTATGCTGGGCCCTTGAACACTATTTTTTATTTGAACAATTCTTACTAAATGTAAATTATTATTTCCTAATTCTACTCTAATACTGTCTTTATATGGAAAAAAATGTTCTCTGTAAGTTTATCAAACGCTTCGTTTCTTGCACGCTTTCTCTTTTAATACTTCTTATACCTACTAATTAATTTTTTTTTTTGGAAAAATTTTCTAGTCTTTAGTTTTCAATCCATGCTTTACATATTTTTCAAGAGAATGAACTAAAAAAAATGTTATTCATGAAAAATTATTGAAACAATTTGTTTTTTTAAAAGAGAAGTTTTAAAATATAACTAAAAGAGCGCTTTATTTGGAGCATGCAGATTCCATGCTATTTTATAGTGGATCAATTATATTATTTTTAGAAATTTCAACTGAATAATTTTGTTTTGTATTTCCAGTCGAGACAGTACCACAACCTTGTAACAGAGATCTTTTACGAGGTAATAAAATAATGTGATTTTCAAAATATATCAAAATGTTAAAATTTTTTATTTTTTTTCCAATTTTAAGAGTAAGACTCGAGATTTATTTCCAAGTTTTCTGACGTCATGTGTCTGACCGAGTAACCGCTTTTCAATTTTTATTTCAATAAAAAAATGAATATTGCCATTTTTCCCCATTTGGTGCATCATAAAATTCGTGATAAATTATTATTTAAAAGACAATTTATTAGATACTTTATTCAGTAATTCACAATTTTTTGACGTCAAGAACTTTAATTTAATGTTTTTGTCGTGAATATGAGATAAATAAAAATGATTAATAATGAAAATAATAATAAATTGTATTCTTCAGTTTTGGTCGCTAATGCTATTCCCTTCATTGGATTTGGTTTTCTCGACAACTTTATCATGATTATTGCTGTACGTATATTTGAAAATTATTTTTATTTTTTAATTAGACCATTATATTTTGACAAAAACCGTTGTGCGGACTAATTTTTGAAATTTCTTTTCATTTACTTCATGTTGGGTAAAATGAAATTTATTTTAATTATTACATTTTCTTTTTTGCAAATAATTGTCGAAAATTGCAAAATTTTGTTATTTGACAGACAAACTTTGAAAACATATTTTAACGATTATTTTAATTTTTCACTACTTTAATCATTATTATTTAATAATTTTCGAATTGCTAAAAAATGACACTTTTCTGTATCTCCTCCACTTGAAACTCACATTTTAAGAAAAATAATTTCTATTTCTTTCCTTAGATATACATAATTATTAGGTCGCAACGACTTTGTTCGAAATTTAATGGTCTGACCGTTTTATTTAAATTTTTTATTTAATATTTATGTTAAATATTTTTATTTTTTTAAATACCTATTTAAATTTAGTATAGCAATAATAAATAAATAATTCTATGAAATTTATTTCCAAAATTATTTCTTATAGGGAGATCGAATTGAGATGTACTTGGGAACTGTAATTACATTGTCAACAATGGCAGCCGCTGCTATTGGAAATACATTTTCAGATATATTGGGAATTGGATCTGCGTATTATGTTGAATTAATAGCTCAAAAAATTGGCTTCAAACCACCAAAGTTAACGCCTATTCAATTAGATCTACCAAAATCGAGAATGGCTGCCAATATGGTATGTTTATTGTTTTAATATATTTAAATAAGAATTTCCCTTCATTTATTTTAACGTGTAATTTTTTCCAGACCAAATTCATTTCAAATCAGGCAGGATGAAACGTTGTTTATCTAAAATTTAGGGAAAAAAAACTTTAAAGTGTTATAACTTTTAAAGTAATTTAGATGTCTTATTTTTTCTTTTTGCATTTGAAAGAGCTTTAATTTTTCTATCAAAATCCGTTGGAAAAATTAAAAAGTGTTCAAAAATAACAAAATGAATAATAAAAATTAATAAATTAAATTCATAAAATAATTTTAATTTAAATTACTCAAGAACCCTACTTTTTTTTTTGCTCAAAATTTTTGGTGGATTTTTTTTCACCGTGAAGAATATTTTTTATAAGAATTTAATTTGTGCCCGATTCTGGTAGAAGAGAAAATTTTTTTTTTGTTTTTTAAGAAAATTTTTTTTCTTTTCTACCAGAATCGGGCACAAGTTAAATTCTTATAAAAAATATTATTCACGTTGAAGACAATCCACAAAAAAGTTTGGAGCATAAAAAAAAGTGGGGTTTTTGAGTAATTTCAATTTTAATTTTTTTTTAAATGGCCATCATTTTGTTAAAATGAGACATCTAAATTACTTTAAAAGTTAGAACACTTTAAAGTTTTATTCCCTAAATAGATAATGCCTAATTTGAAATGAATTTGATCTCAATCTTTTTAATTTTTGTACATATATTAAAGAAATAGTCCGATAGTAAGCAGATGTTTAAACAAATTTTAATTATCAACTTTTTAATTTTTCATTTATATTCTCAATAGAAATAAATTGCGAGATTTAATATTAAAATAAGTCAAGTAGATATATTTTTGACAATGTTTAAAATACGTTTTTATGACCGAACTAAATTTTTTATAATATAAGTTATAAAAATTTAATGATTTAATGCTTGAGCATAAAAATATAAATTTCAAAAATGTTCTGTAATTTTAAGATCTGTATTAAAAAGTATTAATTAACAAAAATATTTGCAATTTACAAAAGCATTAATTTGTTGTTTAAATAAATAAATTTTAGAAGATTAGGAGTTAACTATTTTACAGTAATAAAATTTAATTTAGATTTTTGAAAATGATTTGATATTTCGAAGAGATGCAATTAAAGTTTTTAACCTCAAGTTACTTAATTTTAAAAAATACATAGATAATAAAACCCTTTTTAAAAATAAATAAATTCTCTAGGTACAAAAATTACTAATTAAAAAACAATATTTTTAATATATAAAAATATATCAAACTTTTGAAAATGATAAAATTTGTATAGAGGGATTCCACGGGTAAAACGAACAGTTGTCGGTGACAAGTTATCGATTTGGCTCAAATTTTTTAGGCGTATTCTACCTCTAAAAATACTCAACTAGCCAAAATTTCAAGCCCCTATCTCATAAAGAACACTCACAATCGTAAATTTCGTGAAAAGTGACATCTTTCAAAATGAAGATTGAAAAATCCATTTCTTCTCGAAAAAATGTTAATTTTGGTCAAAAAAAAAATTGGAAAGATACTAGTCGATGGGAAATTTTCCAAAGAATCCAATGCCGTTGGAATTTTTGACCTATCTCTAAACGCATGCGCAGTAGATTAAAAAAACTGATTTTTTTAAAAAAATTCATAACTCAAAATGACCTATTTCGATTTGGCTCTAATTTTCAGGAAAGACAGCTGAAAAGCTATACTTTAAAATGGTTATACCTAAAATTTGCATATTTTGAGTTTTTAACCATTTTTATGCAAAATAGTGAGCTAATTCAAATTTTTTCAAGGTTTCCTTACAGTATTTGCTTTTTGTGCGCACGCGCAGTTATATAGACAAAAACTAAGCCCAAATTCAAAATCCTCGAAAAATTTCCAATCAGTTATCTATATTAACACTTCAGTTTTATTTATTCTAAACAAATTTTAACAGAAAAAACAAATACAAGTTATAATTAAGAGCATTGCAAATATGAGAGTGTTTAAAAAAATTATCTTTTGCGTTTACTTCTTGAATTTGCCCTTGATTATCATTTATTTTTATTATTATAGTAATTTTACCATTTTTGTTATTAATAATTTTTTGTTAAAAAAGGACTTATTAGGAGGAGGACTTATTTAATTTCTGTCAAGATTTGAATTCATCCATACATCCAATCTTAATTATGGCGGATGAAATTAATCTAGTTAGAAATGCACAAGAAAATTTAAATTTGAAAACTGTACCAGGAACGAAGTCTCTCCATTACTTCGAACCATTGAGTCCTACAATAATTCGGTGTAAAACAACTAGTTTAGAAACTAAATTTCTTGCGAATTATGATATCTCGACTAATTTTAAGAAAAGCTTAAATGAAGATTATAGCGAAAACATGTACGTCGGATTTACGGAAATTGATGATTGGTTCATAGGACAAATAAAAAGCATTGACAATGAAGAACAAACAGCCGAAATAGTTGTCCTGCAAAAGGTACAATCTAAAGAGAAAAGTGTAAACAAAAGAAAGTCATCGCATAAAAGCGTAAACACTTTTTTTGAATGGTCAGATAATCCACCTGTCTTGACTGTTCTATTCTCAAAAATATTATGTTGTGTCAATAGATCCTTAGTTCAATCATCGAATAAGTACAGGCTAAATCACACGAATGTTGTTAAATTATTTAATGAACATCTGCAAAAAAATTTGTGAGGCCAGATAATATGAGATTATAATTTTCAAAATAAAAGTATAAATTTTATATTACAATAAAATGGAAAAATTCTGCTTTATAATTCTTTGTACAATATATCTTTCATCAAAAATTAATAATTTCCCAAACTGAAAAAAATGTTAAGTTGAAAAAACAAACGTAAAAAATAAATTTTTTTTAAATATACTCTTATTTGAAATGCTCTTAATTATAACTTGTATTTGTTTTTTCTGTTAAAATTTGTTTAGAATAAATAAAACTGAAGTGTTAATATAGATAACTGATTGGAAATTTTTCGAGGATTTTGAATTTGGGCTTAGTTTTTGTCTATATAACTGCGCGTGCGCACAAAAAGCAAATACTGTAAGGAAACCTTGAAAAAATTTGAATTAGCTCACTATTTTGCATAAAAATGGTTAAAAACTCAAAATATGCAAATTTTAGGTATAACCATTTTAAAGTATAGCTTTTCAGCTGTCTTTCCTGAAAATTAGAGCCAAATCGAAATAGGTCATTTTGAGTTATGAATTTTTTTAAAAAAATCAGTTTTTTTAATCTACTGCGCATGCGTTTAGAGATAGGTCAAAAATTCCAACGGCATTGGATTCTTTGGAAAATTTCCCATCGACTAGTATCTTTCCAATTTTTTTTTTGACCAAAATTAACATTTTTTCGAGAAGAAATGGATTTTTCAATCTTCATTTTGAAAGATGTCACTTTTCACGAAATTTACGATTGTGAGTGTTCTTTATGAGATAGGGGCTTGAAATTTTGGCTAGTTGAGTATTTTTAGAGGTAGAATACGCCTAAAAAATTTGAGCCAAATCGATAACTTGTCACCGACAACTGTTCGTTTTACCCGTGGAATCCCTCTATAGAGTTATATTAAAATGGTTTATTTATAAAATAATATAATTATTTCGATTTAATATAAATAATTCAATTTTGAAATAGTTGCAGTTGAAAATTTTGACAGTAGTTTAAATGATTTTAAATTGAAAATTTTAAAAGTTATTTAATTTTCGAAGACTTTATTTACAATAACCTGACTCGGAATGATCGTTCAATTCATGTTTCACATTTTATTTAGAATTATTTTAAAATTACAATTTTGAAAATAATTTAATGTTTGAAAATATTTAATTACAAGGATGTTGAATAATTAAAATTTTTTTAAATTTGATTTGAATTTTTTCAAGAATTTCATTAAAAATTTTGAAAATATAAACTTAAAATTTCTCAGTTGTAAAGCATAAAAGTAAACTTTTAAGTGCTTAATAATAGCATACATAATTGACACTATTTGAAAGCATAATTGCAACATAACTGTAACTTTTTGTCAGCAAAAATTGTCCTTGTGAAAAGCATAAAGTTTCTGTCTCTAGGTATTTATTTTCTATTGATATTTTAGATGTTTTTCTGGAATTCTTATTTAAATTGAAGATTTAAAATTTTTTTTCTAAATTATCTTCAATTTATTTTTGTTATTTAATTTTTTTAAAGAGAAATTCAGTGTATTACAATATTTATTAAGATCAGTCCGCTGACTTTATTTATTTTGTATTTTTTAAAAAATATTCTTCAAAGACTGTTAAATATTAAATATTGAGACTTACCAAAAGTATAAATTTCTCATTTTTTACGGGAAAAAAATGAATGGTTGGTAAAACTATTTTTTTTTTTAAATAATCGCTATTGAATTTTTTTTCTTGAAAATATTTAGAAATTTTTCCAAACTTGTAAATTTTTTTTAGATTTAAAAAATGTGAGGTTCTGCATATATTTTAATATAATATTGATTAATTTGTGTATAATGTAATTGATCTTCAACTTAAATGAAAATATTTATAATATTTTTTTTATTGTATAAAATTTATTTTTTTATTAATTTATAGGGTCGAGTCATAGGAGTTACCTTAGGTTGTATATTAGGAATGATTCCTTTAATATTTCTTCATCACGATGAAAAGACTGTGGAGTCTGAAACAACGAAGACGTCCGAAAAAGAAAAAGCTCCTGTTCTAAGCGAAAAGACTAATTAATTTAACTTGGTTAAAGTTTTTCTGTAAATTTCTATATTATATTGTTTGTAAATAATTATATATAAATATATATATATGTATGTATGTACTTAATGAAATAAGATAAAGAAGATATATCACAAAAAGAAACGAGTTATTTTTATTTCCAGTGTAAAACATTAGGATATTGAAAGCAAGGAAGTTGTACAGTTGAAATTTTATAATAAATTGAGACAATTTTGAATTCACAATTATCAATATATTTACTTGAAAAATTATTTTGGCCTGACAGTTAGTACAAAAAATATACATATATTTTTTTTTTGTTTTAAATAATTTAGGAGGTAATTTAAAATTTGATACAACTATTAAAAAGATGACTAAAATAAATTTTTATTTTTCCTATCGCAATGAAATAAAACTTACATAATGTCTCCAATTTTGTAAAGACAATTTAAAACCACGATCGTCAATTTCTCTTCGATTGAAAATGGTGGCCAATTCGTCTTTATTGTGTAAAAATAAATCCGTCTCAAGGGGTTTTGTATTTATTGAGAGTTCATTGATATCATTGAATACTTGATTGCGATTATTCATTGATTCCGATTGTAAATCCAATGTTGAGAGAAATGTTGCCGTGGAATCTGACCAGCGATCCCACGTTGGATATTCAACGAAATCTGGATTATTTAAATCAATAATATTTTCAAGCCGTGAATTATTATAGATCGTTGTGGACAATGTATTGTTTGTTGATGACAGGATTGCCGAATTTGTATTCACATTAGAAGATTGACATTCAGTGAAAAGTTTATAGTCGACGTCGGAGGACAAATCGTTACATCGTGATAATCTTCTTGACATAAAGACCGTTCCAGGTAGATGGCTGGCAACTATAACTGAACCTAAAATAGTTGCAACGCCGGCTACATAGGCAGCAAGACAAACAGAGGAGACACTAAGTAAAGCTTGAATAACAGGCAACAATTGAACCGCATTCATTAAACAATGCAGTTCAGTGTAGGAAAACCATCCTCGTCTGTTTCCTTCTTTATATGCCAAATCACTTTCTAATTTATGAAGTCGATCCCAGAAATCTTTATTGTGAACAAAAACACTCCAATCCTAAAAAAGGAAAGAAACAATTTATTTTCATCTATTTTTATTGTTAATGCCATTTTTTTTAAAAAGCAAAACAGTGAAAATTAAATAGAATCTAATTTATTTGTTTCGTTATATTCTGTTGAATATTATTGTTATAGAACTGTTTGATAAAAATCGCAATTTTTTTAATACGTACAATTGCATTGAGAAATTCTTTTTCTAAATTATTCATTTTTGGGATTGTTAAGTCTCCAGATTTGGCCCATTCTGCATTAAAAACTTCGTCTTCCTCTCCGTCATCCTGTAAAAATTTACTCGCCACCATCTAAACATTAAAAAACAAAGAATGAATTAAAGAATTATGTATTTTTCATTTTTCCATATCTCTATATTTTTGTAAGAAAATGAAATTCACGCACATCTTAGATCGACTTTAAAGCGCAAAGAAAGTCGTTTTAGTCGATTTACATTTCAAAAAAAGTCGATCTTCTTATTTTAAGTAAATTTAATTAGTTAATAAATATTTAACTTTAAATAACTAATATTATTAGATATTAAATTGATTTCATTAATTCCATAATAAGAATAATTCCAGAAAAATATTATCAAGAGAATTTATATTGAATATTTCAGAATCGAAATAAGAAAAATTTTCAAAATTTTAATAAGGTAGGACAAAGTTCTAAAAAAAATTCTTATAGATTCATTTTAAAAATTTGTTGAAGTCTGATTTAAGCAATTTATGATGTGCAGTTTTTTTTTAAATTCTGACAATTCAATTTTAAAGTTTTTATTTTTGAAATTTTTTTTATATAATTGAATTTTTAAAGAAATATTAAAATTATTAAAAATAATTGAATTTTAAAAGATTTTGTTAAATTTTAGACAATAATTAAATTTTACAGAATTGACAATAATTTATCCAAATAATTCTAGATAACCTTTTTAAAAATAATTGAATTTTCCAAAATTTACAATTCAGATTTTTGAAAATAATTTGACTTTCGGAAGAGTTATAATTGAAATTATAAGGTTTCAGAAAGTTTCAAATAGAAAATTTTAGGTTTTTAATTGAAATTTTTGAAAATTCGATTTTACAAAAAAAAACTGAGTGAAATTATTTATCATTTTCATTTTTCGTTGTGCTTAAAAATTGTTTGAGAAAACTTACGAGAGTAACGAGAAATAGTTCCGATGGTGCGACTCGTTGCAAATATTCAGCATTGCAATCCTTTAATCGTTCGAGATACAAGAGCGCCAAAACAAAAGAACATGGTGATACGCAAGCATTTCGAGAGATTCGACTAGCTTCTTCAACATCTAATCTTTCAAGCGTTCTACCACATTTCACTCCGGTAAAAAATTCTGCTGCAAATTCTGTAAAATTTCATAATAAAATATTCATTAATTGTTAAATGTGAGATCAAATTTCCAAATTTTCAGTCTATTTAATTCTATTAAATGGGATTTTCTATTTTTAAACCGTTCCATATGTAAAAGACAACAAATTTTCTTAATTTCTTAAAGAAATCTCTATTTGAAATCTGAAACTCTTGATATCTCAAAATATTTATTGAAACCTATAAAAAGATCAGCTTTTTGTATTTTCTTGCAATTTATTATAAACACTAGAAATATTTTTTAAAATATAATATAATACAATGTATAATATTTTCAATTTTTCTATAAATTTCATTAAAAAAAATCCAGAAAAAAATTTCCTGATTTTTACTAAACATTATGCATTACATATTGTATTATGTTGACAATATTTTATTTTAATTGTTATTTATCAAGAACAACAAAATTAATGTTACAATACAAAATACAATGTTAAAAAAAAGAAAAACCAAGAATTTTATAAATTTTTAAAATAAAATGAGAATTTGTAAAATTTTATAAATTTTTAGGAAATCTAAAAGAATAACAATTTGAAAGAAAAAATCGTTTTCAAAAATGAAAAGAAATTGAAAGTTTTATCGCAAAAAATAAATTGAAAGAAAATTCAAAAATTTAAGAAATTCTCAAAGTAAAATGAGAATTTGTGAGAAAAATGACGAATTATGAGAGTTAATTTGTAAAAATAAACAAATTTCAAAAATTTCCCAAAAAAAAGTTAATTTAATTAATTAACAACAAATTACGTAGATAAAGTTCAAAACGTTTAGCATCAACGATTGGAAAAAAAATATATTTTTGCCTGGGAAAATAATATTTCATTTTTCACCTACAAATTTTTTTTTGAAAAATTGTTCATCAAGAAACGTTGCAAAAATTTTTTTAGACAAAAAAATATAAAATTTGCACAGAAAAATATTTTTTATGCTAAATCAATAATTATAAACGTTGTAAACTTCACCGTCGTTAGAAATTCCAGAAAATTATGGAAATTCCCAGACTATTCTGTGACTTTTTTTCGTTACTTAACAAATAAATTCCAAGTTTTCTTAAGAAACAAAATTATTTTAAAAATTTGTTTAAAATTTGTCAATTATAAAATTTAATTATAAATAATTTTTTTTATTAAATTATCTCCATGAGAAAGCAAAAATATTCATATGCACTTTATATTGTCAGCGGTTTTTTTTTATTAATATATCAATAAATAAATAATATTATTTTTTATCTATTAGTATGATAGAGATTAAATTATTCATTTTAAGTTACTATTATTATTTGTATTATATTACACTAAAAAAAAAAAATTTGTTTGATTAAAATAATAAAATATTTGACTATTATCAAATAAATATTTATTTGTTTAAAATAATTACTATTTGAGTCATAATTAAATAGTATTTGTTTCGAATACAGAAATTATTTGGTTCAAGTAAATATTTATTTAATAGTTAAGTGGCCAATTATTTGAATCAAATAAATTTTGATTCATTGTATTTTGGAGGGTTCAAAGATAATTATTATAAATGTAAAAAATATAGATAAGAATAGACTTTTCTATAGGTATAGAATTTTCAAGAAAATCATTATTGTTTATTTAACAATTTTTAAATAATTTTATTTATTCTGCAAACTGATTGAATAGCTTAAATGACCTTATTATTGATGCATCGTATCTTTTGTTTTGAAAAGATTAGAAATTACACAATTTAAGAAATATTTATACATATATATATATATATATATATATATATATATATATATATATATATATATATATATATATATGTATACCTATATGTACTAAATGCAACTAAATATGACTTACCTGTAACTGGTAAACTAAGACAGTCTGTAACAGGCCGTTTAGAATAGTAAAGAGTTTTGGAAATACGAGACAAAAACTCATCGTTATCTCTAAAACTCTGAAAAAAACATTATATTATAGATTTTCAAATATTGGAAAACAATTTTTTATTGACATCTGCGTAATTAAATGTGATGCTTACTTTTAACTTTGTATGTGATTTTTTACCCTTTGATAAGTTCGGCATTTTCGTCAAATTTGATAACAGAATAAAAATTAAATCTTTTAGATTATTAAAAACAAATTAAAGATGCATATAGCCTCAATCTTTTACAGAAAATATTATAAAGATATAACCACCCACGACCCACTACCGACGAACTATTTTTATTATACGGAATTTACCAACTTGAAAAACACAAAAATTAAGTTATCTAAGGAGGAATATCCGAAATCCGACACTTAAAGCTCGCTGCTAAATGTCACATTTCAGAGATTCCTCGCTGTAATTTGGTAACACATCCCTGGCGGTGCACTACACAACTTTTGAGTTTCATTACCCTGTACAAAATGGCGGTGACTGTGAGTGGATTTGTGTGATGGAGTGACAGTTTATTTAAAAAAATTTTCATATTTATAGATTAGCTAAGTGTTTTTTTTAATAACGCATGATAAATCGATAAGATTTAAAAATGCCTGCACAAGAGGTTGCATTACCTCAGCCTCCGCAAACTGAATCGGAAGAGCCAGCACCAGCTTCGCAGCCTATCGTTGGCATTATCTATCCTCCGCCGGAGGTTAGAAGTATCCTTTATTTAATATTTCTTTCTTATTTTAAAATTATTAAATTTCTAACTATAGTTTAATTTTTTCAGAAAAGAAATTTTACTTTATTACCGCCAATTTAAACGTTCTATGTTTATTGCTAAAAACATAACCTCAACAATTTTCACATTTTTTATACATTTCTTAATTTTTTACAATTTCTTTTTACTAACACTGAGAAAAAATTCAAAGTCAATCTTATAAACCAATTATATGTTTGCAAATCTACTTTTTTTTGTAAACTGACAAAATTGGAAATAAGAAAAATCAGAAATATTCCGAATTTTGAATGAAATAAAGCCACGTCTAACGTAGTAATACGTTGTAATAAACTGTTTTTAAAAATATCATGTAATATGTGTTTTTAATTTTTTTTTAATTCTTGTATTTTATTTTAAAAATTTTAATAGAAAAAAAAAACAATATTCACTATTTAAAAGAAACACTTTTGTATAACAAAAAAAGGGAAAGATGTTAGTTTTTTAAAATTTTCTGTTTATATATTTTCCTAATACCGTTTTAACAGATATCGTTGACAAAACTGCGAACTTCGTGGCAAGAAATGGTCCCGAGTTTGAATCGAGAATTCGACAGAATGAATTGGGTAATCCCAAGTTTAATTTCTTGAATTTTGGTGATCCATATCATGCATATTATCAGCACAAAGTGAAAGAATTCAAAGAAGGAAAAGGTCAAGAACCAACGGCTACAGGTCTACCTAAGGGTGTCAATTTCACTGCTCATCAGAAACAACAAGAAATTCTTAAGCAAGTGGAGCAGCCATTCATTCCCAAAGATCCTCCACAGGAATTTGAATTTATAGCAGATCCACCTTCAATTTCTGCTTTAGATTTGTAAGTCATTTTTAATTTTAATTCATTATTTATATTTATTTGACAATTAAATTTTCGCTTTACATTCAATATTTGCAAAGTTTATGGTTGATTCTCTCAAAAATGGCAAATCAAATTCTTAAAAAATAATAAAATTAATTTCAATTAATAAAAATGTGCCAGCCATACGATAATCGGATCACTAATGAAAATTTCTAAAAAAAAAGGTCAAATACCTGAATTATTGAATGAAAAGTAGTCTTAAAACTCCCTTCCGTAAAATCAGATTTTATTCAATATTTCAGTTATTTGGCCTTTTTTTGAACAAATTATCGTGAAAGTGTGATTGTCGCAACAAGTTAGAGAAAAATTACAGGCCTCGGATTATACGACTTTTTCCGACTTTTTTTTCAAAAATACCATTTTTTTCGACTTATTTCAATAAAACGCGAATTTTTCGACTTTTTTTACATTTTTTAAACAAAATTTTAAACAAAATACGTTTTTTTAGTATACAATGCAGATCTTCTTCAAATCTTCTTTATTTCAATTATTTAACATATTTTTAACTAAAATTCTTCACTAAAATAATTATTTAAACTTTTTTAATTACAAATTTTATGGAATTTAATAATTGTTTAAATTAAAAATAAATCAGCAAATAACATTACTAAAAATTTCAATTCAAATTCACTTAAAATTTAATTATTTGCAAAAATTTCAGTAATTTTTCAATTAAAACTTTTGGAATTCAATTTTTGTATGTAATTTCTAATAAATTCTTCATCGACAGAAATTTCTCTTATTATAATTATTGTCTGAAATTTAACATAATCTTTTGAAATTCAATTATTTCTAAAAATTTCAACTTTAACTCTTTCAAAATTATTATTTAAAAAAAAAATTATTTTATTTAAAAATCTGTAAAACTTGATTAAGTATTGCCTGAAATTTTTTTTTGACCATCAAAACTAAAAACTATGACAAAATTTTTAATTCGAATAAATTGCTTAAATCAGACTTGAAAAAATTATAAAAATGGAACTTTAAGAATTTTTTTTAGAAATTTTTCCTACTTAAATAAAATTTGTCTTACACTTAGTTCGATTCTGAAGTATTCGAAATAAATTTTCTTGATAATATTTTTATAGAATTATTCTCATTACGGAATTAATAAAATGAATTTAATATCTAATAACATTAGTTATTTAAAGTAAAATATTCATTAACCAATTAAATTTTGTTTAAATAAAAAAAATCAACTTTTTCGAATTTTTTTGGAGTATAAATCGACTAAAACGACTTTTTTTGTGCCTTAAGGCCAGGTCCAAGTCGATCCGAGACCTGATATCAGGGAAAATTATGAAATTGAAGAAATTTAAAAAAATCAATTATATAGGTACTTCCAGTTTGAGTACAAAATTTTAAAAATTTCTGCCTCAAGAAGGAATCATAAGTTATCACTAATTTCATTTAATTAATTAATTCGATTAATTTGTGGATGTAATATTTCAAAAATAGTTGAGTTCATAATGTAAAAACATTTATTTTAAGCTCAGGAATGTTGAAAAATAATTTATCAATTTAAAAAGAGTTTTTTTTTAACATTCCTGAACTTATAATATTAATTTGGAGAACACAAAATTACAGATTACATTTTTTTAAACTTATTTTTGAAAATAATATTTGTTATTTTGTTGATTGAACTGAGTGCGTAAAAAATTTGGAAATCATGGAATTCAATTTTTTGAAATTTCTAAAAGTTTGACACTGAAATAATTTTTAAAAATAAAAAATTTTCGACTTTTTCAAACTTTTGTTTATAATGTAATGCGACTTTTTTCTCTACTTAAAATCACTCTAAGATTTGTAAATAGTGTAAAAGTTTCTAATTTGTTATTTATTTCAGAGATATTGTAAAATTGACAGCTCAGTTTGTTGCTCGTAATGGACGTCAATTTTTAACAAATTTAATGAACCGTGAACAGAGAAATTTCCAATTTGATTTTTTGCGTCCACAACATTCTTTGTTTCAATATTTCACTAAACTTCTGGAACAATACACTAAGGTGAGGAGGATAGAGAAAAAATAAACAATGAGAAACTTAAATATATTCGATATACAATACAGTTGCGTTAACAATTTAAATACATCTTCTTTTTTATTTTCTTCATCAGGTTTTGATTCCTCCCAAAGATTTACTTCCTCGTTTAAGAGATGAAGCATTGAACATGGACAAAATTCTTGAAAATGTCAAATATCGATCAGAATGGCTTAAATATCAAGAGGCTCAAAAGCGTAAAGAAGAAGAGGAACTAGAGCGCGAGCGTGTTGCTTACGCACAAATTGATTGGCACGATTTTGTTGTTGTTGAAACTGTTGATTATCAACAATTTGAAGTTGGTAATTTTCCAGCTCCAACTACTCCCGATGAAGTTGGTGCACGTGTTCTTATGCAGGTTTGTTGTGACTTATTTTTATTTTTATATAATTTGTTTCACCATTAAAACTAAAAACTATGGCAAAATTTTAAATTCGCATAAATTGTTTAAATCAGACTTCGAAAAATTTTTAAAATTTAACTTGGAGAATTCTTTTTAGAAATTTGTCCTACCTTATTAAATTTTTAAAAATTTTCTTAGTTCAATTCTGAAATACTCTAAATAAATTTTCTTGATAATATTCTTGTATTATTATTCTTATTATGGAATTAATGAAATCAATTTAATATCTAATAATATTAGTTATTTTAATTAAAATAAAAAAAATCGACTTTTTTTGCATCTTAAAGTCGGAACATTTTGTTATATTTAACAAAACATATTTTAGGAACGTATTGAAGATGGTGAAGATGTCGAGATGCAAATTGAAAGTGATGGAGACGACGAGATGCCACATCGACCTGACGGTGAAAAGGATCGAGCGAAGGATAATAATCAGGTGAAATTCTTTTTTATTACAACAGTACGAATTGTTTGTTTTTCTTTTAATTATTTTGAAAGTAACTTCTACAAAAAAAGAAAATTTTAAGCGTTTCTTTCATTTTTGTTTTTGAGATTTAATAGATTTAAATATATGAATTTAGAATTTATCTGAAACATTTCTCTCATTTGATAATAATTAATTACATAATATGATGCTGAAGTTCACAACGTTCATGATTCGTTAATCATAAAACATAATTTTTTTTCTAATCGTTATTTTAAAAAAATTATCTTTTAAGACGGTAAATTATAATATTTTGTATCTGAAAAATGTTTTTTTTAATTTGGTTGATCAATAAAAAAAATTCATAGATATTTTCATTAAAAAAAAAAAAAACATTTCTCTAAAATTCGTTAATCATAAAAGTTGTTTATTTTATGCAGAATAAATATATTATAAATAATTTCTTCGAAATACTTTTCGAAATGAATTATTTTAATTTTTTTGTTGTGCAGGTACAAGATATGGAGGAGGACTCGAGCGATGAGGAAATTATGGCACCACCTGGTGAGGCTCAAAAGGCGAGAGAAAATAAAAATCGTGAAAACAGTATGCAACCACCTCCTCTGCCTCCAGCGCCTGGAAATGTTGTCATTAAAAAGGGCTACGATCCTAAACAACACGCGGTCAAAGTCATTCGTCCACCCGCCACTGAGGAATATCTTATTTCGCCGCTTACCGGTGAAAAGATTCCAGCGAGTAAGGTACAGGAGCACGTACGCATTGGTTTACTCGATCCACGATGGGTGGAACAGCGCGATAAACATTTGGACAAACAATCTCAAGAGACGGTGTTTGCGCCGGGCACTGCGATTGAGGACAGTCTCAAGCAACTTGCCGAGAGGCGTACCGATATTTTCGGTGTCGGCGACGAGGAAACGGCAATCGGCAAGAAAATTGGCGAGGAGGACAAAAAGAAGGACGACAAGGTCACTTGGGATGGACATACGTCGAGTGTGGAGGCCGCCACGCGTGCAGCACGCGCCAATATTACTCTCGAGGAACAAATCCATCAAATTCACAAGGTCAAGGGTTTACTGCCGGACGAAGAGAAGGAAAAAATTGGTCCCAAACCAGTGACTCGAGCGGCGGAACTCTCTCACATGGCGGCTGTCGCCTCAAAGCCACAAGCGACTCTGAAAGCACCGCCGAAACCACCCGTTCCTAAGCCTCAGATTCCAGTTCCTACACAGCCACCACCTCCAATTCCAATGCCAACAATGGGCATGCCGCAACAAATGATGCCACCACAACCACCAATGATGATGATGACACCCATGCCTCCGATTCGGCCTCCTCCTCTTTTGAGTAAGTTTTCTTTGCATTTTTATATTCTAGTCCTAGGGGAAAAAATTGGAGAAGAAATTCTTCAGGGTCCTAAAAGTCCTGAAACTTAAAATTTTTTAATTTTTTTTTACCTATTCCATGCGTTTTGATAATTTGATAACTTTTTTTCCTTTCTCATAATTCGAATTATTTGCAGATGTAATATAGACTTCATAGTCGTCCCTTTTTTCTCTATTTGTCCCTAAAAGTACTCTATTTTTAATTTTTTTTTCTAAATTTCCCCTATTTTCACAAAAAATTAGTATAAAGCTTTGATTTTTATGAGAATACTTTCTAAAAATATTCCTTTTTTACCAAAATTTAATAAATTTATAACAAATATTTGGATAGAATGTTTATTTATGAAATAAATATCTAACACATTATGTAATCAAAGAATTTGGATTCAAAATCCATCAAAGAATATCCAAAGGAAAATTTAATACTTAATAAAAAAGTTTTGATAGAATTTCTATCAAATTACATTTTGCAAGTACGACTTTTTCGACTTTTTTTCCATAAACAATTTTTTAATTTAAAATTCTCTAAAATTCATTTATGTATTGTATAAAATTTTGTAAATAATTTTCATTAACTCTAATTTACAATAATTTTAATAAAAATTGTGCAAAAATTCTTTGTTAAATTTATTATTTCTAATAACTTTAATCAAGTTCTTCAAAAAATTAAATTATTTAAATCATTTTTTCAATTTTAAAATTTTCTATAATTCAATTATTGTCTGAAGCTTATAAAAAAAAAAACCTTCTGTAATTCAAATTTACGAAAATTTTAATTGAAAATCTCTTGAAATTAAATTATTTCTAAAATACTTTGGTAAATTAATTATTTCAATAACTTTTATGAATTTTTTCCAATAATTATATTATTTAAGACAGCTTTTAATTCAAAATTATCTTAAATTCAATTATTGTTTAAAATTTTGTTAATAATTTTCATTAATTCAAAACAATAATTTCAAATTAAATTCTTTGTTGAATTAATTATTTCTAAAAACTAATCTAGTTTTTCAAAAATTAAATTATTTAAAACATTTCTTATCCCATCAGCGGTCGCGCCGTGAGAAAATCAACTTTTTTTCGATGTAAATTGACTAAAACTACTAATTTAATAGATTTTTTATTAAAATGCTTTAGAAAATTTGATAAATACCTAAAATTTTCGATGTTGAGAATTATTTCACTATATCTCCATTAAAGTCGTTGTCAACTAATTTAAAAAAAATTTTAGAAATGATTTTGCAAGATATTTGGAGAAGATTTTTAATCAAAAATACTTGTATATAATTTCATGTACAGAATATGTTTCTGAAACTTTTGATTCTGGAAATGGATTAAATTTAATAAAAAAATATTCTAAATAAAATATTTTAAATTTGTTAACTATAAATTAATTTTAAAATTAAAACTCTATTGACAAAAAGATTCTTGAAATAATTGCCTCTTAACAAAAGAAAGTGTGATGTGATAATATTAATTAAATTGAAAAACCACAGTTTCAATTATTTTTGAATGGAAATTTTAAAATATTTTTTCGAAAAACAAAAATACCTCAAAGCTGTACTAAATTTGTGGTTTAGTCTATGAATTAATCCTTTATCTTTACTTATGTACTTTTCATAGTAACCAAAAAGAATCCAATTTTTAAATTTTCAGTCCCCTATTACCCCTAAAATATTTGTTTGGTTTGTTTTTATCCCATTCCTCCTTAAATCGAATTCTAAAACAACGTTAAACAAAAAAAAATCGGACAAGTGCGAGTTACACTCGCATTAAAACCGAGGGTTCCGTACCCTTAAACGTACCCTAAAAAAAATAAACTTGCAACTAGACTAATTTTTAGTGTCTAATGAGTGCTATTTATCCGTTTAAAAAAAATTATAAATTTGAAATTCAAATCTATTTACAAAAATATGTTATGTATTTAAATAATAATTTAACAATTTATATTTTTAGCTCCTGCAATGTCACCATTTATGCCAACTCCACCGCCTATACAACCACCATTGCCAAATGCTGTAAGTTTCGAATTTGAATTATTTATTTATTTAAAGAAAATGTTTTTTATTCTCCCTTGAATTATTAATTAAATTTATTAAAATTGTAATTTCCTTAAAGATCGGAATGAAGCATCCAGCAGAACCAATGGAAGAGGAACCACCGTCTAAAAAATTAAGAACTGAAGATTCTTTGGTACCTGAACAACAATTTTTGTCCAGAAATAAGGTATGAGACATTTTTTTATTAATATGACTTTTTTTAAATTAAAGTTTTTTAAAAACAATATTATTTTGTAATTTTAGTTTTTTTTTCTTATTGTGGATTGTTGATTTTTTTTTGCAGGGTCCAGTTCAAATTAACATTGCAGTGCCTTTAATGGCCGAAAAGGCCGAATGGAAATTAAATGGTCAAACCTTGGGAATTACTTTGCAACCTAGTGACACTGTAGCAGTTTTGAAAGCTCGCATTCATGAACAAACTGGAATGCCTCCTGGCAAACAAAAACTTCAATACGAGGTAAGATTTATCATCTAATTTTTATTTAAAAGTAATGATTTTATCACTCGATCGATGTTAAGGATAGTTCAGAGTGTGGTGCGCGGTAAGGGGATTTTTCTTCAAACATAAAAGACAGGATTACAACTCAAAGAAAATAAAATAACACTTTTCCAAACTTGAAGAAAAACCTTTTGTTTACTTTATTAATGGATTTATGTATTTTAAAAAGTTGCAAATATACGTAATGGACATTTTTTTCTTTTGAAATACTGTAAATATTGAAAAATAAGCTTTCTGAAAAATTAAAGGAAATTAGGTTGGCAATATTATATGATTATGCGCAAGCGCACAATCCACAAAACTCTAACCTCAAATTTCCCGTGGTTTTTAAAAGCAAGACCCACGAAGTAGTATAAGGAGACCCCACTGCTATATTAAGCCCACAAAAAGTTGAAGCTGATTTCCCCGTTTCTCTTACAATTAACGGAAATAGTTACCTACACTGGCACAAAATGTGTACATACAGTTACTAACACATAGAACTTTCGCAAAATGGCTACCGTGACATAACCTGCATAAACTGATTGTTTTTATCTCGATTTGTTTTTTTCTGGTTTTTGTAGATAATTTAAAGAAAAGTAAGGAAATATGATTAGTGGTTCCATTAAAGGTTGCCAGACAAATTGTGCTAAAGGCAATACAAAATATAAATCTATTTTATTCACTTGCAGTTACTAATTTTACTTCGTTACCTACTGTGTTTTTACACAACATAAATAATTATATCATGTTTTGTTATATCCATGGAGATTCTCCATGTTTACATCGCTCATGTGACATTTAGCAGACGAAATTTCGGAGGTATCAAATTTTCCCGTTAGGGTTCGACACCTCTGTTAATTGTAAGAAAAACGGGGAAAACGGCTTCAGCTTTCCCGGACAGTGGACCTCTCCTTCTACTACTTCGTGGCAAGAGTACTAGTAATTTAAAAAAAATAAAAGTTACGTTACTATTAAGAACATGAAGATACAAAAGTTGTTTTATTATAAAAAACAATTAAGATATTTTAAAATGAAACTTAACTTTTTTAACCTTTATATATATCTGGGGCATTCCAAGGGAAATTTCCATTCAAAATTTTTTTTTTGCCCGAAACATTTTTTTCGAATTTTATATGACAATTAAGAAAATACGTATTTTTTTATTTTTTTATTTGATAAAAATGAAGAAAGTTATGATTTTTTAAAATTTAACGTCACCGAAGGCAGTGTATTTTTGAAACATTTTTTTTATCTATTGTTCTAATGAATAAAAAATTATGCTGTATATGAAATTGAAGTGAAAGGTAAAATCATTCTGAATTACATTTTTTCGTTTTCTTATTTCAGGGTATGTTCTTCAAAGATAACAATACTCTCGCATATTATAACCTTACATCGGGTAATGTTATAAATCTTCAACAAAAAGAACGTGGAGGACGTAAAAAGTAAATTTCTTGCTATTGTTTATGGAAAACCTCATTTAAAAAAAAATCTTAATGAACTTGTGGAAGAATTCTGCCGACAAAATATTCAATAAGATTTTAATTATATAATTAATTTGCAAACACATACATCATAATAGAAGAAATTAGTTTTTTCTATTATTTTTGATCAATGAGACGGAAGTTATTTTAATAAAATGAACTAATGAGATGAAATTAAACAATTTTATTTCTGTGGAATAAATAGAAAAAAAAATTTATAACATTTCTTACAAAATCTACAATAGGAATGTATGTTTCAATTAAGATTGCACTTTCAGTCATATTAGACAATTTTTTTTTTGATAAGTCAAAAAATGTTGTGCGCAAAGAAATTTACCGAGCATTAATAAATGCTCGGTAAAAAAATATTGTAAATAGGTCTAGCCTTACTTTATAAGAAAATAGTACAAAGCTTCTGTTTCTGAAGCTTCATATTTCAATAATCGTATAACATGATTTGAATAAATAATAAAGATCATTGCAAAAATTTGCAGTTGTGTTTGATTTCATACAAATCTTGTTTTTTTTTAATATTCGTTGCACGTTTACATTTATCAGGCACACGAGCAAAAGCGAAAAAATAAGCTAATTTACATTCCTTTTTATTTTCTTAACATCAGTAGAATGCGGTTATCACGAAATTTTCCTTTTTTTCATTTTTTCTATTTAAACAATTCTTAAAGTTTCTTTGTCAATTGTTCAATTATATTTCTATACCTTAAGATCATGGGTTTGTATATCTAAAAAAAATAAAGTTTATATTGTTTTAAAAAAAATGTTATTTAAAAAAAAAATAATTTCTTTTCTAATAAACCATTTAATTGAAAATTGACTTACAGTGTCTGCGTCATGATAAGGCTCACACATTAAAATTGGCTCTTCTACATTTTTCATTATATCCTCAAAACTATAGTCATTTTTTAATGATGCAAATTTTGCACGATATGTGGCGCCCATCGCTGCTGAGTTCGCAACATTCTGTTAAATAGAAATAATTTTTTACTGAATTCTAAGAAAAACACACGCAGAATATATTTTTTATTTTAAAAACAATTTTGTTTGATTCAACCATAAATAATTTGTTGGAATCAAAGATATTTTGTATAAAAGTCAAATGCAGGCTTCATAGTAATCCTAACAAATATTTTAGGGGAAATAGGGGATTTTTATAGGGTATTATGAAAATTACATAAGTAAAGATAATGGGTTAATTTATATGTTAAACCACAAATTTAGTACAGCTTTGAGGTATTTTTTTTTTGCGAAAACATATGTATTTTAAAATTTTCATTCAAAAACAATTGAAACTGAGGTTTTTCAATTTTATTAATATTATCATAGATTTTTAATTTTAAAATTAATTTATAGTTAACAAATTTAAAATATTTGATATAGAAATTTTTTTTATTAAATTTAACCCATTTCCTGAATCAAAATTTTCTATATTAAAAATGTTAAGTATTTATCAAATTTTATAAAGCATTTTAATAAAAAATCTATCAAATAAGTCGTTTTACAATTAGTCAATTTACATAAAAAATATTTTATTTTTTATTTTTAATAAACTTAATTAGTTAACAAATATTTTATTATTAAACTAAATGAATTATATTGATTTCTTAATACAAATGTTCCAAAGGAATATTTTCAAGAATTTTTATTTAGAATACATTTTAAAATTGAATTCAGACAAATTTTCAAGATTTCAATTCCATAGAACAAATTTCTCAAAAAGTTATTTAGATAGTTAATTTTTTTTAAAAAAAAATTTAAGTCTCATTTATAAAAATTATTGGAATTCAGAATTTTGGCAAATATTTTAAATATAGTAATGGAATTTTAGACAAATTTTAATTAATAAATGTTTAAATAATTGAATTTTTAAAAAACTAAAAATTAGTTTTTAAAAATAATTAATTTAACAAAAAATTTAAGTTTAAAATAATTGAAATTATTGTGAATTTCAATTAATGAAAATTATTAACAGAATTTTAAACAATATTTGAATTTTAGAGAATTTTGAATTAAAAAATATTTTAAATAATTCAAATATTGGAATTTTAGAATACAAATTTTAGAAGTACTTGAGTTTAATGAGATTTATATTAAAATTTTCGTAAATTTGAATTGCAGAAGGTTTTTTTTTATAAGCTTCAGATAATAATTGAATCTTAGACAATTTTTAAATTGAAAAAATGATTGAAATTATTGTAAATTAAAGTTAATGAAAATTATTACCTAATAAAATGTTATACAATAATTGAATTTTAGAGAATTTTAAATTAAAAAATTGTTTTAAATAATAGAATTTTTAAAGAACTTGATTAAAATTATTGAAAATAATGAATATTGTGAAGTATTCAAGTTAATATTTTTTTGAATAATTCAAATTTGCAAAGTTGTTTATATTTTATACTAAAAAAAAGTCGTATTTATCTAAAAAATGTTTTTAAAAGACGAAGTCACATTTTCACAAGAAGTCGAAATTAGTCGCATTCATGGAAAAAAATAAAAAAAATCATGCAATCTGAGACTTGCAAAATGTAATTTAATAGAAATTCTATCAAATCTTTTTGACAAGTATACATATTAAATTTTCCTTTGGATATTCTTTGATGGATTTTGAATCGAAATTCTTGTGTTAGATATTTATTTCATAAATAAACATTCTATCCAAACATTTGTTATAAATTCATCAAATGTTGGTAGAAAAGAAATATTTTTAGAAAGTATTCTCATAAAAATCAAAGCTTTATTTTAAAATTTTTCAAACTTGAAAATTTTTCAATTAGAGTACTTTTAGAGACAAATAGGAGAAATAGGGGACGACTATGAAGCCTTCAAATGTTTAGTTGATTCAACGAAACTGTTTGCCGGATTATTATATTATATAATATTGAAATAATTTTTTTTTAAATTTAATTAAATAAAAATGTTGAAAACAAACCGATATGTAAACTGGTGAGTTAAAAACATCGGCAAGAACTTGTAAAATTGCTTTGTTCATTGAAGTCCCTCCCGTAGCAATAATTCTCGTATTTGGTCCTAGATATAAATTATTATTAGCGTAGAATATTTAATGAGCCTTATTATAAGATCCACATGATTATTTTTATCATACCAATCGAAAAACCAAAATCTTCAGCATATGCTCTTTTAGCGATGAATTGTCCCTCTATTAGTGCTCTCACTTCAACTTCCTTCGAACTATATCGATTTATTTTCTCATTTGCTTTATTAAATCTATAATCTCCAATAATAGATGGTAAAATTTCCTGAGAATCAAAATATAATCCTAAATTTCCAAAATTTCCCCTTGGAGTACTTTCCAATAATTCGTTGAAAATTGGCCACGAACCTTGTGCTGCACTGTCGCATATTCTTTTCCGTGTCATGGATCCATTTTTAAAACTGACAAATTTTTTTAATATGAAAATTTTTCTTTAAAATGATTTATATATATAAATATTTTAAAAAATAAATTTTATAATTAAATTTAAAATTAATGAAAGATTCATTTTTAAATATAATAATTACCAAAGTAAAATAATATAAGCTGGATCATCCAAAGAATTGCAAAAAACATGTCCTTCTGTAATAGTCTTGGGTTCATTGAGACCAAAGAAAAGAGTGTCACTAGTTCCTAGACTGCAAACAACGTCTTCTTTTTTCAGTCTCAATCCTACAAATTGAGGTATAAATTTTTTTTCTAAGTTTACAAAAGTTGAAAAATATTTTCTAATTTCTTTTTACCAGCCAAGGAACTCGCATTGTCTCCCGTGAATGCAATAATTCTGCATCCTTCATCGAATCCAAATCTTTCTACAAAATAGTTGGAGACTGGACCAATATCACTAAGTGATGAAACTGGTTCGCCTAGTTTATCCTTTAAATTTGTCCCACACAACTAAAACAAGATTTGCTTTAGGTCAGTAAATTTTAATCAGTTACTTTCATAAATTCAATTTTATTTGAAAAATTTTGAAAATTGTAACCCCCACAACACCGAAACTTTGTAAAGATTTAAATGTCCCACATGAATAAATGTTTAGCGCGAAACTTTTCTGAACATTCATTTAATCGGGACATTTAAATCTTTACACAATTATCACTATAAACTTTGCAATTAAATATTCCGAACATTTCAAATAAATCTTTAAGAAATCTTTAGGAAAGTTTCGGTGCTGTGGGGGAGATTATTTTGTACATTTTTAATATTAAAAATTATGAATTGATTTTCAAAGAAAATACCCAGTAAAAAAAAGAATTGGTAGTTAGCGAAAAGGAATTGGTGATAACTTAAGCTGAATTCGGTTCGGCGAAAAAACCGAATTGGAACGTTACGGTGAATTATTTTTTTCTTACCATGAATTCTTTTCTTTTGAACATTTGAATTGACGTTTGTTTATTCGAGTTTACATTATAAATAAATAGAATAAATGTTTCGAAGTCTAAAAAGGCCGATTAGGAATAAGAAATATATAATTTTTTAAAAAGAAATAAAAGTCAAATGTTTTTTCGCCAAACCGAATTCAGCTTCAGTTACCACCAATTCTTTTCGCTTACTCCCAATTCTTTTTTTTAACTGGGTACATATCAAACTGTTCTCTGTGATATAAAATTTTTTTTTAATCAAATCTCAGGTTATTCTCAATTTTTGTTTAATATATAGAGAATAACCCAAACGAAGAAAATAAATTAAATCTAAAATTTTTCTATTCATTTTATATAAATATTTTCAAACCAAATATTCTAGTATATTCCAAATTAATAATGTTTTGAATATTTTTAAATGTTAGAATTATTTACTAAGAAAAACGTTAAGTTTTTCAAATAATTTTAAGGCGCTCATGAATGTGAAACATGAGTTAGGGGCCGTCCATAAACTACGTATCCAGTTTAGGGGGAGGGGGGGGGTTCAGTGAAATTCTACGGTAAACTACGTGGGGGAGGGGAGGGGTTCGAGCCATGACTCCGTAGTTGTACTTATTAAGTCATTTATTTTGATATTTTTTAAATTGCGCGGGTAATTCCAATGTCAAATTGAGCGATATATGAATATAAAGTAGAATTTTTGTAAAATTAAATATGTATAAATTATTTTAAAATGATTATTATAAACTTGATGAAAATAAGAAAAATAATTGGGTCTCACGAATAATATGCCATGAAAATTATAAAATTGCATTTTTAGTGTTTCGAAATCACCTGCTTTTAGAAATATTACTTAATCAAAAGAAATTAATGCAAACAATATTGTAAACAAATTTTTATTAATTAAGAATTCTACAATTTACTAAATTTTCATTCATTGAAATTTTTAATAAGCTATATTTTTATTTATCATAATTATTAGAATGAATTTCACTTTGTCGATTTTGCTGCCAAAAAAAATAGTAAATACATTATTATTTCATTTTAACAAACATTTAACTGGTAAGAATGTTTTAGTAAAACTTATTTTTATTAGAATATAATTTTTAATAGAAATTAAAAGTTATGTAATGTTAATATTATTAATTAATTATTCGAATTACTATATAATTTGAAAATTATATAACGTAAAATTTTCATTAAAAGTAATTTTTTCTTATTAAAAAACAGGTGTAATATTCTTACAGATGAAATTTTTGTTAAATAAAATTTAAATCCCTTCAGGTATTAAAAAGTGTGTAAAAGCATATTTAAGAGAATTTAATTTATTGAAAAAATCATTAGTATAAATTATTTATTATTTATTTATTATTATTTTATTATTATTTATTATTATTAGTTTAAAAAATTAAAATTAAAATTCCTTATGTGTTCTTAAATTGAATTCTCTTTATTGGAAATTGTTATCTATACAAAAGAAATACATTTTTAAATAAGTAAAAAAAACTACGTTCTGCCAGTGGAGGGGGGGGGGTTAGAGCGAAAGTCTACGTTGATCTACATGGGGGGAGGGGGGTCAAAAAGTGCCAAAAATTGGACTACGTGGTTTATGGACGGCCCCTTAGAAAAGGATAGAAATATCTTCGTATCCTTTTCTATCTCATGCATCTCGTTTTCGCGAAAATATTGTGCGTTGGCCTTTAGTTTATGAAATTTTCATTATTTTTAAATTACAATTTTTTTTTAAGAATAAATTTGTGTAAATTTTCTTTTGCGCTCGCTTACTTTACCCCCGGGCGGGAATCACTCACTTTGCGCCCGCATTAAGTGCCCGAAATGACATACTTTCCATATGCAGGTAGGACAAAAAAAAACTTTTTCCGCTCACTGTTATTTAACACAATGAATCTACTTATGGACTCAAATTTGGATTCAGCGACCCCAAAAACTCCCAAGTACAGAATTTTGAACGAATCGAATCAATTTTAAATTTTTCCCCAATATTGGGTCCGCCATTTTGAATTTTTAAAATCTGATCTCAAATTTGGATTCAGGGACCCCAAAAACCTTAAAGGATCCATTTTTATGCAAATCTACCCTTCTAGAAAAAATCAATTGAACACGATTCAGAACGATTGAGTACAACAATTTTTTAATCGTTTTGAATTGTTTTCAATTGGAGTATATATTTTTTCAATTGATTCGAATTGTTTTTAATCGTGTAAAATAAGTTATACTTTTTTAATTGTTTTTAATCGGGTGCTATCGGGAGAACGATATACGCACATGCGCAAATAGTTAATAATAAGAATAAGAAAAGTGTTGAATCAAACAGGAAAGATGTTTTTCTTCTAAATGTTTTGTAATATATAGTTCTGTTCGTGCGTATGTGTCAAATATTTAAAATCTAAAGTAAAATTCCTAGTGATATGGATAATGTCAATATGTTTACTTATCCTATATATGAACAAATTAAGTATGACAACCTTTGAGTTGTTAATACATAACCTTAAAAAAAATAAAAATAAATAAATGGGTACGTAAAAAAATACATGTAAACAGAAATTAAATAATTAGGTACATATAAAAATAAATATAAGAAAAAATTCTATTTCTTACATTTTAAAATAATTTCAGTTTTTCATTTTTTTTAGAACAAATTTTTAGTTTTTCTAAACTTTGGGTGTCCAGCAGCTTTTCAAAAAAATTTAACAAAAAAATTATTCAATATAAATTTTGTTTCAAGTTTACCTGAACTCCTTGCAACAACAAAAAACCATAATTTTCCAATTAAATATTTTCAAAAATTGTAATTAAATTCTTTAAAAAGTTCAATTGTTTTCAAATTTTTCGAATAAATTTTACAAAATTTCAATTATTTAAAATTAATAAGTCAAAACTTTCAATACAAACTCTTTCAAAATTGAATTACTTCTATTAAATTCTGTAATTATTTTATTTATAAAAAATTTTAACTTATACTTTTTGCAAATTATAAACATTTCGTCTTGTGCAGCTTCATTCAAAGATAAATTAAAAAATAACTTTTAATTAATTTTTGACAAAATATATGATTTTCTTCTGTGGTGACAAATACATTGATAAATATTTTAATTTTTTAGTTTAGATAATAATAATCTTTAAAATAATATTTTTATAGACTGTTTAATTAGTTGCATTTTTAAAAATTTTCAAAACATTTTCACACGTGCATGGAATACAATCTATAGAACACGATCGTTTGAAAACGATTGAATATACATAATAAGAAAGTCAATCGTCCTCAATTGTAAGAACACGATTAAGAAACACAATTGGGGACAATAGAAATTTCTTTCCTATTGTTTTCAATCGTTTTCAATCGATTTTTTCTAGAAGGGTAGTCAATTTAAAAAATTTTGGACGCCATATTGGGTCTGATATTTTGAATTTTTTAAATCTGACCTTAAATTCGGATTCAGCGACCCCAAAAACTTTAGTATATCCATTAACACTCAAATCAAATTATGATGTTTAGTATTTTTTTTCTAATGTGAACATACTTGTCCAAAATCACAAAGGTGGCACGACTTTTTTTGGACATATATGTTAAGTTATTTAATATTATGAATTATCATAATAATCACTTATAACTTATTTATTACATTTTTATTTTATAGTCGATATTTAAATCTATATTTTGAAATTAAAATTGAAGTGTAGAATGACAAACTAGCGACATCTTACATCCTCAAGTAGCAACTGTTACGAACTCACATTTCGATTCATAACTAACTTCACATTTCACCTGACATAAGAGTGTTTAGGCAATACCTATAATCAGTTATTCCGTTTGATTAATTATTAACAATTATTATAAGTGTCGATTTTCTATAATAGAAAGAATGGATTATAAAACCAATTCGTTACCCCTATCTATACAGTTTTAATGTTTTATATTTATACCGTGCGGCAAACTTTGCTCTCGTTCAGGAATTGACAACTTTCTATCCTTGCCACAATGTACAGTCGTGGTAGTAAATATGCCTATACTTCTTTTGTCCTTTTCTAACGCCATGGCAACACGTGTGTAAGACAAGGACAGAAAAGGGAAGGTATCAACGTTCACGACTGTACTATGTAAGTATTCTCTACACTCGAGTTAAAATTTTCTGCATCCGATTGTAAAAAGATATAACATATATATATTTGTTTTAATAGAATTTTAAAGTTTTTAATAATCCTAGTTAATTTATTGATCGGGATTAATGAAGTGAATTTAGCAATGAAGTATTAGTGAGTACGCCGTGAATAGGACAGACCCAAAATATTTAGCACGAAGGTAATCTTTAAAAATTATTGTTTTTTGTACAACATAAAAAATGAAAAGTGTTCTGGAACAAAACATTACCGTAAATCGAGATAATTATACCATCTTTTTGTCTATTATACTATTATGCTCATTAAAAGTTTTCTATTTTGCAAAAATCTATTTGAATCACCTAAAATTTATAGTGTTTTTCAAAATATTTCAGGTTATTGGATATTTTAAGAAAAATAAGTGGAAAAAACTATGGAAATAAGCAAATTATAAGTTTACAAGTGGTGCAGCATAACCTCAGAAATAATTTTTTAGTAATATTTTTTTACTTATACTCTTATATCTGTCATTTGTATGCAACAAACGAGATGAGGTATTTTTAATTATTTTACGTACAAATTTTTATTAAGGATAAAAACAGGTTTTTAAGTTTTATTATAATTACAAAATCTTTCCATTTGTTTTTCCAGAAAATTGTTGAATTTTTGTATTTAACATTAAGTAATATTTACAGTTTTCTTAAAAGTATCAAATTGATACCAAAGTGTATCAAATTGAGACCAAAATTTGTATCAATTTATTATTTGATCCCTATTTTGGGTATCAATTTGTTGTAATTTGATACTTTGAAGTTAACAGTGATTTGGATATTTTTCGAAAATTTCAATAACTATAAACAAAAAAAACGACGATTATTAAAAATATTAATTTTTTTTTAAAGAAATAAATTAAATTTCTTTATAAGTAAAATTATTATCATTATTTAGTAAATGAAAAAAAGTGATTTTGATTACTCACTTGAAGAAGTTCTTCACACCATTCTCTCGATCGTATATCCATTAAATTCATGCCAGAAGCGTCCGAAAAGTCGATTGGGGCATAATCTCCCAAGAATAATGAAGCCATGAAACTGCTAATCAAGGAAATTCTCTAAAAACCAATTAAAAAAATAAATAAACTGCTCCGTTTGGTTTTGCTTTAGAAATTAATAATTTTAACAATTACCATCTCACAAACAAATGTCCCTGAATGTCTGAAAGTTCAAATGAACGAAATCATATTTTGATCTAACATTTTTAAAAAATTACTACTATTATGAAAAATAAAAAGGTACATTAATAATATTTAATAAATTTTTAATTTATTATTGGATAGAGAAAGCAATATTTTAAATAATAAAATTTAAAGTTAAAAAAATAGTAGGTAGAACAAATTCGTTTATTGGAACGTTCATAATTTCAGGCACATAACAACAAAATCTAATAATTGAACCTCCCAATTCTGTAACTCGTTTAGCGCTCGGCCGGACGCTAAACGAGTTACAGAATTGGGAGGTTCAATATTGTTTTCATTTATTTTCAATATAGAAATACACCCCCACAGCACCGAAACTTTGGTGAAAATATTGGAATATTTAAATATTAATTAATAATATTAATATTTATTAATATTTATATATATTTACACTGCAAAAATACTCTCTAAATTTGAATCGGCGATAAGTATACCACTGGTACCAATCAGCAGATATACGCTGAAAAATCAGTGAAATCCCACTAATTCATCAGTGCATATAAGCTGATTGGAATCAGTGGTATGCTTATAGCTGACAATGAGAATCAGCGAGATTCCGCTGATTCAAATTTAGAGAGTAATAAGTGACTTATACTTGGTATCTTACAATAAGATATAATATGGAAAAATGGTATCTTCCATCTTAAAAAAAGATATTTTGTTAATTATCTTATTAATATTTAAGATGCTTTTTGAGTTTTAACAAGAATTAAAATATTTCTTTCATCTTAAAATGTAAGTTACTTCGTTAAGTTTCTATAAGTAACTTGAATTTAGATATTTGTTGAGTCATAAGATGTTTAGAAAAAATATGCTTATAAATTCTAAGATACGTCAAAATTTGAAGTTACTAAAATATAAAATACATTAAGCATCTTACATAAGAGGTCATATAGTTAAACTCAAAATTGTTTTCATCAAAAATATGTGAAGCACTTTTGCAAAAATACTATTAACATTTTAAACTAAGATATTTCAAATAACTAAAAAGTTACTACCAAAACATTTTATATTAAGATACTTCTTTTTGCAGTGTATTTTAAAATCTTTGGAATATTTAATTGCAAAGTTTAGTGAAAATTGTGTAAAGATTTAAATGTCCCACTTGAATAAATGTTTAGCGCGAAACTTTCCTGAACATTTAAATTAAATTTTTGCCTAATTATAATATTAATATCTTATATTTCACATTATATGTTATTTCATTTAAATGTTCAGGAAAGTTTAGCGCTAAACATTTATTTAAGTAGGACATTTAAATCTTTACACAATTTTCACTAAACTTTGCAATTAAATATTCCAAATATTTTAAAATAAATATATATAAATATTAATAAATATTAATATTATTATTATTATTATTAATTAATATTTAAATATTCCAATATTTTCAGGAAAGTTTCGCTGCTGTGGGGGCAATCAATTTAACCTTTCGTTGACTCACTGGATAATTTTGACTCATGAGGTCTTTTTTCTAGTTTAAATATTTGTAACCTAAATTTTTTTCGAAAACTGTTATACAAATAAGAAAAAAATGTGTCTGTCCTTGGTGACAAAATTTTTAATGTTAAGGATTATTCATATAAATTTCACTCGAATTTTGATATAACGAGAAATTTGGAACCGTTAACTTTTGTTATAACAATTTGAAGGGATCCCACCACAAATTTTGTTTCTTAAACGTGAAATTTTTACCTACGAAATAATTATTTATCAAATTGTTTTAAAAAAAATTATTTTTTCCTGTTTTTGATTGGTTAATAATTATCGTGAAAAATCTAAAATGATCTCTTTTTGAATAAAATGAACATAAATATAATAATTACTAAATAATATAATTTGTTAAGTTTTCACGAATGAGGTGGTCAAACTGACCGTGATGAACTATAGAAAAAAAATTCAATTTGTAACATAACAAAACGTGACGTTAGGGTTGGGGGTCTAAAATGGGTACAACATACCGTGATGTAGTTTGTAAATGACCCCTTTTTGGAATTTATTTATGGAAAGATAATTGTACGTTGTATTTTCAGGAATTCGGTCTTGGAAATCCAGCGATTTTCTTTTAAGTCAATAAACATCAAACGTTATGTTAAAAAAAATATATATATATAATGTATAATAGAGTAGAGTGGGTTAAAATAACCAATTTGCTTTTATTTTCGTGTTGTACGTCTTATGAATTTGTCTTTCAAGGTGAATGATAGTTCTGACGTTCCCCACATGTGTCAGGAGTGATTCGCAAATAAACCACCACATAATATACATTAAAATAATTTGTCGGAAAATCTTTCGCAATCCTGTAGTAAACTTGTGTTTAAAAAACCTTAAAATCAACCAAAATAATCTAAAAAATAATTAATATAAAAGTAATATACAATAGTTTGGTATGGGGTCACTTTTTCCAAATAATTTTTCCCAATCTGTTTTTTCCAAAAAGAATTTTACCAATGACCATTTTTTCCAAAATTTAAAACGAAGCTGAAGTACGCAACGTTTATATAAACGATTTTTAAAGAAATAATTTTTTTAAATGAAAAATTCTATAATTTTTTGCCTAAAAAATATTTTTTTATAATTTGTTGATTAATGAAAACTACAAGAAATATTTTTTAGGCAAAAAATTATTAGTGTTGCCGCAAGACTCAAGACTTTTCGAGACAAGACGAGACTAAAGGTGACAAGACCAAGACAAGACGGACCATTTATCTTGTCTCGATTATTCAAGACGAGACGAGATCAACTGTGTCAAGATCAAGACAAGACCAAGAGTCTCGAGTATAAACTGATTACTAGAAAAATAAGTATTACGCATAACTTTGTTAAGTGTAAATGAATACTTTCATTCTCATAAATTTTAATTTATCCACAAATAAATAATTATTAATATAGAGAACACGTAATAAAATTTTTTAATTATTAAAAAACACGAACATTTAAAATAATAGAAATCTATTTGTTATAAAAATTTTAGATTTCTTTACTTTTCTTTAAATTCATTTTTGATTTTAGTAGAGACAGAAGAAGAAAACCAGGAGTTCAAACATAAAAGATATTCTATGTTGTTGTTACTTAGCCTGTTTCGGTTGTAATATTCATTATTATTAGAGGTGTGCAATAACTCGAATTTTACATGGACTCGAAATTCGAACCGAACCGAGTCCATGTTAATTCTTATGGAGAGAATCGAATTTTTGACATTTGCACAACTCTAATTATTATATTATTCGTATAGCAATATATAGTAGCATAATCGATTTTTTATTTGTAATTGAAATTTTTCTGCTATATAACATATCAAAATTTATGGAACATATGAATAAGTGTTTTTATTTACAATATACAGACAAAATATTAAGTCAGTTATCTGAGGTTTAATACATCATATCACGAGTCTTTTGAACTATGTTTAACCTAAAAGTTCTGCTACTTCTGGTTTTCTTACTGAAAATTATTCTCTAAGGTTTAAATAATAAGAAAAAAGTTTTTAAAAAAATATTTTTTTAAAAAAAGTTTCCAAACTTGTTCTAAGGTTTAAATAAGAAAAAAGTTAAAAAAAATTTTTTTTAAAAAAACTTTTTTTATTATTTAAGCCTTAGAGAATACCTTTCAACAAGAAAACCAGAAGTAACAAAATCTTTGAGTTGAACATAGTTCAAACGACCCGTGATATAAAAACAAATCAATAATTTTTATTTTTTGAAAAATATCGAGACCATTCAAGACGAGACGAGACTCTATGTATCAAGACGAGACTTTTTCGAGACAAGACTCATTGTTCGTCTCGACTTTACAAGACGAGACGAGATTGATCAGAATCTCGTCTTGTCTCGTCTTGCGGCAACACTAAAAATTATAGAATTTTTCATTTTAAAAAATTATTTCTTTAAAAATCGTTTATATAAACGTTGCGTACTTCAACTTCGTAATTTAAAATTTCCAAAATCAATTTTTTACAATGTTTATTTGTTATCTGAAAATTTCGAACAAAACACATTCCACTGACAGGAACAACTTCATATTGCCTTCTTTTAAAAAATAAAATTGCAGCTATCAGACAGCAGTAAAAAATTATTCGGTGTAAAGTTCTACATTCTTGTAAACAATTATGGCAGAAATAATTCTATAAAATCTCACATCAATGGCTTCTTATATAATAAACACTCAAATCAGTCTGGTAAGAATTATTAGACATGTAATAAAAAAGAAAGCCGATACAAAAAAAATGCTTAGACAATTGCAACTAGGACAGAAAATTAAAAGAGGAATTGATGCGAAGAAATTGTAAGCTCATAAACAAATTGTTAATACTATTGCGACATATCACGACCATGTCCAAAATGGAGATGTTTTAACGTACTTAAGAAGTGTCAGTTATAACATCCGATTCTAAATTTCACACTTTATTTTTGAAATATTTTTTATTGAAAAAAAAATTGGTGTCTAAAATAAAGTGTATAATGAAATACAATTGATATTGATATTAAAGAAAATTTTCTGGATATACAACAAATAATGCTAGAAATTAAAATAAGGCAATCCTTCCTAACCTCAAAATATTCCGGCAACAAACATATCTATATTAATAAAATCAGACTTTTGTCTGTACATTGCTCCAAATTAATTTTTTCTTGCATAGTTTATCATTTTAAGTAGTAAAGATAACAAATATGCCATAAATAAAAATTCTGTCTGTCTGTCTGTCTGTCTATCTGTCTGTCTGTCGTCAATATTTTGTACCGGCACAACTTTAAAACGGCTCAACCGATTAAGGTAAAACTTGGCAGCGTATTCAGTCTTAACGTAACTTAAAATCTTAGCCATATTTGATTAAAAAATATTAACATGAACGAAAGTTATGACATTTTTTCAAAAAATTTAAAAAAATCAAAAAAATGCAATTTTTTTATTTTTTGACAGATTGATTTGAAACTATTTGTACCTAATTTTTTCACATAAATACAATCAATTTTTTTATTAAATTAAGTAAATAGTCTGAATTTAAAAGTCTAAATCAAATTTTTAAATTTCCAATTTTTTTAATAACATTGTAATATAAGAATTCGTTATGTTCAACTTTTTATAAGTAAAACAATAATGTTTTTAGTCTGTTGGGTATTAAACGCAATCTTAGCTGCACACCAATGAAAAATATTAATTTAAACAAAAATATGACACTTTCAAAAAATTTAACATTTTTTATTTTTTGATAATTCTTTACTAAACGTTCTTTATTTAAAATTTTGTGACCAATTAAGTATGCTTTTAACAAGAAATTTTAAGAATTTTATCAGAATTTTAAAATTAATAATTGCAAATCTGAATATGAAATCAGATATTGTAAAAATAAAAAATCGAAAATTACTTTTTTACTCTTTGAAATTAGATCCAATTGGATGTAATTATAAATTTCAAAATTTATTAAATCTAAATATTATAACCGTCGAAGACGGGTGCGACAGCTAGTTTATATATATAGCCACTTAATATATCAAAAGGCCAGTTAATAATAATAAGAAGAATGTGTCAGGAGAAAATAGCAAACGCTATGACTGTTTCATTTTTCGTAGTGCAACATGTATTAAAAAGAAAAAACGATACTGGTAAATATGTAGACGCAGAAAATGAAAAAATTGTTCAAAGGTTACAACACATCGTAAAGAACATCTTCTGATAATTAAATCTCTTAAAGTCTTCCATTTGACGCTAAATTTAATAAACTTTTAAATGGTCCATATTTGATAACTTTACTTGCAATTTTTCATGAAATATTTGTATTTGAAGTGAAGCAAGCATTTTTAAATAAGCCAACAAAATGTACTTATCTTTTTGACTCTAGTCTATAGAAATAAAAAGGGCAGGTGAATTTTTCTTATCAATTTAAATATTGTAAATACGATGATATTTTGTTTATTTGGTGATATCTTAAATGTTTCGGGAGTTATTGTGTTTTTATCTTAAAATCTATTGTTGGGGCGAAATAATCAATGTGATTCTAAGGCGAGACAAACATTTTTTTCGCGTTTTAAGAGTTTCTTTTTTCAGATTATTTTTAAATCTTTTAAAGTATTTTTCTGAATGTATATTTTTTGATTAATCAATTTATTATTATCGATGTGCATTATATTAATAATATCAAAAAGAAAGAAATTTTTTTAACAAAAATGGATTTCTCAAAATAATAAGAGTTCTACTTAGTCTGAATTAGTACCCTGGCGGATTCGATTTGCGTAATGTCTACTTAACTAAGCGGACTTTAGGTAGACATTAGGTAGACATGTAAAAAAACGTATAAAAAAGCTATTAATCGACTTATTATGATAAAAAAAAGTTGATAAAAGGGTAAATGAATGTTTATAGAGTAAATTCGTACAAAATTTGTAATTAATAAAGCAATAAATAATTAATAATGAATGGAAATGTGCGCGAGGTACCTGATCAGTTCAGCTCTACAATTATTTTCGTGCTATTTTCATGAAAAGAATATAAATTAACTGCAAAAACAATTGATATTTATAAAAAAGTGTAAAATTGATTTAATTTTATTGTTTGCAATACGAATTATTAAATAATAATTAAGTTTTTATCAAATGTGAATAGTGTTGTGAAAACCTGTGAAAACTAATGAGTTACTACATTACCGATCGCATATGATAATAAAAAGTTCTCGATGAGTGTAACAAAAAAGCTGCAATCATGTCCGTAATTTTGGACGAGAAACAATTATGAAATCAATAATTATTTGTATAACTTTATTCTGCATTTTAAAATTCACTTTTTATTTTCTTTCAAAGCAAAAGTAGTGTTGCCGCAAGACTCAAGACTTTTCGAGACAAGACGAGACTAAAGGTGACAAGACCAAGACAAGACGGACCATTTATCTTGTCTCGATTATTCAAGACGAGACGAGATCAACTGTGTCAAGATCAAGACAAGACCAAGAGTCTCGAGTATAAACTGATTACTAGAAAAATAAGTATTACGCATAACTTTGTTAAGTGTAAATGAATACTTTCATTCTCATAAATTTTAATTTATCCACAAATAAATAATTATTAATATAGAGAACACGTAATAAAATTTTTTAATTATTAAAAAACACGAACATTTAAAATAATAGAAATCTATTTGTTATAAAAATTTTAGATTTCTTTACTTTTCTTTAAATTCATTTTTGATTTTAGTAGAGACAGAAGAAGAAAACCAGGAGTTCAAACATAAAAGATATTCTATGTTGTTGTTACTTAGCCTGTTTCGGTTGTAATATTCATTATTATTAGAGGTGTGCAATAACTCGAATTTTACATGGACTCGAAATTCGAACCGAACCGAGTCCATGTTAATTCTTATGGAGAGAATCGAATTTTTGACATTTGCACAACTCTAATTATTATATTATTCGTATAGCAATATATAGTAGCATAATCGATTTTTTATTTGTAATTGAAATTTTTCTGCTATATAACATATCAAAATTTATGGAACATATGAATAAGTGTTTTTATTTACAATATACAGACAAAATATTAAGTCAGTTATCTGAGGTTTAATACATCATATCACGAGTCTTTTGAACTATGTTTAACCTAAAAGTTCTGCTACTTCTGGTTTTCTTACTGAAAATTATTCTCTAAGGTTTAAATAATAAGAAAAAAGTTTTTAAAAAAATATTTTTTTAAAAAAAGTTTCCAAACTTGTTCTAAGGTTTAAATAAGAAAAAAGTTAAAAAAAATTTTTTTTAAAAAAACTTTTTTTATTATTTAAGCCTTAGAGAATACCTTTCAACAAGAAAACCAGAAGTAACAAAATCTTTGAGTTGAACATAGTTCAAACGACCCGTGATATAAAAACAAATCAATAATTTTTATTTTTTGAAAAATATCGAGACCATTCAAGACGAGACGAGACTCTATGTATCAAGACGAGACTTTTTCGAGACAAGACTCATTGTTCGTCTCGACTTTACAAGACGAGACGAGATTGATCAGAATCTCGTCTTGTCTCGTCTTGCGGCAACACTAAGCAAAAGCTTGGAAGAAAACATGCTCGCACTGTATTGTAAAAACTGGTGGCGCCATCTCTCATATGCGATCGGTAATGTAGTAACTCATTAGTTTTCACAGGTTTTCACAACACTATTCACATTAGGTCTGTGAACTTGCGACCGACACTTTGAAATTTTTAAAATTTTTTTATAGCATTCAATTGTCCACGAAAAGTCCACCTTTGTCCAACAAAATATTTTAATTGTCCACCTTTTGTTTAAATAAAAAATGGAAAAAATAATTTTTTCAAGTCGAAAGTTCAAAAATTAGTAATTAACATTCACTAGAGCACTCATCGGTTATTTAGCGTTAATAGACGTTTGTCCAACAGAAAATTTCTTTTCTAAATAAAAAAAAAAAAAAAAAAAAAAAGTTTATTTTGGGTAAAAATACTGAAATATGGCAAATTCCAATTTTACCGTTTCCACTACATTTATTGTTTGTCCACGGTAAGCTCAAATAGACAATCAAAGTTATGCCCTAAATTATCAATTCATTCATTCCTTTAGACTGCAGAGATGAATAAAACTTAAATATGATAGTATTTTACTTGTAACAAGTTTCCTAAAAAATCAAAGGTTGGACAATTAAATCCACTAGTTGGACAATTAAATTCACTAGTTGGACAATTAAAATTATGTCCTAAATCATCAATTCATTCATTCCTTTAGACTGCAGAGATGAATAAAATTTAAATTTGATAGTATTTTACTTATAAAGCGTATCCTAAAAAATCAAAGGTTGGAGAATTAAATCCACTAGTTGGACAATTAAATCTACTAATTGGACAATTAAAACTATGCACTAAATCATCAATTCATTCATTCCTTTAGACTGCAGAGATGAAGAAAAATTAAATTTGATAGTATTTCACTTATAAAGCGTATCCTCAAAATTCAAAGGTTGGACAATTAATTAATTAATTAATTCCAAAACATTAATTCATTCATTCCTTTAGACCGAAAAAAAAAATTGAAATTAATAGTTTTCCACTTGAAACGCGATTTCTTTAAATTCTAGAATTGGACAATTAAATATACTAGTTGGACAATTCTTAGTACTAGTTGGACAATTGAAATTGATGCCAAATTCATTAATGAATCCATATTTTTTGACCGTACAGAAGAAGAAAAGTTAAAATTGATAGTTTTCCACTGGAAACGCGATTTCTTTAAATTCTACGGTTGGACAATTAAATATACTAGTTGGACAATTCTTTGTACTAGTTGGACAATTGATATTGATACCAAATTCATTAATGAATCCATATTTTTTGACCGTACAGAAGAAGAAAAGTTAAAATTGATAGTTTTCCAGTGGAAACGCGATTTCTTTAAATTCTAGAATTGGACAATTAAATATACTAGTTGGACAATTCTTAGTACTAGTTGGACAATTGATATTGATACCAAATTCATTAATGAATCCATATTTTTTGACCGTACAGAAGAAGAAAAGTTAAAATTGATAGTTTTCCAGTGGAAACGCGATTTCTTTAAATTCTAGAATTGGACAATTAAATATACTAGTTGGACAATTCTTAGTACTAGTTGGACAATTGAAATGATACCAAATTCATTAATGAATCCATATTTTTTGACCGTACAGAAGAAGAAAAGTTAAAATTGATAGTTTTCCACTTGAAACGCGATTTCTTTAAATTCTAGGGTTGGACAATTCAAAATACTTGTTCGACAATTGAATCTACTAATTGGACAATTCAGTGGACGAGTTGGACAATCAAATTTGATAATTAATTTATGAATGAATCCATTTTTTAGACTGAATAGAAGAAGAAAAATTAAAAATTGATAGTTTTTCACTTGTATCCCGATAATCTTATTGTTCTAAAATGAGGACATAATTTTAATTGTCCAACTAGTGAATTTAATTGTCCAACTAGTGGATTTCATTGTCCAACCTTTGATTTTTTAGGAAACTTGTTACAAGTAAAATACTATCAAATTTAAATTTTATTCATCTCTGCAGTCTAAAGGAATGAATGAATTGATGATTTAGGACATAATTTTAATTGTCCAACTAGTGGATTTAATTGTCCAACCTTTGAATTTTAAGGAAACGTCTTACAAGTAAAATACTATCAAATTTAATTTTTCTTTATCTCTGCAATGCAAAGGAATAATTAAATTAATGATTTAGTGCATATTTTTAATTGTCCAATTAGTAGATTTAATTGTCCAACTAGTGGATTTAATTGTCCAACTAGTGGATTTAATTGTCCAACCTTTGATTTTTTAGGAAACTTGTTACAAGTAAAATACTATCAAATTTAAATTTTATTCATCTCTGCAGTCTAAAGGAATAAATGAATTGATGATTTAGGACATAATTTTAATTGTCCAACTAGTGAATTTAATTGTCCAACTAGTGAATTTAATTGTCCAACTAGTGGATTTAATTGTCCAACCTTTGATTTTTTAGGAAACTTGTTACAAGTAAAATACTATCAAATTTAAATTTTATTCATCTCTGCAGTCTAAAGGAATGAATGAATTGATGATTTAGGACATAATTTTAATTGTCCAACTAGTGAATTTAATTGTCCAACTAGTGGAATTAATTGTCCAACCTTTGAATTTTGAGGATACGCTTTATAAGTGAAATACTATCAAATTTAATTTTTCTTCATCTCTGCAGTCTAAAGGAATGAATGAATAGATGATTTAGTGCATAATTTTAATTGTCCAACTAGTAGATTGCATTGTCCAACTAGTGGATTTAATTGTCCAACCTTTGAATTTTTAGGAAACGCTTTATAAGTGAAATACTATCAAATTTAAATTTTATTCATCTCTGCAGTCTAAAGGAATGAATGAATAGATGATTTAGTGCATAATTTTAATTGTCCAACTAGTAGATTGCATTGTCCAACTAGTGGAATTAAATGTCCAGCCTTTGAATTTTGAGGATACGCTTTATAAGTGAAATACTATCAAATTTAATTTTTCTTTATCTCTGCAATGCAAAGGAATAATTAAATTAATGATTTAGTGCATATTTTTAATTGTCCAATTAGTAGATTTAATTGTCCAATTAGTAGATTTAATTGTCCAACTAGTGAATTTAATTGTCCAACTAGTGAATTTAATTGTCCAACTGGTGGATTTAATTGTCCAACCTTTGAATTTTAAGGAAACGTGTTAGAAGTAAAATACCATCAAATTTAAGTTTTATTTATATCTGCAGTCTAAAGGAATGAATGAATAGATGATTTAGTGCATAATTTTAATTGTCCAACTAGTAGATTGCATTGTCCAACTAGTGGAATTAATTGTCCAACCTTTGAATTTTGAGGATACGCTTTATAAGTGAAATACTATCAAATTTAATTTTTCTTCATCTCTGCAGTCTAAAGGAATGAATGAATTGATGATTTAGTGCATAATTTTAATTGTCCAACTAGTGATTTTAATTGTCCAACTGGTGGATTTAATTGTCCAACCTTTGAATTTTAAGGAAACGTGTTAGAAGTAAAATACCATCAAATTTAAGTTTTATTTATATCTGCAGTCTAAAGGAATGAATGAATTGATGATTTAGGACATAATTTTAATTGTCCAACTAGTAGATTGCATTGTCCAACTAGTGGATTTAATTGTCCAACCTTTGAATTTTAAGGAAACGTGTTACAAGTAAAATGCTATCAAATTTAAGTTTTATTCATATCTGCAGTCTAAAGGAATGAATGAATTGATGATTTAGGGCATAATTTTAATTGTCTAACTAGTGAATTTAATTGTCCAACTAGTGGATTTAATTGTCCAACCTTTGATTTTTTAGGAAACTTGTTACAAGTAAAATACTATCAAATTTAAATTTTATTCATCTCTGCAGTCTAAAGGAATGAATGAATTGATGATTCAGGACATAATTTTAATTGTCCAACTAGTGAATTTAATTGTCCAACTAGTGGATTTAATTGTCCAACCTTTGATTTTTTAGGAAACTTGTTACAAGTAAAATACTATCATATTTAAGTTTTATTCATCTCTGCAGTCTAAAGGAATGAATGAATTGATAATTTAGGGCATAACTTTGATTGTCTATTTGAGCTTACCGTGGACAAACAATTAATGTAGTGGAAACGGTAAAATTGGTATTTCGCCATATTTTAGTAATTTTACCCAAAATAAACTTTTTTTTTTTTTTTCTTATTTAGAAAATAAATTTTCTGTTGGACAAACGTCTATTAACGCTAAATAACCGATGAGTGCTCTAGTGAATGTTAATTACTAATTTTTGAACTTTCGACTTGAAAAAATTATTTTTTCCATTTTTTATTTAAACAAAAGGTGGACAATTAAAATATTTTGTTGGACAAAGGTGGACTTTTCGTGGACAATTGAATGCTATAAAAAAATTTTAAAAATTTCAAAGTGGCGGTCGCAAGTTCACACACCTATTCACATTTGATAAAAACTTAATTATTATTTAATAATTCGTATTGCAAACACTCAAATTAAATCAATTTTACACTTTTTTATAAATATCAATTGTTTTTGCAGTTAATTTATATTCTTTTCATGAAAATAGCACGAAAATAATTGTACAGCTGAACTGATCAGGTACCTCGCGCACATTTCCATTCATTATTAATTATTTATTGCTTTATTAATTACAAATTTTGTACGAATTTACTCTATAAACATTCATTTACCCTTTTATCAACTTTTTTTTATCATGATAAGTCGATTAATAGCTTTTTTATACGTTTTTTTACATGTCTACCTAATGTCTACCTAAAGTCCGCTTAGTTAAGTAGACATTACGCAAATCGAATCCGCCAGGGTATATGAGAAGGTACAATGATTATTTATTCATCAATGTTTGGTGGTTTTATGTAGCCTATTTTTCTTCGTGTTGCCTCAGTGACAGTAGAATTGTTGTTTTTCGTTTGTTATTCATTAACTTTTGTGTTTTTTAGTTCAAAAAATAGAATTGGAGATTTTGCCCCAGTACTGGGGGCAAAATTGCAATGATCGCGTAGAATGGCTGTAACTCAATTTAGAAAAGCCAAAATATCAATTTTTTTCAAATTCTTCTTTGTTATAAGGCTTTTCATTTCGTTCTAGATTCGGAGATGAAGTTAGAAATATCACAAATTGATAATTTTACCCCACTCTACTCTAACACCTCCTTAAAAAGTTAAAAGCATGCTTCGATTAAAATTCTAAAACATTCACTAATAATTAATTAAATTAATTTTTTAATGCAATCAGGACCAGACAATCGGCGGAAATTAAAATATCCTGGAATATTTTTGAAATGTGAATATTTTAAAAATATCCCAGGATTAAAAAAATATATATCCGGTTGTTGTAAGAAGAAACAGTAAATCAGTCACTTAAATATTAAAAAAAACTTGGGTTGCTGATGTAATTTCTACCTTAAATATGCGCAAAATGTAAAAATTAATGTGCGATTAACACATTACTTTTACATTTTTAAAACAATCAATCAGGTAATTTACTTAAAATAAATGATAATATATTTTCCATCATTGTATAAATGATAGATAAAACATATTTTAAAAATTTCAATTTATTCAAATTTAAAAAATTTATATTCTGGTATTTTAATAGAAAATAGTATTTATAAATTTACGAAACACATAATATCAACAACCCAAGTTTGAATTATGAAATATTTAAATCTGACACAGCACATGAAATTTTCACGAAATTTGCGTTGTTATTTTAACATATACTGAGCTATTAAAGTATGATATTCAGGAAATGACACAAGGGATAATAAATAAATTTTAATCCACGATGAATATTTTTCACATTTTTGGAAAATAGAAGAGAAATATTGAATTTTAAATTATATTTAAAAATAATTTTAAAATAAAACTTAATTACTCAAAGAGTTCTGTCTGTTTAAATAAATAAATATAACATTTAAATATTTGAAAATATAGTTAAAAATTTATACAATATTTGATTTGATATACTATTTAAAAATATAGGAAAGAATTTAAAGATAATAAATGACTTATTAGAGAAATTATTTTAAAAAAATTAATATGAATTTTTTAAATATCCAATTCCCTGAATATCTTTACTTCAGTATCACAAAATCATTGCACAAGTTAGTTGGGATATATTTAGAGAATTTCGCGTGCTGTGTATAGAAGGAAAAGTCAGTTGGAATCTGAGAATTCATCCAAAGTTAAGCCAAGCAAATTGGTCTCATTAATGCTAAGCCGGCGCCAAACTAAAATTAACACATTTCTCGACTCTACTATATTTTCATATCAATTCGTCGCGAGTACCTCAATGAACTGTCGTTCTCTTTATTTTTCAAGGAAGCCTCAAGTGTTAATACCTCTGTACTACTGTAGACTTCTGGCTTCTCGCTTGAAATTTTGGCAATTTGTGGACCTGAGAATCTCTCATAGGCACGGGATCCTGTTAGCTCGGCCAATTTCTAAAAAATTAGAAATTATTATTAGGGTTTAAAACAAAATATTTTTTTTGAGAAATTTATTGTTTTTGGTAAATATTTATTTTTTTTTTCTAAAAAAAAATATCTTACTTCAGGGCTGCCTGCAGTTTCTTCAAATAATTTACATTCTTTGGTTGTACTAGAGTCCATCCATACAGGAGATAAAGTCGAAGAAAAAGACATCGCTAATTGTTCGTGTAGAAATTTTTCTGGATTTAAAGTTTTTAAACTATTTCTACCGCCCTTTGTCCAATAGACAGTTCCATGTTGCTGAAGGAACAATAAAATGAATTTTGAAATTAAAAAATTGCGAAATATTTCTACAAGTATTACAAGAAATACTTCAACATATTTTTTCTCTTGGCAAACGTTTTTAAATTCAAATGATTATGCTCTCTATATATGCTTCTGCCATCTGATGGCGACAGGACGAAATGAACCTGTCATTTTCAAGAAAAAAGTATTTTAATATCAATATTTATCATTTTCACGTTCAGTGTCGGTTTTATAGGGCGATAATAATTTAAGATCTCTCTTTGCCAAAGAATTACAAAGACCGTTCAAAACTCTTAATTTAATAAAATTACAAAAAAAATCATTTGGGTTATAGGGGATCGATCCCGCGTTTAACGTATCTAAATTGAAAACGCTATCAGGCATACTAATAATAGCGGCGATAATAGCGATGTATTGAAATATTTAAAATATTACCTGAGCACAGCCAGATATTGATGCCACTTTACTAAAGTCTACACCACAAACGCGGAGTTTATCCAAAATCATATCCAAAGCCTTTACCCACATGAGGGTAGGAGCTGTCGCTACGTTGGGTGTTTCTTTTTTTTGAAGTACACCTCCATAGGTTCTATTTAACACGTTTATTTATATTTTTTAAACTCTTTTAAATAAATATTAGTTACGCACGAAGTAGTATAAGGAGACATAACGCCATGCATGGAAAGCAACCCCACTTCTGTGTTCAACAGATCTAAGTTTTCTCTAATAATGCGTCCGTAGTGCCTTTCCTGAGAAAATTCGGAATTTTGTATGACAAAGTTTAAAAATATTCAATTCTAGTTAAAATTCGACAGAAGTGGAAGAAAGGTAAGTCTTTATTTACAATAATGTATGTGAGGCATTTCATATGAGAATACGGGGTCATGTCTCGGATTTTTCTCAAAATTCGGAAAATTGTAGTGATAGTGGTGCTAAATAAGTGTACAAATTTTGAATTTGAAATTTTTAATATTTTTCGAGATATTTACAGTAACAAATTAGAACAATATTTTTTTGCTTTATTTCCCTACTGAAAATTCTCATATAGGATCTTATGTAGGATCTCACATAAATTTATATATTAAAATCCACATAAAATCCTATGTGTCATGTAAGAAACTATATAGGATCTTATGAAAAATCATATAGGAAATTGAGACATGATTTGAAGTGGGATTCGATGTAAATTCTTATAAACGTATTCTTAGGTAATAAATTATGTAAATTCCTATGTGAAATCCTACAATTTTTTCTGGTCACATTTTTTCCTTCAATTTCTTATGTCAATTTCCTTCGTGTTTTCTCACTAAAAAACATACCAAAATTCATTGCTCAATCCTTAACCAGAAATATTCCTATATCAAATCATACATCAAATCTTTTTTCGATTCTTGAATAAAAAATTATTACAAATAATCTGACATGAAATCATATTGAAAATCCTCACGTGAGATCATATATATGATTGATTTGAACATAAGAAATCATATAGGATTTCATGTAGATTCTGAAATATTTATATTTAAGATTTCATATAGAATTATATAAAGGTAACAATATAGGATTTCATATAGGAATTTTCAGTTGGCAGACAACAGTTTATAAAAATTAAAAATTATTTAATTAAAAATCAAATAATATTACTGTAATTCATCTGAAAAGAAAAGAAATTGTGCTTTGCAATACACCTTCTGAGTTAGAGTCTCAGCTTTTATAGTATTCAAGACTGATCTCAACTGTGACAAAAAAATTAGCACCATCTGGCCGCGTAAGAGTGAAACTATGATGATATACATCTATATTTGAATTTCCCATATAATTTCCTATATAATTTCCGACATAATTTTTTATATAATTTCCGACTTGGTATCTTAGATGGACAATTAAAACAATGAAATCCACACATGACATCCCACATAAATTCCTATGTGATGAATTCTTACATGAAATCCAATATAGGATCCTATATAGGATTTTATATATGATCCTACATAAGATTTTACATGGATTTTTATATATATATTTCTGTATGATGAATTCTTATATGAGATCCTATATAGGAATCCATATGAGTTCATACGTAGGATCTTGTATAGGATCCTACATAAAATCCTATATAGGATCTCATGTAAGAATTCATCATACAGAAATATATATATATATATATATATGAGAGATTCTTTTTCAATCGCCCCAGCCCAAAAAGTGAAAATCGAAAAATAAGGGTTGATTTTGAAAAAAAAGGGGTGAAAATTTTTTTTTTTAAATTTTATATACATTTTTGAAAAGTACGTGAAAAATGCATTCAAATTCATTATAGATAAATTAAAATCCATTAACTTTTGTTATAGTTATACCGATTTGAAAATGACCGTGTTACCTTTAACTGCACCCTTATATTATCGGCACCGCCTACTTTAATATTCTGTTTCTCACAAAATTATTGTTGTCCCATTTTCATATTTACATAGCTCATGGGAAAAAAACTCAGCTTTCCAATGAAAATAAAAAAAAAAAAAAAAAAATACCCGAAGGGGTGAAAAACGAAAAATAAGGGTTGATTTTGAAAAAAAGGGGTCAAAAAATTTTTTTTAGCGCGCTGAAACTAGCGAGCCGCCAGCCGCCAGATATCAGACGAATCCATAGGCGTCGACACGCACATCGCGTCACGGTGGGCAACAGTTCTAAACAGAACTGTCAGACATTCGCAGAGTTTTAGAATTGATTCTTAACAAATTAAAAAACATAAATTATTAACAAATAATAATAATAAATAATAAAATCAAACAAACAATCAAATACAATTTTTTTAAAAATAGAATATCCGATGACAAGAGGATGGACCTGCTAGCTACTAAATTTAAATAATTAATTTTTCCTTAACCTCAAAGTCACTTGCAATTACCTGTGCAACAAATTTCTCATAAATAAATAATTATTTAATAATAAATAAAGACATAGGTGAATTAAAATTGAATTTTTTTCAACAAAACGAATATCTGATGGCCGGCGGCTCGACCTGCTAGCTACTAAATTTACATAATTATTTTTTTCTCAACCTCAAAGTCACTTACAATTACCTGTGCAACAAATTTCTAATAAATAAACAATTATTTAATAATAAATATAAACCTAGGCGAATGAAAATTGAATTTTTTTTAAAAAACGACTATCTGATGGCCGGCGGCTTGACCTGCTAGCTACTAAATTTAAATAATTAATTTATTTCTAATCTCAAAGTTATATTTATTTTTAAATAATTATTTATTTATTAGAAATTTGTTGCAAAAATAATTGCAAGTGACTTTGAGGTTGAAAATAATTAATTATTTAAATTTAATAGCCAGCAGGTTGAGAAAAAAATAATTATTTAAATTTAGTAGCTAGCAGGTCGAGCCGCCGGCCATCAGATAGTCGTTTTTTAAAAAAAATTCAATTTTAATTCACCTATGTTTTTATTTATTATTAAATAATTGTTTATTTATTAGAAATTTGTTGCACAGGTAATTGTAAGTGACTTTGAGGTTGAGAAAAAAATAATTATGTAAATTTAGTAGCTAGCAGGTCGAGCCGCCGGCCATCAGATAGTCGTTTTTTAAAAAAAATTCAATTTTAATTCACCTATGTCTTTATTTATTATTAAATAATTATTTATTTATGAGAAATTTGTTGCACAGGTAATTGCAAGTGACTTTGAGGTTAAGGAAAAATTAATTATTTAAATTTAGTAGCTAGCAGGTCCATCCTCCTGTCATCGGATATTCTATTTTTAAAAAATTGTATTTGATTGTTTGTTTGATTTTATTATTTATTATTATTATTTGTTAATAATTTATGTTTTTTAATTTGTTAAGAATCAATTCTAAAACTCTGCGAATGTCTGACAGTTCTGTTTAGAACTGTTGCCCACCGTGACGCGATGTGCGTGTCGACGCCTATAGATTCGTCTGATATCTAGCGACTGGCGGCTCGCTAGTTTCAGCGCGCTTGTTTTTTTAAATTTCGTATACATTTTTGAAAAGTACGTGAAAAATGCATTAAAATTCATTATAGATAAATTAAAATCCATTAACTTTTGTCATAGTTATACGGATTTCAAAATGACAATGTTACCCTTAACGTCAAAACTTCAACCCCCTCTACTTTCTACAAATATTTTTTTAATGAGTTTATATTTTAAGGATTTATTACTATCATATAGGACAACAATTTACCAAAGTATGAAGCCAATCCCAGAACATTGACTTTTTGGGCTGGGGCGATTGAAAAAGAATCTCTCATATATAAAAATCCATGTAAAATCTTATGTAGGATAGTATACAAAATCCTCTATAGGATCCTATATAGGATCTCATGTAAGAATTCATCATACAGAAATATATTATAAAAATCCATGTAAAATTTTATGTAGTATCATATATAAAATCCTTTATAGGATCCTATATAGGATTTCATGTAAGAATTCAGCACATAGGAATTTATGTGGGATGTCATGTGTGGATTTCATTGTTTTAATTGTCCATCTAAGATACCAAGTCGGAAATTATATGAGAAATTATGTCGGAAATTATACAGGAAATTATATGGGAAATTCAAATATAGATATTATCATCATAGTTCCACTTTTACGCCGCCAGATGGTGATAATATGTTTTCTCACAGTTGAGATCAGTCTTGAATACTATAAAAGCTGAAACTCTAACTCAGAAGGTGTATTGCAAAGCACAATTTCTTTTCTTTTCAGATGAATTACAGTAATATTATTTGATTTTTAATTTTTATAAACTGCCGTCTGCCAACTGAAAATTCCTATATGAAATCATATATTGTTTCCTTTATATAATTCTATGTGAAATCTTAGATATAGATATTTCAGAATCTACATGAAATCCTATATCATTTCTTACGTTCAAATCAATCATATATATGATCCCACGTGAGGATTTTTAATATGATTTCATATCAGATTTTTTGTAATAATTTTTTATTCAAGAATCGAAAAAAGATTTGATGTTTGATTTGATATAGGAAAATTTCTGGTTAAAGATTGAGCAATGAATTTTGGTATGTTTTTTAATGAGAAAACATGAAGGAAATTGACATAAGAAATTGAAGGAAAAAATGTGACCAGAAAAAATTGTAGGATTTCTCATAGGAATTTACATAATTTATTACCTAAGAATACGTTTATTAGAATTTACATCGAATCCTACTTCAAATCATGTCTCAATTTCCTATATGATTTTTCATAGGATCCTATATAGTTTCTTACATGACACATAGTTCTCCCTCATTTTAAATATTGTTTAAGTCATAATAAATCGATGGTTAAATTTTTGAGATGACATTATTTTTTGTTTTCGAGATATTAATTAATTAACTAACAAAAGTTAATAAAAAATTAAATATTCTACCAACAATTAAAATTAGAATAATTTTAAAAATACCATTCCAATGATTAGGGTAAGTGCGGGGGAGTTGGCCATGCGGGAGATATGGCCAATTCAAATATTTTATATAATTTGCTGCTAGGTATCGCTTATTAAAGATTAGTTCGCTTTGTTTTGTGGCAAAACACAATTAAAAGAA